TGAATTTTATGCTATAAAGATATTTTGAAAATATTTATTTTCTACCTTCTGCTCAGTGTCTTCTAAGAGGTGTTATTGTATCACAATTGCAATATCAGCAGTTTCTTTATTTGGTAACTATAAGTGGAAACCAGGTGTTCGATTGTTTGATCATAAAACATAATAGTCATTGTACAAATATGAGGTCACAATTGTTTCACCACACAAAGTCTGTTCTATTTCTGGTTAGAATTATCTAATTCCCATGTTTGAAACATATATAATTCATAAATAACGTTTATTGTTACTGCAGACCTAACTGCTTTTAATCTCACACCAATCAAAATTCACAAACATGCAATGCATCCAGGGATGGCCAATACCGAATAGTTCACTATTTCGAATACATTCGAAATTATTTTTTTCGAATATGAAATTTCGAATACTTCGAAAATAAAATTCACTAATTGAAGCTTATCTAAATGTATGTAGGTATTGCTATCTACAAGTTACAACCTAGCTATATTACCAGGCATTTCATATTTGCAGATTATTGCAGTATATATTTTATATACCATGAGTCATGTTAACAGAATTAAATTAATACGACAATAGTGGTATCGATGATGGATTTGAATATTTGCGCAACACAAAATCACCCTAGTAAAACGCCAATACTTTTAAATACCAACCATTATCCAAATTATTTGTCGAAAAGCGGGATAAAGTATGAGGTATTTTTCCGACTTGTGACCATTTTTTCGTGAGTACAAAAATACGAATCAAAAAATAATTATATTTGGGAACTTTACCACACATTTCAAGTCCGCAGATCGCCGTTGTTTGAGTAATAATACTTTTATTATTTCATAAATATGAAAATAGGAATCAAAAACTATTTATAATCGGGTAGTTTGCACACATTCTAGGTACACAGATTGCCGTGATATTGTGCCGAATATAATTAGTTTTGATTCTTATTTTCGTACTCACGAAAAATTGTCACAAGTTTATATTTCATCCCGCTCTTGGGAACTAATTTGTACAATGGTTGCCATTGGTTTGTATTTAAAAGTATGGACTTTTTACTAGGATGATTTTGTGCTGCGCAAAATATTCGAATCCATGACCGATACTACTACTTAAAATGCCTTACCGTGTTAATTTAATTCTAATATCATAACTCAAATGTTGGTAAATCGGGCAGTTTACCACACATTTGAAGGCCACAGATCGCCGTTGCATTTTAGAATTATTAGTTTTATTATTTTGTAAACACGAATCCGAAATTAATTATAATTGGGCAGTTTACCACGTATTTCATGTCCACAAATACCCGTTGTATTTGGCATTAATACTTTCATTATTTTATCAATATAAAAATAGGAATCAATATTTAATAATATCAGTCAGTTTACTACACATTTTATGTCCACAGATTGTCGATACAACCATGAGTTACGTTGAACCGAATTAAATTAATACGGCATGACATTTTAAATGCTGGTACCAGTCATGGATTGGATTATTTTGCGCAACAAAAAATCATCCTGGAAAGGATCGATACTTTTAACTATCGTTATCAGAATTATTTGCCAGAAATTATTTTCTAATAAATCGACTTGTTTTTCCAACTTGTGACAATTTATTGGATATCGTAACAATTACGGCTATAAATACCGTATTTCCCGGCTAATAAGTCCACATGGCAAATAGGACGATGTCTATTTTTAGCACTCAAAAAATGGGTTTTTCCATATAGGCCTCTAATAAGACGGGTAGAATAATTCGCTAATAATTTTATATGTTTAGAACCAGATCATGTTAGTTTGGTAGAATCATACTCACAGAATTAACTATTTTTGACAATTGAGCGGTAAATTTAAGTTGAAAAGCGGCAATCATTTTGGACAACCTATTAACCCGAATGTTGAAATAATTTTGGAATGTGATAAGTACTACACTGTACGTCCACGGGTTATTTCACAGCTGTGTTTTCCTGTCCCTGTCGTGTTTTGCTGAATCGGCAAAACGAAAGGGTCACAAATCACTTTATCTTGGTGGCCATGTTCCTCTTTAAAGTAACGATAACCAGCCTGCGATTAAATGCCATGATTGGCAGACCCTAAGACCCAAATATAAGGTTACACAAATCATGCTTGAGAAGACTCATGCGAATAATAAGCAGGCCACATAGAAATAAAAGAAACATACTTTATCAATTTTTCGACGTAATGGAAATGAATTTGTAAATTAAAAGCCTCGTACACGAATGTCGGCAATGTCCACCCCCGCAAACGTGCAAATGTGTCGCAACACTATGCGACGTACGTTCGCACAGAATATAAACATTCAAAGTGCCGATTTAAAAAGTCGTTTAAAGATTCCCGTAAAAAAAAAAAAACGAAACACCACGTTTACGGCGAAAAGTGGCTACTATTCGGAAATATTCGAAAATCAGCCGAAAAGGTATTGGAATACCTTGATATTCGAATACATTCGAATATTCGATTCGTTTTGGACAACCCTGAATGCATCACCATAATTTATTCTGTTTCAGTATCTTTTAATATTTCAATGGCCGTCCGTGATTCTGATTTGTCTTCTCCACTTCTGTGTGAGTGTGCGTAAGGCACCATCATCAGTCTATATCAGGGGTGTGCAACAAGTGGCTGCTGGTCACTAAATCAGCTCTCCAAGCCTTTTAGTGTGGCCCTTGTCAATACTCAGATTTTTCCCAATCAAGCATAAAATCACAATCCAACAGGTGCACATGTAAGAGAAAATACATATTGTTTTTCCTCTTGTCGCTGCGTTAAATTTTACGCTGTTTTGCCAGGTGCCTTTAATACTGTAAAGCTAAGCGATGGCTGCATTCTATTCCCTTTCCCGAAGCGCTGTGGTTGTAGCTAGTGCATTTCGTATTTTTTGTCTGGCCCATCTAGATGTCCAGAGTTGGTTATATGGGCCATTGACTAGAACAGTGGTTGGCAACATACGAGATTTTGACCGGCCTGCTGACTGTATCCAACCACACTCTGTAATGTGGTCCGACGCATCATTCCTGAAAGTTGCCGAACGCTCTACTTTAACCGCACTGTCAGTGCGAGTTGGTGAAATTAACAATTGCGTTAGCATACATTAAATATATAAGGTCAAAGCAGAGAGCGTTGTAAACATTCCCCCCTACTGTTATCAGTTATATTTATATTCAGATTCTAAATATAAGTCCCAAGAAACGTAAAGTTGACAGAGAGTGTCGAGCATTTAACAAAGATTGGATACCGAAGTATTTTTTGTAATAATCCTGCCCATCGAGAACTTTATTTTCCCACATCTGGCCGGCCGACTAGAGAAGTTGCCCACCCCTGGACCAGAATGTAGAATTATGAAAACCATTTGGTATTTTGAAAACTATGTTTGATTCAGTCCAGAGAAGTCTATAAATATATTTCGGTTACTAGGGTATTGTTCATTAAACTGCAAGTCCTTTCTCAACGCCTGCTTCCTACATTTTATCTATATGTGTCCATTGCCTCAAGAGAAAAAGGTTATGCATTTCATATTTATAAAATCACTTCTTTAAATTTTTTTTAGGTGGCTTGAATAACTTGCAGACTTAATAACTTGGTCATATACATTTTAAATTTGTTTTGTCTGGGAAAATCCAGTAAATTCTGGTTTCAACCGGTACCTGTGTTTTTGGCAATAACATTTTTTGTCTGATAGATAAACTGATAGTAAATGAGTGTAGTTTGACAGTTGAGATTGCTGTCAATATGATTCTTTTATGTTTTAGAAAAATCTAGCAAACTCTGGTGTTTACTGGCATGTCTTGCTAAACTTCAGACATGAACATGTTTCCTTCAGGCGAGGGCACGCCTATATTCTCAACCAATAGGAAACCGGCTATGTGCCGGTTCTTTGTGAACTCATAATCTGTTTATGTTGTAATAGATCAGCTGTTTTTGTGAATGATGTCAGTCATATTGCGAAATTTCATTGCAAATTGCAAAACCGAGAGAAACCTGGTGACTGCGCGAGCTATTCATTCACTCAATAAAATACTGAACATTATTAAATTAAAAGCAACAAAAACATCAGAGTCATTAAATAATGTAATTTTACTCGGGAAGATTTATTGGTGAATAACAATGTTTTTTGTTTTCATTCATTGTGGGGTTCCGTAATGATAGTCAATCTCTTCATGGGCTTCATAATACCATAAGTTTGAGAACCCCTGCTCTAGGTCACCCTGCCCACAAACCAGAAATAGAATTCTATAATACCACACTGTTTGGTAGCGGTTTGAAAGTTGGACTTTGGCCTCAGGGGAAAACAGTCTTTGTTGAATGGGGAAGCTACAAGCCAGGGTGCACGTACTCATACAGGGCTTGAAACCAATAGTTTGTTGATCTTAAATGGATGGATATATTTTGACAAAGAACAATATAGTCTGGTTTAGTTTATTTCAGCCTCATTTTTTGGCAGTGAAGTGTGACTTGGCAGCATATTATTCTGGCTAGTTTTGCTTCATTGCTTCTTAGATAAGAATAAGGCTGAATCATATTAAAATATCTTTGCTGGCAAATTTGTCATAATCTGGTGAAGTGTGCCACATAGAAGATTAATAATATGTGCTATATAATTTATGTTTGGCTAATACCAGAATGTAATTGTAGTGTTTTCTTGCTTTGGATATGAGAAAAGATGCAAATCGATAAAAAGATAATTATTTTTTGCTTTCAACTCTTCTTTCAGTACTCTTTCCACTTCTAGTTGATGGGCTTGGGACCTTGCTTTGAGTCAACTCACAACATATATGTCAGTTCTTTTCGTCAATATTTATTCGAGAGCATTCGAACTTGCATTGAGAAAACTCTATATGACTAAAAACTGTATTATGACTTTTAAAACATTAATTTATGTACTTTTTGTCTTTTTGTTGAAGGCTCAGGACCTTGCTTTGGAGAAACTTTATATGAGAACATATATATAAATCTAAACTTTTTCCATTTCAGCTCAAAAAACAGGGGATGAGAATTCTTCATTCAGATGGCTGAGACAAGAAATACCAACGAGACTCGCAAATATGATAAAGGTAAGTCAAAGTGTTGTTTTTTTATCTGCTGATTTGCTGAAGTCTCTGTAAGAGCAGTTGCTAATATTGAAAGCGCTACCATTTTTATATAACTAGTCTATTTTTGCGTCACCAATCTAGACTCCAACTAGTCTGCTCTCTGCAGGGGCATAGCCATCGGATTTTTTTTTTAAGTAAAAAATTGTTTCTTGATACATCAATTTTTTGATGCCATTGAAAATCCACATTTTTTGGCCGAACTTGCGAGCTGTTGCGGTCTTACTTGGCAATCAGAAATTACAGAACCCTCCATTTGAAAATTTTGGCTACTTCGGGCTCTCTGGTGAACATTGCAAAAGTTGTTATGGTCTGTTTCACTCTTTCTCTTCTCACAAGGCAAACCACCAATGATATATAAGGAGCAGAAGCTGGTCAAACTTATTTGCTTGCCAGGGCGGAATTCTGATAATGATGCCCCTTATACCCAATTTCAAAAATTATTAGGGGGATTAACAAATTATAGATGTTGTTATAGCCTGCTTGAGAATAAATAAATTGAAGGTCAAGTAAGAGTGAAATGTTTTTATTAGTTTTATTTAAATCATCAAACTAAGCAATTAACTCACCCTACAAAAAGTTGCCTGGGGCGGCTGCCCCCTATGGCCCTCCTTAGACACATCCCTGATGTGGATCTACCATATTTTGGATCTGTTAACATTTTCATAAGCCCAAACCACTATGCTATCGCTTTACTCTCAAGGAAATGAATCGGCTCCCTGACGAACTGCTTTCTACCTCCTCTACCAGTCTTGTAACGTCGTGGTACAACACTTCGTTTGAGGAAATGATGCAATTTCGGAATTCCCCTGTCAACCATAGTACTATAGAAAAGTAAGTACAATGAATATCAGCCCTTAATACAAGCAAACAATAAAATGAGACACCGGAACGTAGTATGTGTACCAGGTTACGGTTAGGCCATAATTTTATTCCAATTTGCCTTATTTTATTTTTATTACGAGTTCATAGACTAGCCAAGTGACTGCCCTAGTATTTGTATCTGAAATTATGGCCTAACCCTAACCTGGTACACATACTATGTCCCGGTATCCGCCATCTTGGCTCACATATTACAGAGTATCTAATAATCAGCATCTGAATAGAAAGTGTTACCTAACGCATAGCACAATGTGTGTGTCAACCTTTTGTAAAAGTGTGTTGCATGTTAGTCTTGGATATTATTTAAACTAAAATTTCCCTCATTTGAGATATTTTCACATTGAATTCCATTTTTCTACAGTTTCACTCAGTCTTTGAAAGGAGTCGTTGAGCGACATCGAAACGTGGTTGAGACAATGGCTCACGGAATAATGGAATGGTCAGAACATGTTCTGGGTAAATATACCTCGTATTTTTAGAGCTTGGTTGTTGGAGTTAAGGTTTAGTTTTTTACATGGCTTACATATTTTTTAGTATTTACACCTTTTTCACTGCTAGGTGTAAAGCAAAAAGGCCTGAAATCGTTTTGGTTCAGGATTGCCTGCCCAATTTATGGAGCTCCAGAAGTGTCTGTACCAGGGGTATATTCACTTGGGTAACACAAACAGTCCTTGAACTCGTAAAGTCGTAATAGAACTAAAATAAGGAAATCAGAATAAAATTATGGCCTAACCCTAACCTGGTACACATACTACAGGTGTACCCAAAACTATATTGCCCACTTTTTAGCCGTCGTGCCTCTATTACCATGACATTTATTTATCTTTTCACAGGTGCCGATGGAACCTTCTCAGACACTGACAAAGAAAATATTCAATATTTCTTGGATCGATTTTACACGAGTCGTATCGGGATCAGACTTTTGATTAATCAGCATAGTGAGTATGACTTCCCTCAGAATTTAATAGCATTTATGAAAATTTTTGGTACTCCTGAAGTATGCGCACCAAGATGTCGCACAACCTGAACCCTGACCTGGTACACAACCTGAGTTCAGGCTGTGCGCCATCTTGGTGCGCATACTTCAGGAGGTCCAAATTTTTAATATGATTGATTTTTTTGAACGAGTCTCTTTCAAAGTAACATCTCGAGACTGATCTGAAATGATTACTGATTAAAGTTACTGATAAAACAGCTGTATAACACGGGTAATATGCTAAAAGTCAGTGTAGGCCTTTTGCGCATAATTGTCCAAACTATGATGTAAGTCTCAATTAAATGTGAGAAGAGTGCGGAAAAAAAGTTACATATAACATCTGATGCACTGAGAGCTGAGTATTAATTCTATACTCAGATTTACACAAACTAATGTCCCTAAAAAGTGACCACTAAGAGCTATGATATGTTTGCCAACGAAGGCAACAAGCGAGCGGATGTAGAACATATTTTTCACACTTGATAGTACACTATAGGTAAATGACCCTTGGACTTTATTAGCGAACACAGTAACAAAAGCAGGATAATTAATATTCAAAAAGGAATCTAGAAAAAATGAATGCACTGATATGATATGTTATTGTACAAGCTGGCTCAAACCAATGGTTGTAGCTTTTTAATAAAACTGACCACCTAGTTGTCAAAGCAAGGTCCAAGCCCTCAACTTTAGTTGTCATTTTTGAAATTCAGAATTTCAAGCCATACCGAACAGAGCCTTCTTTTGAACAGACGAAAATGATCTATCTCCACTAATTGATTTTTTTCTTGCAGTACTCCTTTTCGGGGATTCCCCTAATCGAAGTCCAGATCTTTATGGATCCATCGACCCCAACTGTGATGTCGGCGCAGTGGTGCAAGACGCGTACGATAACGCTAAATTTTTGTGCGAGCAATATTACTTAGGAGCTCCAGATATGGAAATTGACGTTAAAAATGGTTTGTAATATCTTTTGTACTTCTTCGCAGTGTTTATTATTTTAGTCTTGAGGGTTGGTACATTCTGCTATCTGCAAGTTGAGATTATGCTTGCCTCTCACATTGTAAGATAATTTGTTATGTGTGGGGATGTTGACTCGGCAGTTGGCATGAGGTGCTAAGTAAAGCTGGGCAAAATATAGCGAATAGCGAATTGAATATTAAAATATTCGAATAGCATTTCCTATTCAAATGTTTGGTACCACATGACCTGTACTGCTTTGCTTAGACACGGACCTCAGTCCTCTGTAAATTGATCGCTAGAATTTACCCACAGCTCTGGCTAACAGACAGAAACGACAAGTTTGAGAAATTTTCGTCTTCACATTATGTTTTTATCATGTTTTTTTGCTTTCTTTCTGTGCCCGACTGCTAAGTTTTGAGACACCTCTGATTACATTATACCTAATTCCACCCCTTTGCGCTACTGAGTGCTTCATGTAATCCATAGTCTGTTACGCCCATGCATATGGAACAATTGGATGGTAGCCGGACAAAAGGTTTCATCATATGATTAATTTGTGTATTGGCTTTCCTCTCTGGTAGTTCATACCTCGTAACATCAGGGAGAGATCAAATGCATTCATATATATTATCTTTACAGCCGTTAACAATCTGGATCCCACAGTGAACATCATCTATGCGCCTTCACATCTCTACCACGTCTGTTTCGAACTCTTCAAGGTAACATTTTTCTGTGGGTGCTAATATCCTAATGTATGGTTTCCTCAACCAGGGGTGCTCTCCTCTAATGAGTGTGAGAACTGTTCCTAAGGGATAGAAGAATGCTGAAACGATAAATTTGTTAACTCTAAGTTATATGAACTTTAAGTCGGCTTCGAACTTTCTGAGGTGAGCTTCTTTATGGGGATTATCCTACAAGACATTACTCTGCTCCTGAAATTTTTTTTATTTTAAGAATCGAGAAATTACCTGCACATTGGAGGCAGGGGTTACTGGAAAATGTACAGTGGTAATAAAAGTACTTAGAGCAGGGATGGGCGTTGAAAATCCGGCCTAAGGAAGTGTTTTATCAGGCCCACGTATGCCCGTAGAAATTATGACTATAGTTTTAATAGCTGCATCAGAATATAATTGTGCCACTTGGTTCACAAGCTGTTTGTTGTAAATAAACTGTTTTTTTATCCATAGTTTTTCATATTGAGTTTTGAGTCTCCGGCCCAGTAACCAAGTCTATTATCTATAACTGACCCACTCAGGAAAGTAATTCCCCACCCCTGACTTAGAGTCAGTGAAACATCACAAGAGATGTTTCTCCTTTTCTCCAGAATGCAATGCGAGCAACTATGGAGCACCATCCTGAACATGCATGCGACGTTCCGAGCGTTTCCGTTCGTGTTACGAAAGGACAGCACGATTGTTGCATTCGGATCTCGGACAACGGAGGTGGGGCGTCACGAGAGACACGACAACGATGGTTTGAGTATTTGTATAGTACAGCACCAAGGCCACCTAGAAGCACGGACTCAAGGGTTGCACCATTGGTATGTTGGCTTGATTTAATGCTATTTTGTATTTGAACTTTATGTCTGTGTGGGCTTTATTGTCTAGAGCAGGGCTACTCAACTATTTGTACCAAAGATCCGCATACAAAACTCCAAAATTATTTGGGTCCGGTCTTTCCAGAAATTATATTTTGGCATCCTTACACACGCACTTCCTCGGTCGACTAATGATTATTATCTAATCAAGATTGTTTATTATATGGATATAGTTCGTTTCATATAAATTCAAAACTATAAAAGTCACTTTATAACAGGAAACTTCAAAAGTGGGGCTAATGATAATAAAGAATTAGATGCGGTCCTAATCAAATACTCGAGAGGGCCGATTTCGGACCGCGGTCCACCAGTTGAGTATCTCAAGCCACATTTCAAGGGCTCACAAAGGCACGTTGACTGGATTTAAAGCTTTTTTTGTTTTCATACTTTTTTGTCTGTGTGGTGTACAAATTTCTATGATCTTTGTCGCATTCAAAGGGCCTCACAACACTCTATGGCTCATGCTCTTCCAAGAAAATGCCTAGTTTAGGTTTTAGCACATTTCCACCTTTTATTTTTTGTGACATGTTCAGTGATAATAATCCAAAAAATGAAAAAAAAAAGAATAAATGTGTCGCAATCGAAGAATCACGCCAACTTGAATCACAATCGATTTAGTTTAAACAATATTTAGGAAAGTATCTAAGTCACAGTTTGAAAATCAGAAATTCATATTTTCCTCACTTTGTTTAAAAAAAACAGTTTTTACTGTTTCAAGTTTCTCCCTTTCGGGGCACAAATAGAAACTTTGTAAAACAAAAATACAGCGCTCTAGAAGTATGTGTACCAATATGGAGGTAACTAATTTTGTTCGCCTACTTTACATCAAGTTGTGTGAAGGGACTGAAACCTATGGGCAGGGGGGATATTCACTTGGATAACATAGACAGTCCTGAACTCGTAATAAAACCAAAATAAGGAAAATCGGAATAAAACTCTGGCCTAACCAGGACACCCGGTACACATACTACGGGAGAACCCTAAAAACAACTGTATTTTAATTTTTGACAGGCTGGATATGGTTACGGTTTACCAATCTCACGACTTTATGCTCGCTATCTTGGAGGTGACCTTCAGATTCAGTCTATGGAAGGTTCCGGCACTGACGCTTATATTTACTTGAGGGTGAGTCCACTAGGTGGCAGTAAATTATTTTTTTGAATACGAGTTACTCACATTTTGCAAGGGAACGCTAATGTTCGAATGCTGTTCAACATTTATTGACAATGTCAGATAGAATAAAAAAGATAAAAATATTGACATTTAAGGGAAAAAAATAACATGAAAACAAATGAAATTTCTTTGAATATTTAATAATTCAACTTTTACACTCCCAAACAAGTACTTCGCTGCCATTTCATTTTAACTCGTTTCTTTTCATGAATTGGTTTTGTACAAAAAACAATTACTTATCCTTCTCATATGCTTTCGTTCGGTCCATGTTTGTAGTTATTGCAAAGATGCTATAGCAAGGGTAAAGATGACTATACTATGTGATTTGGGAACCTTCTAATACTAGGCTCACCATACATCCCGCTTTAGGCGGGACAGTCCCGCTTTTCAGCGGTATTTTCCCGCCGTCCCGATAGGTCAGCCAAAAGTCCCGCTTTTCCAGCATAATACACAAACATGTTCTCGTTACTGTTGTTTCTGTGTAGCGCAGTGCTAGCCTACTTACTAAAGGTGAATGCGTTCGTTTCCCACTGATTCCCATTGATGACAGACGTATCGCATGTAAAACCAATACTAATTAGTCTAAATTCGAATTATTTGTACCGGTATCGTTAACGTCAATTCCTTCCTATTTTTCGAACTGAACCCGATATTTGGACAGAGAATATGCGCGTGAAATTTCGATAACAATATGGTCAATAAAGACAGCCGAGACAGCTTTGAATGTAGGCCTATGTAGTAAAATCGGAAAATGTGAAGTTATAAAATCACAGATAAGGGGTCGTTGTCTTTCGTGGCGTCCCGATTTGAAGTCACAAAAATATGGTAACCCTATCTAATACACATTTCTGTGGGACTAGCTACCAATCCTTCTTATGTGCTTTTGCGCAAATGGGTCCACATTGTTCGATACTTCTGTAGGAATTTATAGCAAGAGTAAACATAACTATTCCAAGTGATTTAAGAGTCATGCTCTGTATTAACGTATATATTTTTGAACTGTTTTGATAATTTGAACGTTTTCTTTCAGTCGTTATCAAGTGAAGCGATTGAGACTGTTCCTGTCTTCAATAGTACAACCACCGAGCAATACAGGAGATCACATCTATCCGGGGACTGGGTGATACCTGCCAACTCCGCTGTACAGGTAAGGAGGCCTCATAGTCAGAATATTAACTATTAGCTATTCCAGGTCACAGACCAATTGGGTAAAAGTCCCGTAACCATGGGTTTAGTTGGGTCCCAGTTCATGTTAGTTTGATGCCATGTATTTGGGGTACTCCGGGTTGTAGCTAGGAATTTTCAATGAGAGGGAGGCGGAATTCTGTAATTTCTGATTGGCGAGTTAGACCGTAACTTAGAAGTCTTGTGGGTCCAAAAAGCGTTTCAAGCGACGAAAAAATTGCTACATATGATTGAAAAAATGCAATTTTTGGTACATTTCAAAAAGGGGGGGTTTCGACCCGCAAAACCACCCCTACCTGGTGACCCAATAACTGATTACCAATTTTTTAGCACATATGGACTGGTAACAGGACAAGAAATCATCTGTTTACTACATAATTAAACATTTTTTCAATTAACTAACCGACATTGAGACCCAACTCAGTGATTAATTCAGATGACCTGTGACTCGCGACTCGCCAGAACTACGTCTTATTTTCTTCCCCCCCCCCCCCCCCCCCAGTAAAAAAAATCAAAAATTTTGTTCATCCATTGCTTCTATCATTCCAGGCTCAATACAAGAACTCATTCAATGAACAATCAAGGTGCAATACTAAAGTAAATGGAGCGTGACATGTCATGCTCAACTGAGCGTGACACTCGTTACTATGGTTACAGACTGTGTATATGTGAAGATATTTTATTGTTTTACTCATTTTTACTCTGTTCTTAAATCTTGAGTCAAGTGCTATTTTCCCCAGACAGAGAGCTTGTTCTGATTGGTCGAAAATTTATTTTAAAATTAGCGGGGGCCATTATGCAGCATATGTTTTACAAAATACATGCTGTTTGGTTTTGATATGGAAATTCAAAAAAAATTTTAAGGAAACAGAAAATCAGTATATTCGTTGCAGTAGTGTTTGAATTCACTCATGGCAATTTTTTTTGAAAACAATAGATTGAATTTGAGGCCAATATTTCAAAAATTCACTGAGGGAAACTTATGGCTTCCTCCTTCAGCAAGTCCGTGCATCAGAAACAAATAACTGACTAACTAATCCCATATACAACATGGACTGGTAATCGGACGAGAAGCATTGGTTCGCCTCGTGATTGAGCCGTTTTATGGACTTTCCTCTCTCTATGTAAATCCTATACTTTATTTTGGATTCGAAGTTGTTCTGAAATATTCAATTCGATTTTGTTTACAAATGTTCCTTGATAGTTTTGAAATAAAATTTCCCAAATTAACCTGAGTTTAGGAATTTATATTTTCAAATATATCATATTTTGAATCTATTTGAGATAAACTTATTTGGGCTTATATCTGATCAAGTTGTTGACAATTACGGCAAATCAAACTTAGATCAATCGAAAACAAGGAATTTAGACCAAATTTGACCAATCAGAGTCCAGGATTAGATTCTTTATGTTTTACTGTCTGCGTACCCAAATCTTAGTGACTCAATTTATGTCTGGGCCATTTTTGATGAAGTCTATTTTACATGTTTTAATGTTCCAATTATGATGCCATAATTTGCGTCCATTAAATAGAGGGAAATTTTGAGAAATAAAAATTGAAACCAAAAATTTTTGTTAACGAATATAAAGCCTATTTTCAGTTTTCATAATAGAAAATGATAAATTTTTTAATCAAAATATTCTAGGTTATTTATAAAATCAAAATTTTCAATTTATATTTTAAAAAGCCTGGAAAATTGTTGGGTTGGAAAAAGTTCTTGAGTTGTTATTCTAACAGACCATAGATTTTAGAAATCCGACTCTCAGCTTGAACTTTGATTACCCGAATTTTGACTCCTGGAAGTTTGTATGTACATGCTTCCGGCAGGTTAGCAATCTTTTACTTCTAATACATCGAAGTTTCAAAATTATGACCTGCCAATTTCGAAATATCAACCCCACATTTGCAGTTTAAAAAGGCCATCTCTGGCCAGAAAATCAAAAAATTTGAGGTTTAGCTTAAATTAGGTTAAATTGAATTTGGACGATGAAACCCTTTTTAAAATCCGATCAAATCAAATTTTGGCGATAAAATAGTTTTGCAATTTTAATTCTCCTGCTCCGACAAGTCATAACTTATTTTTCAATGAATTTAAAATAACAACTCTGGATCCAATTTTATCAAGCTTAGTTCGACGGCCTTAGTTCGAGGGGTTTATAGTTTCACATCATAGTTATAATTTTTATAACAAGGTGATTTTACTCTTCGTATGAACTAGTATAATTATATGTTTGCTGGCGTGGCACGCAAACAAGAGGTCGTAGTTCGCCTCATGAATAAGCAGTCTTATTAACTTCCCTCTCTCCCAGGATGTATATGAGAAACCCTATAATTAGGCGTTCTTGTCACACTTTTCCTTTAACTTTTTAAGCAGAGCCCCCTTTTTTGAATTTGTCAAGTCTGGCATCTCCCCATCTCAAAAATAACTAGCTAACAATAAGCTACAAATAACAGATAGTAAGGCGAGAGTGGGTTTTATTCAAAAAACTTGTGGAAAATACGGATGGAACGTAAATATCCAAAATATGGCGGGCAAGATCAAATATTTTTATTTTTAATTAGCTTCACGCCCCCTAAAAACTCGTCTACGCCCCTACCTGTGAGGCCCGCCCCTCCCGTTTGAGAACCACTGTACTAGAATAAATATGAAAATTCGTTTCTTTGATCAAACAGGAGCCCCCGAAGTATGCGAACCAAGATGGCGGACATCGGAATGTAATATGTGTACTAGGTTAGGGTTAGGCGATAATTTTAGGTATAAATACTACGAATGGCACTTGGCTAGTCTTCGAACTCATAGTAGGACTAAAATAAGGGGAATTGGAATAAAATTAACGCCTATCCCCAACCTGTTACCCATGCTACGTTTCGATGTCCGCCATCTTGGTTCGCATACTTCAGGAGCACCAATGCAAGAATCCTATTTTATGGTAAAGCAGTCTTATAGGCTTTTCTCTCCCCAAGTTAAGTGTAAAAATCCGACCCATGGCTTCTATTAAATTTCCTCTTTCCAGAATAAGTATGAAAATCTTATCCTTCGATTGTGCTCTCGCTGGATAAATTGAAAATCCTTATTATAGTAGATAGAACAATTTAATAATCCTTTTAATTCTAAACTTTATATTTTTATGACTTGTACTATATTATCATATTTTAATTTCAAGCCTCAAATGCCATAATTTTTTGTTTTAGTAATTCTCATTGTTTTTTGGAGTGCTGTCATTAGAGCAGTGATTCCCAAACTTTTGAGTTTTTACCCTTAAAACAAATTACCAAAAGCTCGATTACCCCTTTTCATAAAAATACAGTTGTCCCATCATTATCACTTTTCTTTTTTTTGATCAAAATTGGCGATAATACTAAGACCTATCGTACATTTCGATCCGCATTTAATCCGCATCCAATTAGCATTTAATCTGTTTGGTGAAGTTTTGTTATTATATACCTGCCAACCATGTTACTTAGATGACTAGGCTCGTTGACTGGATGTGAGAATTAAATGTCCAGCTTTTCCAAAGATTGGTCAACGTCTGGATTACCCCAAAAAAAAATGCCAAATAACCCCCTTTGAGGGTGATAAACCCCAGTTTGGGAACCACTACATTAGAGAAATGACTTATCTTAATTCTTCTATTAATTAGATAAAGATTTTGTGGCGAACTACTTTTTTTGTGAAACTATTTGTCGTTTGGTTCCAATGAGCCATTGGTGCATCCTATATGTTTGCTGATTGTAATCGCGATAATTTCTGGAATAAATTTATTTCCCAATTCATTCAGTACAGAGGTTTATTTGTGAGTGTGGTCTGAAGGGGAAGTTGGAGATTGGTACCTTCGTAGTATGTGTACCAGGTTAGGGTTAGGCCATAATTTCATTCCAATTACTATATTTTGGTTATATTACGAGTACGGGACTTTCTGTGTTAGCCAAGTGAATATACCCCTGCCCATAGGTTTCAGTTCCTGTACACAACTTTATGTAAAGTAGGTGAACAAAATTGGTTCCTCCATATTGGTACACATACTTCTGGAACGCTTGGAGGTAGGTGTTTGAAAAGGTGACCGTACATTTGAACCCATGCGTATATCCACGGGTTTAATCTATATGCGGGTGCTAAAACCCATGGGTTAGGGTTAGTATGGGTTTAACTATCCGTGAAACAAAAAAAATTCCATAGGTGCAATAGCATACAGGTGCAATTGTCATGGGTTCAAATGTAATGGAACCGTTTGAAAATAATGTCCGTTCATCGCAACAAGTTCATGCATCTGACTGATTACTGGCTAACTAATCCAATATCCGCACATGAAGTGTTGACTGGACGAGAAGTCGTGGTTCGCCATATTATTAAGCCGCATTAACGGCTTTTCTCTCCCCAGGGATAAATGCGTAAATCCTATTCCAAATCTTAGTGTCACTGCGACTCATCAGTGTTGTTTATGAAATCTACCAGGACTTGAGTCGTGACTTGAGTCCGATGACCTGTGAGTAGGGCAGGGAATGGTTAACCGATTTTAGATACTTTCCAGTTATGATTTATTTTTTCCGTAACTGATATCTCTGGTAGAAATCACCTTTGTATCGTACAATTTCTCCAAAAATTATTAATTCATCGCAAATTTATCTCTCAATAAAATAGTAAAAACTGATCAAACTATGTATTAAAAAGTCGAATTTTCTTTTCAATGTGCTGTGATTTGTATCAATGAAAGTAATCGTGTCACGAGTTTGAAAAAAAAAGAAATTCCATATGACCGAAGCTGCAAACTGTCTCGATCCGTGAATAATTTCGAACTATACCACGATAAGACTATGTGAAATTGCTTTGGAACGAACGATCGGGACGTAAGAAGCTTAAATTATTAAGTCAAACTTCGCGCTGCGGTTAACCGGTTATTTTTCATCCGGTTAACAGTTCAAGTGTTTTTACTTAAATTCCCAACCCTACCTGTGAGGAAAATAGGTACTCGTGCACAATACTGCTAGAAGATAGCGACGCTAAGCATTGGGGGCTTATTGATTGTGGCATCAAAATAAGATATGCTATCGGTAATTTTAATCGCAATTTTGAAAATCTTCATCAAAACCCTATATTCTATTGGATATATATAAAGGTTTTTGATCTTGCTTTGAGCAAACTTCATGAAAAAAATAATTACAGACGTGCAGAGCAACTCACAAATAAATTACTATAAATAGATGTTACGAGAAAACTAACTCCCAATCCTTCCTCAATGCCTTTGGGCTATGAATCCGTATGCGAATAATGCAAGTATGATATAGCAGGAATAAACATGACAAGACTATGCAATTCAAGAGTACTGCTGCACAATCACACAAATGTATTTCTGTTATGTTTTATCTGACTAAAATCGAACTTCAAACTGCTTGTCTGAGGAAGTCTGATTTTGGTCAGACGAAACGTTACAGAAATACATTTGTTTTAGTGTGCAGCAAGACTCATGCATCACAAATAAATATTCGTAAAATTTTATTCTATGGATATTTTTGATTCTCTGAGCAATTTGATGTATAATAACATTAATTTAAGTAAATTATTGTCATCTTTTTATTGCGGTTTTTTATAGAAAGAATTAAACTTGTTCCCCAAATACATCCGTTGCAAAAGTTTTCTCATGATGGACATCTAAATTGACATGGCGGAAATAAGAGGTTTGAAAATATTGTTGGTTAAACGCATTCCTAGTTCATGTACTCACAGGCGGCATTGCTATGGAATCGCAACTGGAACCCATGTGATGACTGATCGCCCTATTATAATTCCGACAAATTCTTGAACTCAACATTTGTTCCTTTGCTTTGTAAAACCTGCAGATGCCTATGGCATGCCAGAAATCAATTTTGTAAATCACTGTTTCTCTGGGCAAGTGGTACAAATATGATTATAACTGTGGTCATTCCAAGAATTAAAACTGGGATTTACATATTTTTCCCGGGGGAGAGAGATCTCATAGACATCTCTCTGACCTCCTGAAGTATGCGCACCGAGATGGCACACAACTCAGGTTGTGTACCAGGTTAGGGTTCAGGTTATGCGACATCTTGGTGCGCATACTTCAGGAGTACCCATCTCTCTCTATGAAGTCAAAGATAGTTATCAGCGGGCATCTCGAAAATGTTGTTTTCCACTTGCATAAATCTCATACATTGTTGCACTAACCATCTGTCACTTGGCAGATTATATCTATCCTAATCATTGGAAAAATGTGGAACACAACATTTTTGAGACACAGGTGGCGGCTCTTCGTCAAAAGGGCAGATTTCACTCCTAAACTTTGCTATGGGGGGGAAAGAGAGGAAAACTGAGAAAATAATATAGTTTTTGAGGGGGCATGAAAGCTAACCCTGATTTTGTCAGATTTGATCTTGCCCGCTTTATTTCAAATATTGACATTTCTTTATTTTGGATATTTACGTTTAACGTACTTTTTAAATAAAACATACTTTTCGCCTTACTATCTGTTATTTGTATCTTATTGTTTTTGGTGGGTCACGAGGCTTGACAAATTCTAAAAATGGGGCGGCTCAAAATATTTGAGAACTATGCTTTAATACAATGTTACAGAAATTTGAACAGGCAGGCCTTAATTGTTAATCCGCCCCGACACATTCACGCCCTTAACCTTCTCGATTATCTTCAACGAATATAAAAAAGGCCTCCCCATGTCATCGCTCACCCACTAAGGAAAAAAAACATTAGGAGACAAATTATTTATTCCAAAGTTTTATTCGCGATGGTATAAAGGTGTGTGACATAATGTAACCAAAATCAGTGTTGTGATAGGCTTTGTAACTGAGATGAAGTTTACCTCCATACAAGTCTCTGAACAGGCACTGTTGCTTATTTGGAAGCCCGATATTCCTCCTTTTATTATGAGGGGGAATTCCAGCAAGTCATTAGCAGAGAAACAAGATAAATCCACAACAAATCATAGGGATACCGCCTATGAATCCACCTTTTAGGATTTTCAATGTCAGGAGGGAGGTGAGGGGAGTTCCCCACATTGGAAGCTCTGATATCCTTCTTTTTTGTTATGGGGAGGGGGAATTCCAGCAAGTCATCAGCAGAGAAATCCAAAAAACATAGGGAAACCACCTGAAATAGTATCTGGGAATTCCCCTTTCAGAATTTTTTAATCTCACGCAGGAGGTGAGGGGAGTTCCCCACGTTGTCTCATTTCGTAAACTTTTGCTGACTTTCTGCTGACGACTCTCAAATATTTTCGTTTCATTCTTAGTTTCCGAGGTTTTAAAATATTCAGTACTCTCCACTTTTTTCTTCTTTGGAGCTCCTGTGCTCCGATGTATGGCCTGGCGGCTCTGTTTTTCCGTCGAAGTAGAACCTAAAAATAAAGAAAATTTTTAGGTCTGTATCAGAAATTATTGAAGCATGATAATAATAAGCTTTCACAAGAATGGAATTAGTCTTAATTTCTTTATTGGTATCTACTGACAGGATAAACCAGTGCTTCCAAAATTCTCGACCCACTTTTACCGCCATTTTTTCTGCGCAACCCACAATGAGATGTTGATATATGAGAAAGGAAACAATGTTTCCCTGTGCAATTTAGTATTAATGCGAAACTTGGGCATTGTGATGGCATAGGCATAGATAATAAATTGGACTCAGGTAGCAACGCAGAGGGATTGGGAATACTTGCACATACGAAATTAAACTAAATTAAAAACTCATTTCACAGGCGCACACCATTCAAAATTGGCACTACTACACGGGCCACACAAATTTCCTTTGCGGGCCGCATTTGGCCCGTAGGCCACAGGTTGCATACCGCTGCTCTAAATGCATCAGTGGTGTTTGCAACTCTTTTATCATTGCTCCTTCCCCTTTGAGATGAGGCTTCGGATCTTTGCTTCAAAACCAAGTTCAAGCCTGATTCAGATGATATCACAAAATATTCTGATATGTTGAAAAGAGCTGTCTCAAGCCACGATCTGGCTTAAGTAAAATTTCAAAAAGATGACTTAAAACAAGTCTAGACAAAAAAATAGTGTCAGTCAGTTCAAAATAAGGCTCAAGCTGTCTCGAGGAACTAAATTAGTCTAAGCCAAATTTCAAAGATGGCTCAAGTGAAGTCCTGGATTTAGTCAGCTTTAAACAAAAATTTCTCAAGTCAAGTCACAAAACTAGCTTTCATCATTTTCAAAAAAATTGCTTAAGCCCAATTCCAGAGAATTTAGACTTGAAATAAAGTCGATTGCCAATATAACAAGCCAAACACAGATTATGCATCCTTTGGGAATCCCCTTAAATCTGCTTTGAATAAAGATGGCTCAAGCCAAGTCTATTTCCAAAATGGCTCAAGCCTGACTAATAATATCTAGCCACAAAAACGGTTTCAGTCAATGTTGATAAAGGATCTTTCAAGTAAATTCATAAAATTGGCTTTAGCCCATTCCAAATAATATGTCTCAAGCCAATTTGTAATAACTTGGGACTTTAAATCAATGTAACTATTTGTTTATACATTTGCAGTCCAGCCATGATTGTTGTACCACGTTTAAAACCAGGCGGGAATAATTGTCTTGTTGTTACTTCATTCAACTTAACTCATTTTACTATCCACCCAAATACTTACAGTTAGTGTCAGCTATTTGATGCGTATTTGTTTTTATTTATTGGTAACATTTACTCGTGTTGTATTTTACTTTAGATTCATTCTAAGCGTACTCTAGATTTAAGTTAAACAAAGCCCGATATCAAGTTACTCAGTTTATACTTCATTACAGTCTCAATAAACAATACCTACCTCCCTCTTAGGGAACCATATATATCTGTGATCTTCCACTTGTTCCTTCTTCCATTCCTCAGCTTCTGAACGTTGCGGTTTACGTCGAACTATCGCGACCGTCTGTAAAAGAGTGAAATTATTAGTAAGCACACCTTCACTCCGAACTTGGAACTAGACCAGGTTTTGTGAAACTGGGCCCTCGGCCACAAGAGGGAACCACAGGGAAGTTTTCTGGGAGCAAACAACAAAATTAAATTTCACCACACGACTAAGAAATATTACCGACTTTTCCCCCCACAAAGATTATTAAATCAATTTCATTTGATTAAACCCTCATATATAAGCTTCCCTCTCCTCCCAAAACTCTCACCTTTTCAATTTCATCAATGCTTTTATTCTGAGCCGCCCGTTTCGCATGGATTCTCCATTTTCCGTACGGATCCACAACATGTCGTTCAAAGGTGACATATTCCAAGATATCTCTAGCGACATCCGGTGAGCCAACCATCAGTCGACCAAAACGATCGTGTATGGTCAGAAGCTGGAAATGATAAAATTTATAATTTGTAACATGAGGTTTTCACTCTGGACACAGCTCTTTGCCCCAGGGCTCCGTGACAGAAACCTAGGGACTCCGCAAGCTATTCGTTTACTTATAAAAATACTAACTTGGCCAATTTTGTAACTGTCCAAAGAAGCAATAAAGGCATTAATAAAATTAGACAACGGCAAATACATCATTTAATGAGGTAATTTTAATATATTTTGGACATTGAACAGAAACCACTGCTTTAAGCAACTCGCGGCATATTCGTTAGCAAACAAATGAAAACTGTTTTGAAAAAATGGAAAAACGTTAAATATTCAGAAAACGACGCTCCAGAAGTATCTGTACCAATATGGAGGTGACAAATTCCGTTCGCCTACGTTACATCAAGTTGTGTAACGGGACTGAAACCTATGGGCAGGGGGTATATTCACTTGGCTAACACAGACAGTCGCCGAACTCGTAATAGAACTAAATTATGGGAAATTGGAATAAAATTAAGGCCTAACCCTAACCTAGTACACATACTACGGGAGTACCCAGAAAACTGATCAATCTAAAACCTTATTCGCACAAACTAATAAAAAATTTATGGATACACTGGGATTCAAACCACCAACCTGTCGTGTATGGAACCTCACAGTGACTTGGCCATAGAAGTTCTCATCATGCATCATCGGCAAACATATGATTTGAACTGTTCTCGGAGGTTCAATGGTTTCCACAAATTTCCAGTTGATCGTCTTCACGTCTAATCCTTCCAGCATTGTCTGGAAAAAATATTATAAGCTGAAGAATATTCGAAGTCAGGAGAGGAGAGTGCCCGCAGGAAGTCGTTATCGGAACCAGTACGAATAATTGAGCCACCGAATTGTTTCGAATATACACTTGCTCAAACTATGATAATGATGTAACAATTGGCAATATCTAGAACATAAAGAAAAAAACAAAGTGTTAAATTATTTCACTTAAGTTCGGCGGGTCATATTGAATTGTCGCGCGGGCCGTAATTAAACCAGTGGTCTGAAAGATTTCTCTAGATAAACTATCCAATAAAACACAATATAGAGTTATTTGTTCGGGATGTCCAAATTTAAAAATGCAACTGATTTTGTTCGGAAGTCGAAATGAAAAATTTGAATTTCATATTTCTAATGGTGGTGATAGGAATCAAAATTTCTTAACAGTCTATGGATAGAGTTGCATATGCCAAAGTTTTTGCTGTAAAAATTAAATTTTCAGAATTCGGAGCCAATATCAAAGGTGTCGGTTGTACCAATAAGTAGGAAAAAGGTTGCACCCATACCAAAAATAGCTGTTCCTCATGTATCAGTGGTAGTTGTATAGGGCACGGCTACTCAACTGGCGGACCGCGGTCCGAATCCGGCCTTTTCAGATATTCGATTTGAACCGCGCCTAATTTTTTATTTTGTATCATTAGCCCCACTTTTGAAGTTCTTTTTATAAAATCATCTTTATAGATTTAAATATATATGGAAAGAACTATAACGCCAGGGTTGTCCAAAACGAATCGAATATTCGAAATTATTCGAATATCAAAGTATTCGAATACCTTTTCGGTTCATTTCCGAATAATTACGAATAGTAGTCACTTTTCGCCGTAAACATGGTGTTTCGTTTAACCGGAATCTTCAAACGACTTTTTACGCTCTCTCACGTATTGTAACGACGAAGAAATAGAATCGGCATTTTGATTGTTTATATTCAGCGCGAATGTACGTCGCATAGTGTTGCGACACATTTGCACGTTTGCGTTGGTGGACATTGCCGACATTCGTCTTTTAATTCACAAAATCATTTCCATTAGTCGAAAAATCGACAATCACCGTATTTCCCGGCTAATAAGTCGTCTTTCTAGACCCAATTTTGGCTTAATTTTTTGGGGGGAGGGGCGCCTTATTGAGAAAGTATGTTTATTTTTATTTCTATGTGGCCTGCTTATTTTTCGCATTAGTCTTCTCAAGCATAATTTGTGTTAACCTTAAATGTGGTTCTTATGGGTCTGCCAATCATGATATTTAATCGTAGGCCGGTTATCTTTACTTAATTAAAAGAGAAAACACGGCCACCGAGATAAAGTAAGTGATTTATGACCCTTTGGTTTTGCCGATTCAGCAGAAAACGACAGGGACATGAAACACAGATGTGAAATAACCCGTGGACATACCGTGTGGTACTTATCACATTCCAAAATTATTTCAACATTCGGGTTGATAGGTTGTCCAAAATGATTGCCGCTTTATAATTTAAATTTACCGCTTCATTGTTAAGAATATTTAATTCCGTGAGTATGGTTCTACCAAACAAACATGATCTGGTTCTGTTCTGACCCTATAAAATTATAGATTGTTCAAAATGATTGTGATTTTTAACTTAAAATTAGTGCTTTATTGTTAAAAATAGGTAATTCTGTGAGTATGATTCTACTAAACAAACGGGATCTGGTTCTAAACATATGAAATTATTAGCGCATATTAGCATAACTGAACAACAAGGAACAATTTTTCTACCCGTCTTCTTGGAGGCCTATATGGAAAACCCCCCTTTTTTGAGTGCTAAAAATATACATCGTCCTATTTGCCATGTAGACTTATTAGCCGTGAAATACGGTATTTATAGCCGTAATTGTTACGATATCCAATAAATTGTCACAAGTTGGGAAACAAGTTGATTTATTAGAAAAATACTTTCACCCGCTTTCTGGCAAATAATTTTGATAATGATGGTCAAAAGTATCGATAATGAAAGTATTAATACCAAATACCACGGGTATTTGTGGGCATGAAATGTTTGCTAAACTGCCCAATTATATAAAATTTCGGATTCGTATTTACAAAATATTGAAACTATTGAAACTCAAAAATACAACGGCGATTTGTGGACTTAAATGTGTAATAAAGAATAAATTATTTTTCCGACTTGTGACAATTTTTGCGTGAGTACGAAAATAAGAATCAAAAATTAATTATATTCGGGCACAATATCAGGGCATTCTGTGGACATAAATTGTGAGGCAAACTCGCGATTGATATTAATTTTTGATTCCTGTTTTCGTATTTACAAAATACAACGGCGATCTGTGGAATTTGAATGTGGGGTAAACTACCCGATTATAAATAGTTTTTGAACCCTATTTTCGTATTTATAAAATAATAAAAGTATTATTACACAAACATACAACGGCGATCTGCAGACTTAAAATGTGTGGTAAAGTTCCCGAATATAATTACTTTTTGATTCGTATTTTTGTATTCACGAAAAAATTGTCACAAGTCGGATAAATAACTCATACTTCATCCCGCTTTTTGGCAAATAATTTGGATAATGGTTGGTATTTAAAAGTATGGTCGTTTTACTAGGATGATTTTGTGTTGCGCAAGCATTCAAATCCATCACCGATACCACTATTTAAAATGCCTTGTCGTATTAAACACAACTCTTGTTATATAAAATATATATCGCAATAATCTGCAAACATGAAATGCCTGGTAATATAGCCAGGTTGTAGATAGAAGTTTTTCCATTGTTTATTGTATGAAAATTCCTTCATACACTAAGATTCTATTACTGGATTTTATTTTCGAAGTATTCGAAATTTCATATTCGAAAATAATAATTTCGAATGTATTCGAAATAGTGAACTATTCGGTATTGGCCATCCCTGGTTCAGAGTTGAAGTCGAGAGTATAAGTTTTTCAATATAGAATCAGGTGTCGGTTGTACAAATTCCCTTCACATCCCTATTGGTTGCGATTACTCACTAAAGAGAATTGTTTGATACTTACTGGATAAGCGAATTCCGTCACAAGACCATGCAACGCTTCCTCTGTGTCTTGCTTCTTTGGCAAAGTCCAACTGGGAAAACGAATAGGAGTTTTGAACATTTAATACAGATATTTAGTAAATTTCAAAAATATAAATGTTTCAACATTGGTCATCTGGGCACCGAGCAACTCCAAGAGTCGTGCATACACACAAGGAACAGGATGTTATTGGACATAAAATGGACCGATGGATCGTTTTGTAATTATGTTGTTGGATTTCTGGATCAATTGCTTTGAAATTTGAAATTTTATTTTTCTTTAGAAGGCCAACAACTTTTATTTATGTCAAAACTTTCCGTAGAGCTAGATGATTCGTTTTCAGTTCAAAATTTTGTGTAATGACCTCTTATTTGTAATGGTTCTTCAACCTCAATTGGGCTAAGCAAAAGTCATAAGTTCATACTGCCATACTCATACAGTAAAAGGTAAGGTAGATTACTGCTTCACTTTGGCCTCCTTGTCCATATATTTGAGCATCGCTCTCCCGTAATATATACAGTGCTAGAATTAGTACAAAGCCTGGTACTCCCGTAGTATGTGAACCAAGATGGCGGACATTGAAGCTAGTATGTGTACCAGGTTAGGGTTAGGCCATAATTTCAGGTACAAATACTACAGGAGTCACTTAGCTAGTCCCCGAACTTGTAATAGAACTAAAATAAGAAAAATTGGAATAAAATTATGGCCTAACTCTAACCAGGTAAACATACTATGTTCAGGGTTCCCCCATCTTGGTTCATATACTACGGGAGCGCCCAAAGCCTATACAAGGGACGGGCCATCTAACGATCTCAGTGGTCTAAGGCCAGCCCATGGTGCCAGTATCTATCAATAAATGAAATGCCTAACTTACTTCTCTGTGTTTAAAAGTTCATGGGCTTTGATATAAATCTCGTGAGCTTCAGCTGGGAAACGCCTACGGTGGAAAGTCGGCACTCTTTTCTTTATCTGTCGATGGCTGAAAGTTATGGAAGATTAACGGTTAAAATGCAGAAGTTGGTAATCTGTTTACAAGATTTTAAATATAGCTTCGACCAAGCAGCCATCAGAGTCTCTCAGAATTTTCTATTTACATATTTATCCCGGGGGAGAAAAAAAATGAGATAAGACGGCTTAATTATATGGTGAACCACAGCCTCTCATCTGGTTACCAGTCATTTTCTGGTAAGGGATTAGTTAGCCAGTTGTTCATTTCATGCATGAACTCAATGGTGGAGAAAGTTGTAACAGACCAGCGGTTACTTCAACCACCCTACGGCAGCAAATAAGTCAAGCAATCTTCAATTAATTAAAACTGAATCGGGAACTTAACCATCTCGCAGTTGGTGTTTTCGACCCTTCAACACAATCCCAAGAAATTAACTATCTCTATTAGGCGATGTTAGATTGATGACTCGTACGGTACTCACCATAGAAACAGTAGTTTCCTAACTCTAAAATTTTAAATTACATATTAGAACCTTAGGTGTCACAGCTCAATAATCACATTTGGTACCCCACGACTTCCCTTCCCCAATGAAACTGTGTGATTTTCATTTTTTTTCGTATTTTCTGTGTTCATTTGTTTTTTTATTTTCTGGTTGAAAAAAAATGAACTTGACTTGACATAATTATCCTATTCTCATGATTTTAACCTATGAGCCCACATAGAGTTATCAGAGGCGTGATTGCAAGCGTATTACTAACAACGTCAGTTAGAAAAATTTAACCTAAAATCCAGTGTTACCTCATTTTATCAGTTCTTAAATCTTCAAACTCTTTTCTCGGCGCTCTTAGTCGGGTCATCATATCATCTTTAGGTTTATATTCTCTGAATACCATTTCTGAAAAAAACGAAAAACATTTTAATGATTGGAGTAGCCTGGACGAGAAGATGTTTAAGTTGATTCGGATATAAACGTGAGATATTAGAATTTAATATAAATGCGAAAATTACTTTTTACCAAACCATTATGACGCTACGTTCGACAATGTGGCATGCCGTAAGTACTTCTAGTTGGCGTGGCATAAGAATTATGCATATGTTACTCCTAACTGCCACCTGACTACGTCAATAAAAATTTATGCCACTACAAAGTCACTGTAACATAATGTAAAGTCCTCCAAAATATAATAACTGTCATCCAAGACGCGCAGACGATCACCCGATCCTTGCCTCTAACCAGATTCAGACTTCCTCAGACATATTTTATTTAGTACTACCGGAAGTATGCGAACCAAGATGGTGGACACCGGAAATAGTATGTGTACCAGATTAGAGCTATGCCATAATTTTATTCCAATTTTCCTTATTTTAGTTCTATTATGAGATCCGGGACGAGTGACTCCCGTAGTATTTGTACCTGAAATAATGACCTAACCCTAACCTGGCACACATACTACGTTCCGGTGTCCGCCATCTTGGTTCACATACTTCGGGGTACCGAATAAGATATGTCTGAGGAAGTCTGACTTCGGTCAAAAAAAACGTTACAGAAATATATTTATGTCAGTGTTCAGCAAACCCTTGAATCGCTTCGAATTTAAGCAAATCAGAATCGATTTAGATATTAATGAATGCAATATAACCGTACTAACTTGTAGAAGATACATCTATTGCTCTCTCCTTCCGTGGATATCTCCATTCCTGATAGTTGAACTGGGCGTACATCCGACTTTTCTTCAGCCTCCCAGTTAGGCCTGTGAAAAGTGATTCATGTTAATTACATAACACAAGAGCTGCATGATAACATAAACATATTTCTGCAGCAATTCGTCTGACCAAAGTCAGATCTCAGATCAGATCTCAGATAAGCAGTTTACAACATTTAATGCTAATTATTGTTTAACCTGTTCTGAGCGACAGGGTGCATTAGCGCAATTTCAGACGCTGTGTGTAAACCATGAGGTCTGGAATGTTTGTTATGGTCTTGTTTGGAAGAATAGCTCATTTCCTACCCAGCAATATAAGAATGAACGTTATATGACATTTGGAAGTAATAAAATATCGCTTACATTTCACGAGTGTACTTCCCGCTGCGATAGAAAAACGTCGCACAGCAAGAAAATAATTCAATAAACCTTGGCGTTGCGCGCTAACCAATAACAAAAGCTAGTATGATAAGGTCTTATTTTGAAGGTCCTTTTATATGCTACATAACATAGGAGAGTGGACATCTCACAACGTCAGGAAGGTATAAAAATATCGAGTCGTTTGATCGCAGCTGCCTCACCGAAAAAAAGTTAGTTCACATAGGCGTTTTATCTCGCAAATTCTCCTTGTCTCACGATTATAAGCTTTTATGATTCATAATAAATGTTTTATTATGACTCACAAAAGCTTTCAACGCGATAAAGCACAAACAAACAACCGATCGATCTATCAAGCCTAGCCTGGCCTGAATTCGATGTGGTGACTTCTCAAACGGAAAATTTTCAAAAACGCTTCAACGACACGAGCTAACGAAAAGCGTTTAGTATCATATGAAAGAGAAAACCAATGTGCAGTCAACTGTATAGTCACATTTGCGCTTTTCAATAGCTATACACGTCCAACAGATGATAGAATGAGAGAGTGTAAATATTTTTGTTATTTTTTGACGTTACGAGAGACCTCTTGAAAGAGGTGTTTTAGTTTACGGTCCTCCAGTGACATCTAGCGTATAGTACTCTAAAAGACCTTTCCAATGGTATATAATTATTGTATATTGGGTAAATTTTGGGGGTCGTATGACATTAATAAAAATGTATTCAAAATTGGGCTCGATTGGGCGTCTGAATCAGGTTAAGATGAGTTGGGATGGGGGGGGGGGGGGGGGGGGGGGGGGGGGGGTCAATGGCCTAGTTTAAGGGGCTCTCAAACTGGGCCATCGTTCCCACAAGGGCGGCAAAAAGCCATCATCTCGGGACCATAAGCAAAAGCACATGATTAGACATTTTTACAACAATTCCTCAGACAAGCTGTTTTCAAAAATCAATGTTAATAATTGTTTAAAAAAGGGCGTCAATAAACTAGTGTAGGGGTCCTCAAACTGGGCCATCGTTTCCATACGACGCAAAGCAATTTTCTGGAGACGATAAGCAAAAGAACATGAATATGCATCTTCACAACAATTTGTCTGAAAAAAAATCAGAATTCCTCAGACAAACGGTTTTTAAAAATCAATGTTAATTATTGTTCGAAGGGGGGGGGGGGGGGGTTTCTAAAGTGTAGTGTAAGGATTCTCAAACTGGTTCCTCGTTCCCACAAAGACGGCACAAAGCCGTAATCTTCGGACCATGAGCAAAGGGATATATTAGGCAGTTTTACAACAGTTTGTCTGAACAAAATTAGAAATCCTCACAAGAGGTTTTCAAAAATCAATGTTAATTATTGTTCAAAAGTGGGAGGCAATAGCCCAGTGCAGTGGTTCTAAAACTGGGTCATCGTTCCCACAAGGGCGGCACAAAGTCGTCATCTTGGGACCATAAGCAAAAGCACATGATCAGGCAGTTTTACAACAATTTGTCTAACCAAAGTCAGATTCCCTCAGATAAGAAGTTTACAACCGTGAATGTTAATTATTGTTTGAAAGAAGGGGTCAATAGACTAGTGTAGGAGTTCTCAACTCTGGCACTACAAAGAGATTTTCTGGGGATCTAAATCAAAGGCACATGATTGGGCCGTCTTATCAGCATTGCTCTCCCACAATGAAAAAAGACGTTGAAAAATTTAAAAATAAATTATCCAATAGCAAACCTATTCTTTCAGCTTCCTCCATATTCCTCGGGTTCTTGTTCCTACTGTTTTGCAGAACTTCTCCGAATTTTTCGTATGCGTTGATGCAACGGATGGGTATTAGTGAACAAGCTGTTGTTGTTGATTCACCTGGAATATCAAAAAACAAATACTGAATAAATTCAAATTTAACTTGGCCAAGGGTCATAGCCCGTAATTTTCGAAAAAAAATCAACCCTGAAATTTCGGGTCTCATGTAGTTTCGTACCTAACGTACTTCTAGTAGGCGTAGCATAACAATTTTTTCCCGTGTCCATCCTAACCCCCACCCGACCACATCATCCAAAAATTACGTCAGTACAACGTCACAGTGACGTAATAGAGCCCTTCAAATTATGCGAACTGTCATCCAAGACGCACAGACGAGAACCCGAAATCGAACAGCCATTTCTCTCGTCGCAACGATCCCGATAGGAGAGAGATCGCTGACGTTGGTCAGTTCTTTATCGTCGGCGCCGTTTCCATTCCGGGCGATCGTACAAGTATTTGGCAAGCTCTATGACGTGATTGTGACGCTGTAGTGACGTAATTTCTGAATGGCGTAGTCAGGTGAGGGTTAGGATTGGCATGCCCAAAAAATTTTATGCTACGCCTACTAGAAGTACGTTAGGTACGAAACTACACGAGACCCGAAATTTCTAACTGCCAAGTTAAATCGTAACAACTAGCAGGTCGTGGACGGGCTCCAAGAGTTTTGAGGTTCTTAATTAAAAGCATTCCGAGCTACGAAAAATTGCTTTGTATGATAAAAAAAGACTTTTTTTCCTCTTTTCAAAACAGAGGAAGGTGGACATTGCTATCCTCAAAACCCCTGGCTATGACCCTGTTGCAAGAACAAGAGCTGTGAAGCCTGACACCAACTCCAACCACTCAAAAAAATGCTGAAGTATGCGCACCAAGATGTCGCACAACCTGAACACTAACCTGGTACACAACCTGAGTTCAGCTTGTGCGCCATCTTGGTGCGCACTTCAGGGGGTCCCAAAAAACAACTTCTGATCTGAATCTCGACTCGTAGTTGATACCATTCTGACCCAAACCCCAAACTGAAAATAATTTGAGTCCTGCTCGAACTTTGAGAAAACCAAACGATGACAACAAGAAGTCTGGCACAAGCAAGCACTAGTGCAGTTTTGAGTATTTTGTGACGTCTGAAGTTGCCGCAAAACCATGGCAGGATTTCCAAACCATGACCGCTATGGTCAAACCATGGCGGCTGACTTTTTAGCTTCCACAAACCAATGGTGGGGTCTCATGTAGTTTCTTACCTAACATACTTCTAGTGGGCGTAGCATGACAATTTTTTCACGTATCAATCCTAACCCCCACCTGACTACACCATCCAAAAATTACGTCATTACAACGTCACAGCGACGTAATAGAGCCCTTCAAACTATATAAATTGCCATCCAAGACGCGCAAACGAGCACCCGAAATCGAACAGTTATTTCTCTGTTTTCGCGTCGCAACGATTCCAATAGGAGAGAGACCGATAACGTCAGTCAGTTCTTTATCGCCGGCGCCAATGCCATTTCGGTCGATCGTGCGTATATTAGGCAAGCTCTATGACGTAATTGTGATGTAGTAGCGATTTAATTTTTGGATGGCGTGATCAAATGGGGGTTAGGATTGATACGTGAAAAAATTGTCATGCTACGCCCACTAGCAGTACGTTAGGTACGAAACTACACGAGACCCCCAATGAATGGTGTGAGGCGGGGTACCACGGCCAGACGGCAGCAAATTGAAAACTATGGCTGGTAAAATTGTGCTGCCACAAACCAAGGAAATTAGCCTATAATGGCAGGACTGCCCCTGATAGTGACAAACTTTGGGAAGTTGGAACATGTGATGTTAAATCACTGCTTCAAGTGCCTAAATAACGCCAAATAAAAATGTGAAGTGAAAATACAACCTAAATTTTCATTTTTATCAAATAAAAGCCAACTTACCAAGGAGTCCTTGTCTGGCGAGTATTGTTGACCTCCAACAACGACCCAAATACTCTGGAAATTGAAATGCATTTCGTGGTCGCCATAATGTCCCTGGAATAACTCACTGAATCCACATTACAAAGTTATATCCAATAAATGCGCCTCTCAGAGCAGAAACGCACGCACAAAACTAAACCTGAATGGACAAAACCTCTAAAAGGCGAAGATATTTATAGAGCTGACAAGGCCGTGGTTTCGTGAAACATGACCAACGCAGGAGAAAGAGAGAGATTTATTATTTTGTCAACCGAAATATATACAGTCATCAATACGAAAAAATATATAATTGAAATAGAATTATTCACCAAAACAGGACCTACCCACCGAAACCCACTTACAACATGAAAACGATAAGTATGACGTCATGTCATGCACCAAATATTTTCATCTTGCGGTAAAATTATAGACTTGTTTGAGCGTTGCCATATTTTTTCGATTTAAACTCAATATTATTTAATGCATTTTATATAAATCTATTTGATTATTTTATATAAACTATAAATCAAACTATAATAAACCTAAAATCGATGTATTTATATTATTACTATATTTAGAAGATGAATCTTATTATTTCTCAGGTGAAAAATGAATGTAAGTACAAATATCGGGAAAAAAAATTGGCAAGTGTTATTTAACGACAGTGTTGAAATTTTCCAAATTTCAAGAGACGCGCGTGTTACGTTTTGACTGTTTCATAGTAAGTTTTTGATTTCTTGGAGTTATCAAAAAAATGGTAGAAACGAAGCCAGATACTTTAAACACATCTGCAGAGGGCGATCATGATCCTCACTATGAGCCAATCGTTACATTACCTCTCAAAGAAATAAGGAATTTTGAGGAGGACGAAAATGAACTCTTTAAAATGCACGCAAAAATTTTCCGGTGGGCGTCCGAGTCTGATCCCCCGGAATGGAAAGAACGAGGTAGCGGGGACGTTAAATTTCTTCAACATAAAGAGACAAAACGTGTCCGATTACTTATGAGAAGAGATAAAACTCTTAAACTATGTGCCAACCATTTTGTGGATGAGTACATGAAACTGGAGCCGCACTGCGGAAGCGAGAGAGCATGGCTTTACAAAGCGTTTGCGGATTTTTCAGACGACGAGCCAAAACCTGAATTATTGGTTATCAGATTTTACAACGCGGAACGAGCGACTGAATTTAAAGAAATGTTCGATAAGTGCATTGAAATTAATAAAAATTTACCCAAAATTGAGGATCAAGAAGAACAGGAAAGTACTGAAAAACCGGAAACAACTCAAGAATCGAAGGAAACAGCTGAAAAATCGAAGGAAACCACTGAACTTGAATCTGCCACTGAAAACCTGGAAGCACTGAAAATAGAAAAGGGTGACAAAACTGAAAATAACGACGAAAAAAAGACAGAAAATGGTGAAAAAACTCCTGAAAAATATGACGGAAAAGTTGAAACTACCAAAACTGAGAGTTCACCAGAAAAATAACAGAATTATCTGCCAATTTAACTCATTTTTTTGTATGTTTCAGACTTTGAATTTAGGATTTTTTTCTATAATAATATGGATTCTGGTAAAACATGCAGGGGACGTTTCAACTTATTGGAAAAAACATTCTAAATTAAATGACCTCTTAGTTTGGTCGTTTTATTTTTGAGTCTTATACTCGCTTATTTGCGTGGATATACGATATATCACATTTGTCATGTCATTTGAATAGCCTGAGTCTTTGCTAAATCAAGGCATCAAATTTCCCATAGTTAATAGTTGCAATTCATTACCACTGCCTTTTATATTTAATTTACTTCACTACCATATGACCCCATTGACTGCAATACATAACTTTGATAATCATTTATGTGTAGCTAGTCGGAATAATATCATTCCAACAAATAGAAGTCAATTCTGTCAATCGAACTTATGTCAAATCTTTTATATTCTGGTTTGTTTACCCCTTAATAACATAATTCACCGTTTCAAATTCATTGAATGTATCCCTATTGACTGCAATACAATAACTTTGATAATTATCACTCATGTGTGACCTGTCGGAATAATGTCATTTCAACAAATAGGAGTCGATGCTGACAATCCCAATTGGGTTATATTCGACATAGAATGCTTGAGGTTTAAATATAATCAATAAATCTAATTTTGGCAATTCTTGGAGTTTAAAAAAAGATTTGATAAGTTCTTTAATATCAAATAAAGGCTTTTTTAGCTTGTGAATAATAGTTTTTCACTCGAACCATACAAAATTTTTCCTAAAATAAAAATATTGCATATTATTATCGGTAATTTCATTTATTTTGGACAACATGAAGGCAAAAAAGCATGATAAAGTGGCATTAGCACCATTCCTTTTATGTGAGATTGTTCCGACCAGCTATAATGCATCATTCCTTTTACACCTGATTGTTCTGGTCAGTCATGCTTCAGTGATTTTCTATTAGACCGTGCCTCAATGCTGCTTTTCCAATTAATAATATCATCCGTGTTTTTTCAAGGTTTTAATTATTTAATATCAATGTTTATGAAACTACTTGCTGTTTTGTGAATTTTGGACCAAAAATGGCGACGTATTGGAAATCCCAACCTCGAAAATTTTGCGACACTTGTAAATGTTGGCTCTCGGATAACAAAGCGAGTATTGAGTTTCATGAACGAGGGAAGAGTCACCAAGAGAAAAAAGAGAAGCAGATCGCAGCGTTGCGGAAAAAAAGTGCTATTCAATACAAAAATCAACAAAAAGCTGGACAATACATGAAACAGATTGAAAAAGCCGCTTTGAAGCAATACAAAAAAGATTTAGCTGAACAAGGAATTAAACTGAATTTACCTGAGGACACTGAAAAGGAGGAAAAACAGTCAAATTCTGGCGTTAATTCTTTTAAAGACTCACAAACGGGGAGTAAAAATTCAAAAAAACGTAAAACGCAACCCAAAACTAATAATTGGACTAAAGAAGTATCACCCGAAGGCCACACGTACTATTGGAACACTGAAACGGGAAAATCCCAGTGGGTGAAACCTGATGGTTTTATTGATAAAGAAGAAAAATCTGGGGATTCCCCGAAAGCAGCGAAAGTTTCTACAGAGGAATCACCTTGGACTGAGCAAGTTGCCCCAGAGGGAAATACCTACTATTGGAATACTGAAACTGGGAAGTCCCAATGGGTAAAACCAGAGGGCTATAATCCCGAAAATTTGACATTCAAGCCTATTGAAAACAAAGACGATAGGGAGGGGGAAGCCCCTACTAAAAATCCTAAATATGGTGGAGATCCATATGGCTCCTGGTCGGTCATAAAAGAAACTAAGTCGGAAAAGAAAATCGATTTGCAACTCCCTAAAAAACTCTCTAGCGCTGAAAGTGACGGTCTTATAGACAGGACTTCATTAGAGGAATCGCATGAGCCCAAAAAGCGAGAATTTGATGAAAAAATTGTTAAATCGTTAGGTGGGGGGTCAGAAAATTTTAAGAAAAAATCTGTCAAACAAAGATCAATTAGAAAACGTAATGTTGATGATTAATTGACATTTGGGGTTAAAGTTCATGTACTTAGTTCCTGCATTACTTCCTGACTTTTTATTTAATTTTTGTTTTGTGCACTCATGTACTTTGTTCACTATTTCAGACCACAATGCCATAATATGACCATGATGTATTTTTTTTTTCACATGGGGGGGGGGGGGGGTGAGGGCAGTGGCGGGCCAAAGGAGCAGCTGCCCTGGGCAGCACGTTATAGGGGTGAGTTTGTTGCTTAGTTCGATAGTTTAAATAATAATATTACCAATTTACCATTACAAACATTTTACCTCTTACTTGACTTTAAATTTATTTATTCTCATGTATATAACATCTATACGGTAATTTGTTTATCCCCCAAAATTTTTTTTGAAGTTAGGTATAAGAGGCAGCATTATCAGAAACTCGCCCCGGACAGGCCACGCCACCGGGTGAGTGATGTCCATATTTAGAAATTTGATTGAAAAAGTAACTTTTCAAAACTGATGGTCAAACATGAAATAGACTTTCATTTCTGCCTCTGTAAAAATAGAAAATGAATGAAGTAAATATTTATCTGCATTACTCTCTAAATATGTACTGACTTTGGTGTGTTCTTTGCTGGTGCATAGCCAGGGGGTGATTGAGGGGGGATCCCCCCTCCTCTTTGAAATGGAAAAACAGTTTTTTATATTATACATAGCAATTTTTCGTAGTTGGGAACGCATTTTTGACCCTCAGGACTCATGGAAACAACGTTTTTCGACCTCCGCACGCTCCTAACTTGGCAATTATGAATTTTTGAATCCCCCCTTGGAAAATCCCTGGCTACACCCCAGGTTCTTTCTTTGACGAACATGACCCAATCGACAATATATCGGATATTCCGTATTCCTGCAGAATATATTTGGTATGATAGAATGAGCATATCATATTATAAGATACTCCAGAAGTATGTGAACCAAGATGGCGGACACCGGAACGTAGTATGTGTACCAGGTTTGGGTTAGGACATATAATTGGCTAGTCCGCGAACTCGTAATAGGACTAAAATAAAGAAAATTGGGGGCTCCCGAAGTATGCGAATCAAGATGGCGGACATCGGAATGTAATATGTGTACTAGGTTAGGGTTAGGCCATAATTTTAGGTATAAATACTACGGGAGGCACTTGGCTAGTCTTCGAACTAATAATAGGACTAAAATAAGGAAAATTGGAAAAAAATTATCGCCTAGCCCTAACCTGTTACCCATGTTACGTTCCGATGTCCGCCATCTTGGTTCGCATACTTCGGGAGCACTGAAAATTGGAATAATGGTATGGTCCAACCTGGTAAACATACTACACTCCGGTGTCAGCCATCTTGGTTGTCATACTTCCGGAGTACCGATTATAGTACAGGGTGACACAAAAAACAGAACCCTTGTAATTTGGAACATATTCTCAGAGTCTGTTATTTTATTTGTCACTTGAGAGTTTAAGAGGTTTAAACACTAAAATTAAGTTACTGAATGATGTAGATATGGAATTTAAATTTCCAGTCATGGTAGCAAAATACTTGTATTTGACTTGTAACTCTTGCGACCCCAAAAATAACAGCCCGTTGCGGAAATAACTCAACATGGACTTGATTGGCACTCATGCTTCAAGATTTAGTTTTGTCAACACTCTTAATTATCCATATCACAGTTGTTTATGAAGCTTCTATAACGGGCGACGCTCGGTTAAAATTCTGTGAGACAGGGCTTGACCAGGGAGACAGCTAGTTTTCACTATAAGTTCACTTCTTTGCGAAATCACCATTTTTAAAGACTGCAAAATCACCATTTATTCGTTTTTAGGTAGAAGAATTTTAAGTTGACAAGTTCCGTTGCGTGTGCTCTACATTACCTCATGAATTGATTATCACAAATAAGCAGTAAATTCATTAGAACAATTTGCAACATAACTCGAACTGACAGCCTTAGTTTTTCAACGAAGAGAGTGCTTATTCAAAAACCAAAGCTAATAAATTGTAAAATCTTCTAAGGCAGTGATTCCCAAAGTGGGCGATATCCCCCCCCTGGTGGGCGAAAACAATACAGATGGGGGCGAAAAAGTCAAAGGGGGGCGATAGGGGGGCGATTTCGCGAAACCTGTTTTGTTCGGCGCATCGTGCACTTAATTCTGTACTCTGTGTGCATTCGCAATTGAATCACGTGGGCGATTTGCTGGACTCGCCTTCGCAGTAAGGTACGGCAGTTTGCGTATCCCAGTGGTCGACAAAATACGGCCAGAGTAAAATAATCTGGCCCGGGACGCTTCACTGAATGGACCTTTCCCCGACCTTTGACCCGGAAAATTCTTCCATACTTTACCATTTTAAAATTTTCGGTGCTTATTTTAAGAGTGGTTTCGCGAGTTGTTGCCTGTAAAATGGGGTATTTGTTTCGAACTATCATTCTAATACACACCATTCAACAATCTGTTTTTTAAAAGTACCGATAAAGAATTTTAGCCTAGTCTATCACAGCTATTTCTACACTAATTTTTGATTACTGTATTTAAACTGAAACTCATAGGAAGACAAAGTAATCATTGACTTATTTGATTTATATTTAAATTTCCGAAAAACAACTAAAAACTAACGAATATAATTCAAAAACGCGAAAATGAGGTAATGTTCACGACCACGCCTGAAAATCTGTCTGAGTGAATGTGTCTGAGCGGATGCGAAAGGGGGCTTTGCATCTTGCTGATTGGCCAATGTCACGAAGTAAACAAGGAAGTCTATGCCCGGGGAAACATCCAAACGGCGGTTTTAACTAAGAATTTTTTATTTATAATTTACGCAAGGTGTAAAGTACATTTTTTTACGTAACAGAATTTATCGTGAGACACGTTTAGACTAAATTTCATTATATCCTAACAATTCTACAAGCCTACAATTTAATTATAATTATACAAATGGAAACACGCAGAAAAGTTGATGCTGAGTGCAGGGGTTCAACAGCGCAGTAAATATTCGAATATATTGCAATGCAATAAGGAAATTAAATTCATATTCTATTCGAGAGATTCGTTCACTGCATTTTTGTAAGAATGTATCTTCTTAAAGAAAATCTTTATCAAAATTTCACAAACCATGTGAAAATATTCACTTCGATGTTTGGAAGTACATATTTGTGCGAACAATTATTTTCGAAAATGAACATTACAAAGAACAAGCATTAGTGATGCCCATTTAGAAAATGTTCAATCTTGGCGTCGTAAAGCTATCCAGCGTGATGCAGCAACAAGACAGTGTCACATTAAATGTCATTGTAATATTTTTTTGAGTTGAGTTCACGAATTGTCGCAGTTTTCGCGCGCTGTTCCGTTTTTAACTTTCAAAAAATATATGCGACCCGCAAAAGACTAGCAACCCTGAATTTTGTCCTGCGAGCGACATAAAATTTGCCGACCCCTGGGCCGTAGCCGATAGTGGTCACGACTTCTTCCACATCCGAGTCACGAATCCAAACAAATGGCTGATTAATTATATGGACTGGTGATCGGACTGGAGGCCGTGATAGGATGAGGAATCGGGATGAATTTTACCGAAGATGTTATTTCATGTGCAGGTCATCAGGCTGTAGGACGAAGAGATGTACGAAAATAATTAATATAAGTTTGGAAAATTAACTTTGTTTTCATATTTTAATGTGAAATGGGGAATTTAAAGTGAAATGCTATAAGGCAAGAGTACACGGCGGTTTTTGAGAAGGTAAAACCCTGGATTCTTTCATTGAATTTTTGAAGGGAAAGGGATTTTTGCCGTGCTACTATTGCTATCAAAACAATGAAATTGCCTTTCCACCAGTAAACGGGGTAATTTTAGATATAATAATAAACTCGCTGAAGAACACCAAGCTCATCCATCTCATTAAAAACACTATAAACTATGATTTGTCTTCTTATTTGGTCTGTTATATATTCGTTCCTGGCTTTACATTTTTTTGTAGTGCTGGGGGGCGATGAAGTTGTATAAACTACTCTAGGGGGGCGATGGTACAAAAAGTTTGGGAACCACTGTTCTAAGGCACTAATAATTTCCTTAGAGCGACACCAGCAACAGCTATCCTTGCCCATACTCCAACAAACATGAACAACCAACATTATGAAGTACCGGTATTTATATTCTGAAGACAAAGAGAAAAAGAAATAGAATTTGCCATAATTACGGTAATTGATTAAATAGGATTTTTATGCACCGACGCTAGAACTCTCTCAAAGGTGTGATTGTAGACTTAGACGTAAGAGACTCATTCATCTCCGAGTAAAGTCACGGGCACTCACTCAGAGGTAAAGGAGACTCATCTCTAAGTTACATGCACTCACTCAGAAGTGAAAGACTCATTTCTGAGGAGTCACGAGGGTACTTTAGGCCATAATTTTATTCCGATTTTCCTCCTTTCGGCTCTATTACAAGTTCGGGGACTGCCTGTGTTAGCTAAGTGAATATACCCCCTCCTGCCCATAGGTTTTAATCCCTTAACACAACTTGATGTAAAATAGGCGAACAAAATTAATTACCTCCATATTGGTACACATATTTCTGGAGCGCCGTTATGGGCATTCGCTAAGAAGTGAAGGAGACTCATTCATGTGCAATGAACAGAGCAAAAGCTGCTATAAATACAGAATAATTGTGTTACATTATGGCAGGCTATACAAAATACCTTGCGAGGAAGTCTTGGAACTTTATAGCTCGTACTATATGCATTTGACTAATGAAGCAATACAGCTTGAAATCTCCAAAAAGGCATAAATTGTAATAAATAGTTTTTAACAAATATAATTTTTTTTCAAAAATCGAACAAAAAAAAATTAGATTTTATAGTACATGATTAAGTGTAGTGGGCAATATCTGAATAACATGGTAAACACTCGAATAGAAGTGAGAGGAGTCGCATGTTTTAATAATTTACTCTAAACAAGGCTTTAGACCAGAGTGGTCGAACCGGATGTGGCCCGCATCGCATTCGGAAAGTAATCAAGAAATCGCATTTGGTGTTGTCTCGTCATAAAATTAACCAGAAAATTGTTTTGACATATTGTTAATGATGTGCTTGGCTAGTCTAAAATGTTAATTGGCTTTCTATCTTTTCGGTCTGGAATATATGCTAACAATTTTGGCATCATATGAAACTAAAAATTGAATGCGGATTCTGTTAGCCTAGGTTGGGTTGATAAATGGCAAATACTGGTCTTTGCACAATAAAAGTGTTTGTATTGTATTGTTCACCTATTCTTGGCATTATTGTGGCCACTATTCTCTCACAAGCTCTAGGCTCTGTAAGAATATAGGCCGGCAATGGCAAAACACTGACTTGCATGCACACAAAAAAAAACAAATTTACTAGAATTTCAATAATAATGCAGTGGAATACACAATTGAAATTTTTTAAAAGGGGGGGGGGATTTACGAGGCAGTTTTGTTCGGCGTAGTTGGCTGAAATCGTGGCAATGCAAGTCCGAATTTTCGTTCCACTCCAGCGAATGTTGCAGCGGCAAGTCTGTAACCTCCGATGTGGTCTGGACTGATTGGTGGCAAATCGGAAACGTGGACGTACTTTGGTTTGTGCTGTGAACCTGTGGATAAAAATAATTAACCTGTTATACCGGTAATTATTCCAAAATATGTGCTGGCAACAGCACAAAAAGTCGTGGTCTAAATAAGTGCCCTATCCCCCCCAGTAAACCTGTGGATAAGAAGAATTGAGCTTTTGTAAAAATCTTGGAATAAATACTTGAAAGATATGTAGTTGTATTGACTGTTTTTTGTAATGCGTCCTTCAGACACATAAATTACTGAAAACACGTTTCTATCACTCAGAAAGTTTGCTGAGTGTTCAGACAGCAAGAAACATGTTTTATCAATAAATCACTCGAAAGAGAAAAGTCATATGTTAGAATTGTTTTTTAAAAATTTGACATGGACAAAAGAATGATTCATTTCGGCCTGTGGGCGGGACAAAAAAACAAGATAACGGCGATTCGAAATTCCCGTCTGAGCCGATTCCAATAATTTACAATTCGATTCGAAACGCCTAGCCCTAGTCACGATCCAAAACTGGGTCTCTTGCTAATTTTCTTGAGTCGTTTGGTTTTTGAGTTAGTCTCGCGCAAGCCAACTCGAAGATATGTTAAAAAAGTTGATGTTGATGTAATAATGTTAAAAAACACATACCAATGGGCTTGCTTCCTCCGAAATCGACATCAAATACCCTCTGTAGCAATTCATACGTCAACAATGTGACGCCAAACTGGGGGGAAGAACGAAACACACGAGCTGGAGCTCCTTTCCAGAACGCCATAAATCCTTCTTCTTTGTAGACCTGGGAGGTGAGGAATAATATTATAAAATGAGTACTCCTGAAGTATGCGTACCGAGAAGGCAGAAATCGGAACGTTGTATGTGTACCAGGTAAGGGTTAGGACATAATTTCATTCCAATTTTCCTTATTTTAGTTCTATTACGAGTTCGGGGATTAGCCAAGTGACTCCCGTAGTATTTGTACCTGAAATTATGCCCTAACCCTAACCTGATACACATACTACGTTCCGGTGTCCGCCATCCTGGTACGCATACTTCAGAAGCGCCATAAATTGGACTCCATGGGGAAATAGAAAGATGGTAATGCTTTTAACTTGTATCTCATCTACATTCTGTCCAAGTGATTGTCAACCAGAGATGACTGTGTATCAATACTATTTCCCACTCTTTAACTGACCAATGACAGCACAACATGATGGTATGGCATTATGGGTAAAACTACATGCTTTCTGAGTATAAATACTGCCATGCTGGTCTCCAGAGGTCATTCAGTACTTTGGTATAGCAGAGGCAACATTATGTCTTACTGTATATTCTGTTATTTGTGGTGGCAACTGAACTGTTTATGTTAAGTATTGCTTGTGTTCAATGAAACATTAATTTGCACCAATAAACAAATGCGGTCGAATTGTTTGGAGGACCACGACCTACTGTCAGATTATCAGTCAGGTATGGGTAGTCAAATTTATTTCGTCACTGTGCTGAAAAAACGAACTACGCATGAAAAAAAATATTTACCCTTTTAAAGCAGTCTATCATGCTTTTGTAAGGGACTTCCCCTTCTCTTACTTTGACTTGCAACCTTGTTTTAACAACATCAGCCGGGGTGGTGAGAGAAGCTGCCGGGGCACCTGAAAACAAAAACATCCACTGTAAAGGTAAGAACCCATATCAAATGGAAAAATATGATCAGTGTTGACCTGATAACGTCAAGCAACCACGAGCCAATAGAATTTGTTAAACGCCACAGTGCATGGGAGCGCAACAGATGGCCCATAGGCCGCAACTGTGTGTTTTGTCAACACATCATTTTTTTCCATCAAGCATAATTCCTAACTCGATAGTTTATGTTGAAAAAGGTGACAGAAACAGAAGTTGACGCAAGACTTGAAACAACCTTACTCAACACTGTAAGGAAAACAACTTTTTATAAGCATTTCCATACTTTCCTTCAGCGCAAGGCTCTGTGCAAGCAAAGTGGAAAAATACTGATAGACAATGTGAATGTTTTGGTCTGATTACTTTACCAGACTCATTGTACCATTACTTGTTGTTACTTAGTAATTATTGCTTGTTTACATGTTTGTGTGAGGGTGCTACTTTGTTGATGGTGCAATATAGTTTATAACAGGCCTGGATAATGGACCTGTACATGTGTATCTGCCTTGAAGGCGAATAAATTTTTTCCAGACAACACTCTTTGCAAGCAGTGACTAGAAAGAAAATAACTTACCTGCAATAGTTCCAGCAAGCAAAAGTTTTCCAGGGCTGACATGGCCGTCCTCACTCGCAAAAGAAGATTTCATGTGAGCATAAGCCGTGAAGTAGATCGCTGAGAATGGGATATCGCGTAGGAGACAAGCTCTCGAACCCTGTGTATAGAAAGAAGGAAGTTTACTTTCAAATTTTTTTGCCATTTTCGAAGGGTGTTCTGGAATTTCTAATTGCAGAGTTAGACTGTAACAGCTGGTGCGTCTGACCATGGACAAAAAGATGGGTTTTCAGGAGTATTGAGCCCCTAAAAAACGTCTTTTTTTACATTTCAAAAAGGGCATTCAGACCCCAAAACCCTTATCCCTCTGGGTATGACCCACAAACCTTTATTTCATCCAGGGTATCACGGTATAATAAATTGGGTCGGCAGTGCCGTACTGGTATTTTTGAAAAGGCCAGAATCTTTCTGACTCGCCATCACAGATTAAACCAACATAGTTAAATACAACAGCCTTTGACCTGTGCAGCATCAAATCAACAGGAGTGAACAATGCGAGGGACTGTATTTAGAAAATAATTAGGGCTGTACGTAATTTAAAAATTTGCAGACAAACCGGTAACTGAAAATAAATTCCTTATTACAAGCAAGCCTATTGAACACTAGAGCCCGGGGTCGAAAACCTCATTTAGAAATGTCAAAAAAAAATCATTTTTCTGTAAGCAATATTTTCTAGCTAAAAAAGCCTTTCAGGCACTAAAGACTATTGAAAACCACTGTTTTCCGGACAGACAGACCTGCTAGCTGATACAATATAACTTGGCAATTTGAAAATAGACCTAGCATTTGACCTCAATCTCCTTCAAGATAATTATGAAGAACTGAACAGTGAACACTATTCTAATCTTAATCGTACATGTTATATCCAACCAGGGCTGTCCAGAACGAACCGAATATTCGAATGTATTTGAATATCGAAGTATTCGAATACGTTTTCTGCTGATTTTCGAATAGTTCCGAATAATAGCCACTTTTTGCCTTCAGCGAGGTGTTTCGTTTTGAAGAGAAATTTTCAAACGATATTCCTAAAGACTTGAAAAACAACGTTCTCCAGACAGACAGACCAGCTAGCTGATACAACATAACTTGGCAATTGGTAGTTTGAAAATTCTAGCTACGCTACTGACTATAGCATTTGACCCAATGGACCTCCAACTCCTTCAGGATAAATATGAAAAATTGAACATTATTCTGACCTTAACCATACATACTATATGCAACATTTAATACATCACTTTTACATGGCCGTATTCTGAGCACAATATTTTTACCTTATATAGTCCAGTTAATCCCAATTCTTTCATCACAGAAAATGCAGAAACCTTTGGACCGCTGGCGATTTCTCCCGCCACTTGGAGGCGTATTTTAACGATTTCTAACGGATTGGTGAACATGACTTGAGAAGCTCCGGCCTGTAATAGAAACATACTATTAATTTTATGTTCGACTGAGTTTAAGATTTCACAAAAAAAAATGGATGAAAATTGAATAAACTGCTGCAAATCTACAAATATGAGACTTTCTGAATGATATAATGAACAGTTTTATATTTTTTATGAAATAGTCAACTCGGCGGTGTGGCGGATCGTTAGGAATACACTGACCGCACCTCTCATGATCCTGCATGAGTTTGAATCTTGTGGGGGATAATTATGTATGAGCGGATTGCTAGACTCCTCGTCAACGTAGGATGGTTCATATTGCCACTGGTCGGTTACGGCTTCCATTCTTCCAAAAACAAATAACTGGCTAACTAATAACATAACTGACATGGACTGGTAACCGGATGAGAGGCCGTGGTTCGCCATAAAATTAAGCTGTCTTTTTGGCTTTCCTCTCCGCCGAGATAAATATGTGAATCCTATCCTATTACAAACTACATTATTCAAGCTTCACAAATAAGTCATATCATCTGCTTTCCTTTCCCCCCAAAAGAAAATAAAAAAACTTATCTAATAAATACTTACGCATCCACCGGCTGCAATTTCACCCCACAGTGGGACTTTTCCATCGTTACGAAGTTGATCTCGAACAAAATCATTCATCTGGAACGAAATACATTAAGTGTAAAATGTAGGCGTTTAGCGGAAAAGAACAAGTATGGTTCCCGCAATTTCCTCTTACTCTCGTTCAATTGACCTTGTTAACCTTGCAGTCTTGCCTGCCCCCTTCCGGGTATATTTTATGTCTGTCTCGTTAGAATTTGGCATGTTTTTATTATTATTTTATTAGAAGGAAAATTTGAATTTGGGATTTCATACTTTTAATGGTGGCAATTTAAGGCATAATTTTTACATGAAAACTCAAAATATTAAGTTGACTGAGCACTTAGGCATGCATACATCGAAATTGGGTTTTCTCAGAGTATAGAGCTTGAGTTAAAGTTCTCTTACCGGAGAAGTCGATTGTAAAATTTATCCCACTTTCACAGCCCTGGGTTGAAGGCAGGTGTAATTTTATCCAGAGTACGCAGCCGTCGTTTTTGTTATCGGTAGTTTTAACAGTTTGCTCACAACAGCATTCTTACCGTAAGTTTGATGGCTTTCTCCGGGCCAACTCCGATCAGTTGTGGAATTAAACCTCTATACAATCCGAAGAATCCTTCGTGACGAATAACCTGGAACAGAGAAAAAAAAATTTACAAATTAGTGAAAAGCTAGACATTTAGACATGTAGGCTGTTTTGTACATCACAGACAGCGCTCCAGAAGTATGTGCACAAAGATGCCGCACAACCTGATAACTCTAACCTGATACACATACTATGTTCAGGTTGAGCGTCATCTTGGTTCACATACTTCGAGGGCACCTCACAGACTGATAGTAATAAGTTGAGGGAAAATTTATTGTTAAAGTTGTAACACAAACACGCATGCTCATTTATAGTTGTGCCAAGTAGAGCAACTGTCTCAGGATTTGTTAGGAAAGATCAAGATACCAAACGCTAGACTACTTGCTGCCACAAGGTGGATCATATAACCAATGCATATTTAAGGCTTCAGTCACATCAACCCTGCCATGGTTCGCCAAATGATTAAACTCTTCCATTCTCAGCTTAGGTAACTAGTAACACATATTTTGCTAATTTATTGAGTCATTTTATAAGTTTTCTTCTCGCTCCAAGATACACATAACTTACCTTAGAAAAACAATCAAAACTGTTTCTGTACATCAATTCCCCAACGTATGACCCCGATGACCTCTGATTCTGAAGTCGTGTCTTCACAAGGTCAATCGGATAAACTGCAGTTGCTCCACAGGCTGTAAATGAGTATTAAAATTTTTTATACAGCAGTTACTCGCCCCAACCAGTGAGTTTGGGTTAGAGTTCGTAGGTCGTCAATGGGTTACAAAACTATTCAAGGTGGGTCGAAGAGTATCTCCAAATGTTACATATAGATTTCGATCAGATCGGGAAATTGTGGCAATATCATCATGTAGCAATTAACATAATGCGCCGTTATCAGCAGGATGATCAGAGGTGCAGTTGTGAGCGTATTCCTAACGCTTAGCACGATGCGTCACACCTCCGAGCCATTATTCAGATTAAAAGCGCCAAATTTATCACACAAAAACAATCTTAGATAATTTTATTTGAAGACCTCACCTCCTGCTACAACACCAAGAGTGAATCTGTAAGCATTCTCAATTATAGCAACGTAGAAAGGTCGGTGGTGTTCCAGTACCTGAAATAAATACCAAACAAATATAAAAAAGTCATAAGAAATTCGAAATGTGGGCCATAATTGGCCCGTGGGCCGCAGTTTAGGACCCATTACAGAATTTACATATTGACGCGGCAATTCAGCAGTCTAACACAACTTTGAAGTTGATGTACTGTATAGCAACTATTGAACCACTCAAAATTTATTGTCTCAGTTAAGTATATTCGTTTTAAGTCGAAGTCGAAATCAAGAATCTTGAATCACAGAATTTTTAGTAATTTGAAACAGATTCTGTGATATAACTTTGGTATAAACCTACATGAAAATACTGCAACTAGTATTGAGTTCTTCCAATTTGATAACAAATCCAAAATTGGGTCACATTTTATGGGCCAAAATCGGTCATATAAAGGTCCTTCTCCATCGAATAATTGGCACTATTTGAGAACAGATTTTTTGGCTTGCATGATGCTTTTAATCAGGTGTGTGCAACAGGAGCCTGCGGTCCACAACCTGGCCCGCCAAGTCATTCAGTGTGGCCCTTTTCAACACTAAGAATTTTTCCATCAAGCATAAAATCCTAACCCGACATTTTTTTTTAAAAGGCGCTCACATGATTTCAAAATATAATTTCAGAATACTATACAAATGTGGATGACGCTAGTTGTACTTAGTCAAGGACATAGATATTGGGGGGTAACATTCATTTTGTGATGATGGGATGATATTGGGGGAAAAAATTCATTCTGTGATGATGGGATTCCCCCTCCCCCACAAGCAGAAAAAAAGTTTTATTAAGAATACAAAGTAATGATAGTGTCCGATCAATGAAGCATAACACCGCAGCATGATGACAGGGATGATCAAGGCCAAATATTCTGACATGGCGGGCCATGTAAGGTAATGTTACATTTTATGAACAATATTTACAGTGTCACAAAAGCAATATTTGAAAGCAAAAAGCCTTCGTGCCAAAACTAAATTATATGCAATCTCAACAAATTCATTGAGTGGATGAAAGGCCGACACAATGTGTCACACTATGACCCCTTATATGGTTACTAAACCATATCAGGTATGGGATTAGTTAGTAATTTGTTTTCGGAAGCATGGAGTTGATGGTGGAGGAAGCCGTAACCGACCAGCAGTTACGTAAACCACGCTGCGACGGCGAGGAATGCAATAAGCCTTGTGCCAAAACTAACTTTAATCGCAATCTTAACAAATTCATTGAGCTATGTTCAGCTTAAACATCAAAATTTGGTTTTAGTTCGGTTGTGGCAGCATCAGGCGGTCCAGATTGAATTACCCAACAGGCCAGATTTGGCCCGGTGAGCCGTAGTTTCCCATGTCAGGTATAGAATATATTCCAACTGGGTAGTTAATAGGGCTGGGCATTTTCGAATACCTTGTGATTTCAGAATCGAATCGAATAATTTTTTTCGAATCTTATTTCTCTTTCGAAAATGTATAATTGTAAGCGACTTTATTGTAGTAATTGGTCCTCTCAAAAATATGAATTACTGAATACATAGAATAAATCACCCAGATAGATTACTGAGCGTTCACACACAATAACAAACACGTTTTATCAATAACTCACTACAGAAAATAGTCATATGTTAGAATTTCGTTGAAAAAATATGACTCCAATGAAAAAAAAATGGGGAATTCACCTCGACCATTAGCGGAAAGATAAAAATAAGATGGCGGCGATTCGAATTCATCTCTGAACGATTCGAATAATTTACTATACGATTCGATTCGAAATGCCCAGCCCTAGTAGTTAACAACAAAGAATACGCAAAAGTCAAAATGTGCCAATGATAAGTCATACAAAGATGGCCGAAACTGACCACCTAATATTTGTACGGTTTTGCTAATTTTGAATTATTGTAATATTCAGTCTGTTTTCCTGATCAATGATGCACAAATGCAATTGTTCATGTAATAATGCAATGGATTTCACACAAATGAATTTTGGTTTGAAGAAGGTTCATTCACAAACTCTCTATTAGACTTCTATTTTACTGATTCTCATGAAAAAGTATTGAATTTGCTTTGAACGGAGCCAAGTTTTCATATAATGAAAGAAACAAAGCAAAGTTATTATCAGATTACCTCTTCACAATATCCCATCCCCCCAGTATGAAATGAAATCTGAACAAATACAGCCAACTCAACAACCTTCTGTTTCAACTTACTGAATCTCATGCAAGGTTTTTACAATTGAAAAATTTTCAAGGCTGCACCCCCCCATTTATTTTGGCCCCAGATGATTTTTACACATATCCTATATGTTGCTATTTAATAATCAACAATAGGACTATCCCCCCCTGTTCCTGTTTTAACTCATTGAATGCAAGATTTATGTCGAAAAATATTTTAAGCCTATTTTTATAAAGATTTTATAAATATTAGAAACGTTATGTTGCTATTAACTATTCAATTTAGAAATGTTCCCCCTAAATTTTTTTTACACAAATCATGTTCATAACTAACTATCAGATTTGTTTATGCAGTATCGTTTACATTCCATGTGATGAAATAAACTCATGCAATTGGTGGTCATGTGACTTCATGCTTCAATAAATACCAATCTCATACCTCCACTTCGTCGCTAATAGTAACATTATCCACCCCTCCCATGATGTCATAAAGCATTGAACCTCTCAATGCCCCGGATTGGTAGCCAATATGCTTGAACTCTTTCTAATCAAGAAATAATGAGTTGTATGGTGAGCAAAATAGCGAGATCACGCCGACGCAAACGACTTCTAAAGTTCCCTTCAATCAGTATTCGCTAAAGTGGATGAAAGGCCAACGCAATGTGTAGCACCATGTCCTCTGTCTGGTTACTAATCCATATCAGGTATAGGATTAGTTATTTGTTTTCGGAAGCATGGACTTGATGGTGGAGGAAGCCGTAACCGACCAGCGGTTACGTGAACCACCCAACGACGGCGGCGAGTCCAGCAATCCTCTCGCACATAACCATCCCCGCATGAGATTCGAACCTGCGAATCCCCGCAGAGTAATCAGAGGTGCAGTGGCGAGCGTATTCCTAACGCTTAGCATGAGCCACAACGCGGCCTAGGTAACAAGTTATTTGTTCCAGATGCATGGACAGGATGGTGGAGGAAGCCGATACTAACCATTGGTTAATGTGCACCACACCACGACATAAAGTCCAGCAATCCTCTCGCACATAACCACACAGGATTCTAACCTGTGAAACCACTTAGTAAACAAAGACACAATGGCAAGCTTGTCCTGTAACTCGAAAACAATTACAAGAACTGCTATACAACGACAAGGAGACCATCGAAGAATTAATCGCCACAGGATTCAAACCTGCGAGCCAACGCAGCGTAATAAGAAAAGCGATGGCCACTGGTTTTCAACGCTCATCACAATGATCCTTGTAAACTTTCTTCTCAACATTGAAACATAATATTCTCGGTAATCCCGTAGTATGTGTACCAGGGAAATATCCTCATATATTTTATTCGACATTAGAGTGCCGCTGCTCGATAACCTATATTGGTTTTTAGCGGTTTCCCTCGCCCTGAAACGCATCTTTCATATTTATTGTAATTTTTTGTATATCTAGTGTTTTCACCAATGTTCCCTCTAATTTTTGTAGTATGTGTGCGCAGAAATTTTGGTGTGTGCGCATTTTTTTGGAAATGACTAATATTTGTGCAAAAACCAATGAAGAAATTTTGGCGTTCTAACCGGGTAATGGGTGGGCCAACAACAAACTTTCTCAACCTGCCAATCGAGAACATTAATACATTACATCGAAATACGTCTGTGCGCAGTAAATCTATGCGTGTGCGTAGCCTCTGACAGCTGTGTGCTCGCGCACACGCGCACACCTTAGAGGGAACACTGGTTTTCAGTATAGTGAAAAAATAAATTACTGATTACTCCATTCATAAGATTATTTCACGTCATATTATGGGTGAAGTGTAGTACATTAGTATTAGCAAGCTGTTATTACTTTTTTCTAACATTCCCCTTTCCTTAGTTTAGTTATTTCGCCATTACCCCGGGTGTTGGTTGATTATATCATGGTTTCCCAAACTTTTTGGGTCTATTTATGAATCTAATTTTTGACGGACCGCCCATCTTATGTCCTAATCAATTTTTGTGCCTGACCTATGTGGAAGGATAATGTTTTCATTGCCGAAATAGAAGCCAGGAAAGTCTTAACTAATAAATACTAACATTGAATGCCAGCAGGTCAACGGCAATTTAAAAAGGATTATGATTTATTTGTCTGTATTTCAGACTCTTTTCATATCGTTGCGGACGCCCTGTGCAGTCATCACGGAACCCCAGGGGTTTGCGAACACCCTGCTTCACATAGGATAGGATAGGATTTACATATTTATCCCGAGGGAGAGGAAATCGATAAGACGGCTTATTCATATGGCGAACCACGGCCTCTCGTCCGGTTACCATTCCAAGTCGGGTATGGGATTAGTTAGTTATTTGTTTTCGGAAGCATGGACTTGATGGTGGAGGAAGCCGTAACTGACCAGCGGTTACGTGAACCACCCTACGGCGGCAATGAGTCCAGCAATCCTCTCGCACATGATCATCCTCGCATTGGATTCTAACCTGCGAACCCTCAAAAGGTAATCAGAGATGCGGTGGCGAGCGTATCCCTAACGCTTAACACGATGCGCCACACCGCCGAGCCATAATAAAACATATTAGTACAAACACTTCGTCTAGAGCGCCGAATTCTCACCTCTTGTTGGGCCACTATATTGTAAGGCATTGACCCTTCTTCTAGTGCTCCGATCTGGTCCAGTTCTTTCATTGTTATTTTTCCGTGTCGATGACCGAGGAGGGAGGCCAAATGAAACAGTATATCGGCCTCTAGTGGTGTTATTCTACTGACTCTTTGTGCAGCGATTATGAATTCCTCTGAATTGATCAAAGTGGAGATAAGAGAGATAATATAAAAGATAATAATTAAATCAAAAGATAACAAATTGATATGATAGGGCTAATAGAACAGGGGTGGCCAACCTGTTTTCAGCTGAGATAGACTAGTTAATAAAGTAGCATAAAAAAATAGAGAGACATCAATTCTGATAAGTAGGCACAACAACAACATCATGCGCAATCGACCGCTATGAATATGATGCGCCTAAGATGCGACCGGTCCATCACGAACGAAATGTTAGCCACTCTTGATGCAAAGATATAGATCATTCCACATAATGCAAGTCTTACTAAAGCCTCGACCACAGTCAAGCTTCATGAGGCTCATTAACTGATAACTGACAGACTTGAGAGATCATAACCTTTTATCTATCGCGGCGGTTCCCTAGTGGAGGCCCACAGAGCGGTTAAAACGGGGCCCACAATGCTAGTCGCAAAACTGATTATAAATTCCTCTTTGAAAGAAAACTCTTTCCAGTTTGCATAGACAAGGTTATTTCAAAAGTTTTTTTTCATTTAATGATCATGAATTGTTTGAACATAATGGGATTTGGAATCTACCAATTAAAATAACACTATAAATACCACTGGAATGATAAACAGGGGGGCATGAGTGCTAAAACGTCTCTGGAAAGGGAACAAGTGTCATAAAAACTTGGAGACCACTGATCTATCGACTGTCTATAAGTAATATTTTAACATATAAGGGATGAATGAACATATTCAAAATAAGGGAAAATGCATCAAAAAAGTCAATTCACGCAAAATAAACAAACCAGAATATCGGTTGGAAACCGAAGACTTATCGATCGATAGTTAGGGGATCCCCCAAAACAGAAACTGCAGTTTCGATTCATCCGCTCTTGGAACTTGCGCACTGCGCATCCCACACACACACTCGGCGGGTCTCAAAATCCCCTCGCTTTACAAAAACCTAGATCACTATATCAATAATTGATTGATAACTCGCTAATTATACGACATAATTCGCCCAAAATCAATAGGCTTCTAGTCCGAGATAAGATGAATGCACATGCTGAATCTGGAGCAGATTCAATCTTGCTTTCGTGAGATATCGCGTGCATCTAACAGACAAACATACAGACAAATACCTATCAACATACTTACCGATTAAAATCGATAAGTGATAACTGGCTCACTAATCCCATTCCCACCCAACATAGACTGGTAATCGGACGAGAGGCCGTGATTGGCCATATTTAGATTAAGTCAGTCTTATTACTTTCCTCTCCCACCAGACAGACAGGTAATTCTATCCTAACATAAAACCACGTTGGGTGTATGTGACCTTGTAAGGATAAAGGATCAAAATGAAACTGACCTTGACTGACCTTGTAAGGATAGAAGATCAAAATGAAACTGTCCTTGACTGACCTTGTAAGGATAGAAGATCAAAATAAAACTGACCTTGACTGACCTTGTAAGGATAAAGGATCAAAATAAAACTGACCTTGACTGACCTTGTAAGAATAAAGGATCAAAATAAAACTGACCTTGACTGACCTTGTAAGGATAAAGGATCAAAATAAAACTGACCTTGACTGACCTTGTAAGGATAAAGGATCAAAATAAAACTGACCTTTAGTGACCTCTTGTTCTTCATGACTTCCAGCGCTGGTTTGATATATTTTCTTGACAAGTTCCATATTTTTTAATAAATTATTGAACGCTTGAAAAAATGTGAAACTGACTGTCTGCATTCCCATACTTTTGACAACCTGTGGATAAAATAACTTGGCTTAAAAGAAAATCTAAAATATGACCTTGATCGAAAATATGACCTTCAAAAAAATCGAGACAAATATTAGTTTTTCAAATATGGTCAATTCGTTTATAAATATGTGTTGGAAAGAAACTTTGGACGCTAAGAATGGCAATTTTTCAATAATACATTAAATATAAGGTACTTTTGTATCATCGAAAGTATTATAGAAAAATTTGCCATTATAAATAACCAAATTGGGCCATCGAATTGCAGACTTGCAGTACAAAATATATTGACTATTAGTCCCAAGTGACCGCTCAAAATGCCAGGTGCTGAAACACCTCTTGAAATAATTGTATTCAGCGTCAGTGGAGCAAATTTTAGCAACATATTTGTAAAAATACTAGAATATTTTACTGAATTTGTTGTCGCTAGGACATAAAAAAAAGACAGGTAATATTATTTTCCAGAAAATATAGAAAATTTACTTTGTATTCAGAATATTTTTACTAATATTAATGTTTTGTTGTACAGTGTTCACAAATTCAATTTTGTTATGAAGTCAGTTCTTAATATATCTTAACCGGCATTGTTGTTTTTTAATTATTACTTATAGTAAGTGTTTTTATTTCATTTAATACATCTGTGAGGGCCAAAACAATATATGGTATCGATAAATCCCCTTTGCAATTTTAAAAAATTTTGTGACTTTATGGGCACCCTATTTATATACACTAGTATTATGACCACTTATGAATAAACAGTCCAATTTTGAAAAATTTAAAGACGACTTACCGCAATTAAGTTTTCTTTGACAAAATCGGTCAATAAATGAGGTCGTATCGTCTCCATGATGTCTCTGAACGCAAGAGCAGATATCGCTCCCTCCTTGCGGACGTCGAAGCGCTCAAACGCTTGAAGTGCATGTTCGATTTGAAGTTCCTTGAAATACAAAGTATTTAATGGTTAAAGCTAACCGTATCTTTATTGTATTTCTGGCAACTAGCATTCTCCAAGATGGTTGAGCATGACCTGTGATGTCATCAGTTACAGATGAGTGATCATGACCAGCCAGCTGTGAAAGTGAATTGACTATATGACTTTGTATTCATTTCATGTTGGTGTGCTATAATGAGTTGAAAATGAGAATGAGGATTTTTCATAGTGGGGCACGTACAGCTGGTAAGGTAGCAATATAGTTTATCCAATGTTTTGAACGTCTATATCAGCTGTTCCCAACTGGGCACAGCAGCCCCCCAAACGGGGAGCAGTTGAGGGGGCCACAATGCTAGCAAACCACCACTCTAATTTTGATCTGAAAATGGGATGACAATTGTGCGATAAGAACTGAACAAAAAGGAAATTCCATTGCTACATTTGCCAATATATATAGCATGGTCTTCTATAAATAGAACAGCTACTGTTACATAACAATAGTGAGAACAATAGGTTTCTTAGACAATGATTGTTCCCTTTTTTATTTCACAATAAAGCCCTGTATAAGAAATATAGTCAGCATATCATAGTGACTGATAGGAATACACTTGCCATTGTACCCTCTGAATACCCCAGTCAAAAATTCCAAAATCTAAAATATTTGAACCGTGATCTATAGCACGGGTCTTCGAATTGGAATTTGTTAATTACCACAAGGCAAATTCCAGAGATAAAATCCACCACGCCACCATCTTTTTCTTGTGTCATGACTAGGGCTGGGCATTTTCGAATACCTCATGATTTCAGAATCGAATCGAATAATTTTTTTCGAATCTCGAATACTTTGGAGATATAAAATTGTATGTAACTTTTATGTTATATTAGGTCCTCCAGACACATAAATTACTAAAAACATAGAATACATCACTCAGGCAGATTGCTGAGTGTTCACACACAATAAGAAACATGTTTTCATCAATAACTCACTACAGAAAAGCGTCATATGTCAGAATTGCGTTGAAAAAATATGGCTTCAATAAAAAAAAATGAGAAATTTAGCTCGACCATTGGCGAAAAAAAAAAATCAAGATGGCGCCGACTCGAAACTTTGCTCTGAAACGATTCGAATAATTTCATATTCGATTCAAAATGCCCATCCCTAGTCATGGCTCATGAGTGATATAAAAAGAGACGCCAGTCTGACCAGGAATTTCCAAACTCATAGTGTTACAGAGCCCGTGAAAAGGTTGACTATTATTTACCGAGTCCCAGAATAAATTTAATAAAAATAGTGTTACTTAACGATTATGTTCCTCAGTAAATTAAAAATGGGGCTCCGAAGTATGCGAACCAAGATGGCGGACATCGGAATGTAATATGTGTACTAGGTTAGGGTTAGGCCATAATTCTAGGTATAAATACTACGGGAGGCTCTTGGCTAGTCTTCGAACTGATAATAGGACTAAAATAAGGAAAATTGGAAAAAAATTATCGCGTAACCCTAACCTGTTACCCATGTTACGTTCCGATGTCCGCCATCTTGGTTCGCATACTTCGGGAGCACCTTAAAAATACTTTATTTAACGACTCAAATGTATTTATTGCTACTTTGGACAGTTACAAAATTAGCCAAGTCAGTATTTTAACAAAAAAGAAACAGCTCGCGACGATCCTAGGCTTCCATCATGAAAATTTAGGTTTAGACCAGGGCTACGTGAATATGTAAATATATAAGCGAGAATATCGGTCAGAGACCGGAGACTTATCGAAAGTTGGGAGATCTCCCAAAACAACGCTCTTGCTCCTAGTGACGCCTTGTGTCTCATCACTAATTAATTGATAACTCGCTAATTATACGACATAAATCGCCCAAAATCAATAGGCTTCTGGTACGAGATATGATGAATGCACATGCAAAATCTGCAGCAGATCCAATCTCGCTTTCGTGAGATATCGCGTTCATCTAACAAACAAACAGACAGATAGATAGACAAATACCTTAACAAATACTCTTAAGATCGATAAGTAATAAATTGCCTTTGTTTAATATAGAGTGCATAATTTGTGCTGTTAAATTCATGACAATGTTTTCTATTTTAATATTGCACTTAGTAGCTATGTTATGTAATATTCAATTTGATCATGATGCGAGTAGTTATATTTCCTATGGAGCCACATTGTAAATTCAAAATGAAATGGCCGGACTAATTAGGTCAATTGCATCGTTTATTCATCGTTTATTATATTTCAATGCACATTTAAATGAAACAAAATATAATTTAAATTTCTTACCATTATGAACTAATATAAATATATACATATCTAATTACATCATGATCATATTGAATAGTACATAACATACTAAGTGCGATATCAAAATAGAAAACATTGTCATGAATTTAACAGCACGAATCATGAACTCTATATTAAACAAAGGCAGTTCATTTATACATTTACATGTTCATGTATAAATGATTAAATGATTTTACACTGTTTTTTATTTTGTAAAGTGATTGATTGATACAGACACTGGCTTTGTCTGCGATCTAAAATTAGTACAGTCAATTACGTTTAGATTTTCCTATTCAAATTTTGTTTAGAGGATTTACATATTTACATACAAAAAATTTCAGAAGTTGTTGGGAACAGAATGGGCCAAATGCCTTTATGGGGGTAAAAAAGCAGGAAGGAATTGAAGCTGAAGTGCCAAAAAATATTGATTACAAAGATATTCTCATCCACATTAAAATAACCAGAGATCTGGTATTTACTAAAATTGTGACTTAGGCCTGTTCTGTTCTCATCCGGCGAAATACAGGGTAATCAGACCAAGTATAGACAAATGTTTATTAAAATATTTACAATATAAATGTAGTAGAGAAAAAATTTATTTTGCAGAAAATAGCATTATAAAAATAAATAATAGAATTCATTGTTATTTTTCGATATATTCTCCCTTTGCTTTCACTACACGCTTCGATCTGATTGGAACTTGACTGCGCGAGGCCCGTATGGTTTTTTTTGAAATTTTGTCCCAACAAGGTATCAATCTATGCCTTAGAGGTGTTGTTATCAACCTGAGGTTCGCAGCTTTGAATAATTGCAACAATTAACTTTTGTATTCGATGAATAGCGTTTACAATTATAGCGCTCCATTTCTTGTCTTTAGAGATCGCCCTTGCCGTTTCTGTCCACCAAAAACGGAAAGGGCATGTTTTCACTGTTTTGAGAGTTACGTCTCAATGCGTCTGTATTAACAAATCGGCAAATAAGGAATCATTCGTGATGGCTAGCACTGATCAAAGTGTGTTCAAAGGACAAAATTTCAAAAGAAACCATGCGCGCAGTCGAGTTTAAAACAGATGGAGACGTGTAGTGAAGTTAAAGGGAGAACAATGAATTCTAATATTATATTTATAATGCTATTTTCTGAAAAATATGTTTTTTCTTTCTTACATTTATATTGTTAATATTTTAATAAACATTTGTCTACACTTGGTCTGATAGCCCTGTATATCGTATATGAGGTGAATTATTTATTCTTTCTAAATTGGATTCATTCAGCAAGTCATAATAATATATTCTAATTATTTTTTTTCTCAATGTTTGTTTAACATCAATGGCTCAAAATCTTTTTGCAAAAATGGATATTTATTGACTGTCTAGCCATTGATTAAACCAACCTGTAAAAACTGTGTGAATTCTGCATAATTCAACGCTTTGTCCAAATTCCGTCCGAAATGTAATTTCACAAATTTACAGTCCCAGGTGAAAGGTATGTGTCGATGACATTCTGTCTTGCTGAAGATTTCTTCAACTTCCGCTGTGATGTAACAATAAGAGGATTATATAAACACTGTGATAAAATAAATGAGTTGGAAACACTAATAAAGTCAATGTTGATTTTCTAATGGTTTCAACACGACCGGCGATAATTTTGAGAAATTAGAATAATTCCACTGATAAGCTAAGACATGGTCCCAAACTGGGGCTCCCGAAGTATGCGAACCAAGATGGCGGACATCGGAACGTAACATGGGTAACAGGTTAGGGTTAGGCGATAATTTTTTTCCAATTTTCCTTATTTTAGTCCTATTATCAGTTCGAAGACTAGCGTCGTATTTATACCTAAAATTATGGCCTAACCCTAACCTAGTACACATATTACATTCCGATGTCCGCCATCTTGGTTCGCATACTTCGGGAGCCCCCCCAAACTTTTGGGCAGCGGACCCATATTTGAAAATCTTAGTTTTGACGGACCCCCTTCCTATGTCGTATCAATTTGTGTGCTTAACTAACTAGGAAGGATAATGTTTTATTTACAACACAAAGGATATTAATGTGATAGATGAGGTTGCTTTTCATTGCACAATGTATCACTTCTCGAAACAATAGGTGACAAGAAAACTCGTAGGTCCAAACTTGTGGTAAGAGCTGAAAATGCTGCCTCACATTGATTAAAATCAATCACTAAAGATCAATCAGACCATTTTCATATCGTTGCGGAATTCCTGTGCAGTGATCCCTCGAGGGTCCATGACCCCAAGGAAACACTGAGCTAAGAGATAAATATTTGCTACATTGAAGCAGAATTGCACTGATTATTTGGTTTCTGCGAGACTAACTATTTATCCTTCTTCTATGCTTTTGTGTCGGTAGATCCGTATGTGTATATTGCAAGGATGCTGTAGCAAGAGTGAAGATGACAATCCTAAGTGATTAAAGAGTCTTGCTGCACACTAACAGCAGAGACTCTCACTTGAAGCAGAATATAAGCAAAAATGATCGCTACAGACAAATTTAATATAAATAAAAAGCTGAAAGCTAGCGTGCCAGTGGCCTTATAAAATTCTTCTATCGGTCCACTCTAAGTAAACATACATGGAAATAAGGGTTCCCGTACATTTGAACCCACGTACATCTGACCCCACGACAATTGCACCTGCATACTATTGCACCTATGGAAATTTATTTTGTTTTACGGATATTTGAACTCATACTAACCCTAACCCATGGGTTTTAGCACCCGCATATAGATTGAACCTGCGTATATACACATGGGTTCAAAATGTACGGTCACCGGAAAATAAGTTCCCCAGTGGCTGTCAGCAGCTCATTCATTGGCACTCTTTCAACTTTGATGGATCAGCTTCAAGCAAACATGTATAAAATAGCAATACGAGAATATCGGTCAGAGACCGAAGACTTATCGATCGAAAGTTAGGGGATCCCCCAAAACAGCGCTCTTACTCCCTAGTGACACCTTGTGTCCCATCACTAATTAATTAATAACTCGCTAATTATACGACATAATTTCGCCCAAAATCAATAGGCTTCTGGTCCGAGATAAGATGAATGCACATGCAAAATCTGGAGCAGATTCAATCTCGCTTTCGTGAGATATCGCGTGCATCTAACACACATACAGACAGACATACAGACATACTTACAGACAAATACCCATCAACATACTTACCGACTAAAATCGATAAGTAACAATAAGAAACTCACTAAAATTGATGCTTCCATTGCAATTGACATCGAACAGTGAGAAGGCGACTTGATAGAGAGAATCAGGAAGGCTAAGGATGGATTCGAACGCTTGAAATTCCGGCCAAGATATGAGACTGAAAAAAGGGGAACATTTGCTCAGTTTTTGCAAGTTTGTTACTGATTTTCTTAATATTGCTAGGATATGTTTTCATTTTCATCCAATAGGGAAAGAAAGCAAGTAAATTGGCCAAATCATATCAGTGTTTTTATTTTTATCCAGACGGAAGAGAAAGGCTGACAAGTGACAGGACAGCTCAGTGACGCTGCCCGATAACTATTACTGGTAAATCGCGTCTCCCTTCACACTGAAATTCATTTTTTTTCATCTTTCTTTATTCTGTATGTACAATGTGTATTTTCAGCATGTCTAAAATAAACTACTAATTACTGGTTAGCTCAATCACACGGCGTATCGCAGCCTCTCATCCAGTTACCAGTCCATGTTGAGTATAATAATAGATGACCGATACTCTTCTCGATCGGTTACTCGAAATTTAGGATATGATTCAACGAAAGTCGACAAGACGGCTTGATCATATGGCAAACCACGTCCTTTCGTTTGATTACCAGGCCAAGTTGCATTTAGGATTAGTTAGCAGAGGTTGCGGTGGCGTATTCCTACCGCTTGGCATGGTTTTGACACTTCTACGTTCTACTCAATACTAAACTTACCCATCATTTGTTGTGTCCGCCACTCCTCCAACTAAATTTAACGTTTCCAGACTTCTGTTTCCATATTGCATCATTAGTAAGAATTTAACAACAAAATCTTCCCTCGTCATGTAATGCTCCCCATCTTTCTCAACACTTGCATACTGGAAATGACATTAAAAAAAATAATGTTTTATCTACGGCGTCCAGACAGTGGTGTGTCACACTTTACTGCTGCCCGGGGCAAGTTTCTGATAATGCTGCCGCTTATACCTAACTTCAAAAATTCGTGAGATAGACAAATTATAGATGTTGTTATACATCAGAATAGATAAATTAAAGGTCAAGAAAGAGTAAAATGTTTGTAACGTGCTGCCCGAGGCGGCTGCCTCTTTGGCCCCTCTCTAGACACGCCACTGTGTCCAAGTTATACACAATATCAGATACAATAAATATTTTTTTGAGCATTCACCCAGTAATACCTATTTTAGATTAGATAATTTGAACTCTATCATGGTAAAAAAAATGGCGCTCCAGAAGTGTGTGTACCAATATGCAGGTAACTGATTTTGTTTACCTATTTCACATCAAGTTGTATAAAGGGATGGAAACCTATGGGTAGGGGATATATCCACTTGGCTAACAGTTGCCGAACTCGTAATAGAACTGAGATAAGGGAAATCGAAATAAAATTACTGCCAAACCCTAACCTGGTACACATACTTCGGGGGTACCCAAAAAGTACAATACGCAAAACAAACACACAGGACAGAAATTCAGGACAGTTGCCAAAACTTCGAATGTGCTTCAAACATGAGAGAAATGCCCAGTAGATAATTTAAATTAGATTCTGTAATGGTACAAAATTATTACGATACACAAGACAAACAAACAGGAAAGAAAATCAGTGAGGTTTAAACACAAAACATAAAAGTATTACATGGGTAATAATTTCACATTGCTACATCACAAAACTCAATGAGATACACTCTAATCAGGCTTCAAACTCGTAAACATTGGGATAAAACATTAATACAAGTGCAAAAACACGTCGAGATACTTCAGTGAGTCACAGTTCTGCGATTCCAAGAATAGGCCCCACATTGAAAGAGATCAATTACAACAGTTGGTATAAACCCCTCTTTTACGAGACAGTCTGGGCCTCCATATCGACAAATCAGCTTTGCGCAATAAATTAAAAGGAAGCGAGGCTAAAACATTTACCATTGAATTCCTCCGAAAAAACAAACCCAATTCACCAAAAACATTTTTCACTGTGGCGTAAAAAGCTTACCTTTAAGAAAACATCTTTTAAATCCGGATCCCCTGCCTTCATTGCAATATTTGGAAGATATTTAAATAAATTAAAGAATAAATATTTCTATCTGTAAATAGAAGGGAACAATGAATCATTCTGTTACTAAAAACCGTTGAAACGTGATTAGGCGGAATAATTTGATCATAAAGTGTAAGTGTCAATGCTGCCATTTTATGCTCATCATGGCTGTCTTATAGGTTATAAAAACCTATTCTCGAAGTACTGAAGTAGGATACCGTAAATGGGATTTACAATGGCTCTGCTACAATACAGATACAACTGTTCAATTTTTTCATGGAATTGTTGTGTTTCATCTGCATTCAGCATTTACATATCCCGGGGAGAGGAAAGCCGATAAAACTGCTTAACCATATGGGGAACCATGATCATTATCCGGTTACAATTCCATGTCATGTATGGAATTGACTGTTAGTTGTTTTCGGATTTTTGGGGTAGGATGAAGTCTTAATCGACCAGCGGATACGTGACCACCCTACTTATATCATTATTTCATTTATTATTTTAAAAAAAGAGAAATAGTATACAGCCAGTGCTAAGTATTTGCGCTCGAACTCTTTTAGTCAGTGTATTCTTTTTTTTAATTTACTTCAATGTGTTGTTTGCTGTTTTAGATAGTAAGTGGGCAGTGAATCATCATGTCTTAAATCTTCTTTCAGACTTTGCTGTATTTGTTTGTTTTGCCCTGTATTGCTTCTTTGTTGTATTGTAACAGAAAATCGAAACGAACTTGCTACTATTTATGTGTCACTTGTTTTGGAGACAGAAATCTTACCAATGTAACCAGGCAACTTATATTGTTATATGCAGCAATTCCCATACAATCTACAAACTGATTAGGCGCGGCGGTGTGGCTCAACGGGCTAAGTGTTAGGAATACGCTCGCCACCGCACCTCTAATTACTCTGCGTGGGTTCGCAGGTTCGAATCCCATGCAGGAATGGTTATGTGTGAGAGGACTTTCCTCTCCCCCGGTATAAATATGTAAATCCTATCCTATTATAGAGAATCGAAATAAACTTATTAACTTAATTTTTGTCTGACAAGACCGCACCTCAACCACTAATTTCAGTATTAAGACAAAGGCTGAACATCTTACATACTTAAGTTTATTGAACACTTATCAATCTTATTATCAAACCTTGTGCTCATGAACATTTAGAGACTTACAAGTCCAGAAAATCAATCTACATAAATCAATTTCCAGTTTGTCTTCCATCATTTCCATACATACAGACATATTTAGAACCTGCCAACAGGTTACAGAGATTAATCAATTATTATAAAATAGCGTTTGTTATTTTTTTGCAATCATAGATGTTCTTGTGGTAAAAAAATTTCCTTCAATTTTGTAGAAGCAATTCTGTAATTCACAAATTGATACCCGGGCATGTTTTCCCCGCACGATTCACAAGCCCAAACGCGACCTTGTAACCTCTCAATGCCCTAATTTAAACAACTTGTTGAGACGAATAAACACTGAAACATGCACGCATATGACCACATCCTGACTTCAGCTTGCAACGTTCAAGAAATATTGCACGACCATTCCCCTGCTACCGTTTTGGGTATTTTGCCATCATTTTGACAGTTAGTTTCCGGCTGGCTGGATAATTTCGTAGCGCAATAACCGAAATATTGCCTCATTTACGACCTGCCTACAAAGCGTTTATGCTCAATTTCACAATCCTATATCACAGTACTGCAGTATTATATCACATAAAGCAGTAAAGTTTTATGTTGAAAAATGCCGGAAGCGAATGGTATGAATGGCACATAACTTCGTTACGACCTCGCAAACTGAGCTTCAATAAAACACAAAAATTCACATATATACAATGAATATGATATAATTATTATTATTATATTCAAATAGATATTTATTTTGGCATCAAAATTAAAGCATATAACGCCAGACAAAATAGCCCATGCCGGCGTCTGGGACATTAACCTTGAGTAACCTTACAAGGAATGCCGCAAGTGCGTGATCACGGTGTTTTGATTGGTCGATGTATTCAAGCGTGATGATAAATCGCGTGCTAAGAGCGTGATAAAGTGTCAACAAACGCGTGATCGAAAACCACGTTTTTGTCAAGTGTTTGCTCGCGACGTGGAGCTTTTGGTTCGGGTTTGGGTGTTCGTAAGGGTTCTCAGTGTATCCGGAAAATGCTGAACTTCTCAAATAGTCTAATAGTATGACGTTATACAAAGAATCAAATAAAAAAGCCCTTTATTCTATTGATCATGTTCTGTTAGTATACTGGTTCTCATCGAGTGGGCCATGTACCACTGCTCGGTCATAGGGACATTTTCAAGTTGGCCACAAGTCTATTGAAAATTACTATGGTTATTGAAAATTTCAGTTGCATTTGTGTAATTATGGTCAAAATATTTATTGCAGTAGCAATGAATGATGCTGTTGCTTTTCATTCTAATTATTGAATTGAAAGTATTTATTTTTGCAAAAAGAGTCTTGTTTTCCTTGTAGTTAAAAGGTTGAAAACCACTGTGTTAGTCTTTAGTTAGATTGTCCCAAGGGTGCCACCTCGCTCGATAACAATAATTGATTTTCGGCTTCTCCTTTCACCCCGAAGTTCGATATTTTAATTTTCTTCAAATTTGTGTTTTTATAGTTCGTATTTTCAATATGATGAAGAAATAAATTACTGATTGCTTGAGGTGGTTGGGTTTCAATTATTGTCCGAACCGATTGCATGAACTTGCTCGGATGAAATCATTTGAATCTCACATTTGATATTGTCATTATCCTCCTTCACATCCCATCACTTCGTAACATCATTTCGAATCATTTTCGTCCCCCCACGCATCCTAAAAACACCCCCGAGAACTCTCAAATAATAGTAATTATCCAGTTAGAGTTAGCTGTGAAGATTGCACTGGAAATATAAATTTTCCAATCATTTCTTATCCTAACCGCAAATGGATAATTACTAATTTGTTATTTTAAAACGTGGGGTTCGAATCTCATATTTTTGCATTAGTGGCGGGGGCTGTAGAAAACACCCAAAATGTAGTTAATGATTGCCCATTCCTCCTCACTCACACAGGTGAAAAAACACATTTCATGACTCTTACCAGAATCATTATTGGCCATGAACACACGCATGACACGTGGGAATACAAAATTAAAAGAAAGCATACGTGTAAATGACGTGTCTTTCATCGCAAGTCGAGATAGGTACCAAAACGATCAGTACGAGAATTACGCGCCGATACCTGTGCTGAAATGCAAACCCCAACAGTAAGGAATAAGTGATTAGCTGCTATTTTACTTAATAAACAGAAAAAAGCCAAAAAAAAGATAGAATAACAATTATAAAGAAAAAAATTCTAATATTATGTTTTGTGTAACAAGACATTCCACTGTTTGGTTCTTGCCTTTATTGTTCTTTTGTTTTTTTTTGCACGAAATGGACCTATGGATCGATTTTGAAAATTGCTGTTGTTATTGTTCGTTTTCCTGTTACCTTAGGGAAAATGGACCAAGTGCTTTGAAATGTTCAGTGGGTACAAATTGCATTTTTCTCTAGAAGCCTATTACTGTTTTTGGACCTCCTGAAGTATGCGCACCAAGATGGCGCACAACCTGAACTCAGGTTGTGTACCAGGCTTGGGTTCAGGTTATGCGACATATTGGTGCGCATACTTCAGGAGTAGCCTACCCTTTTTTTCCTAAATTCCCTTTGAGATCTGATATTTCATCCAAAATTTTGCTATATATATTTTTTTCGTCGGAACACGGCTTTTCATCCGCCAAGCTTGGCGGCGTTTCCCGATTTGACGCTACGCGAAACTCGAAGATTAATTGATACCCGTGGGTACTACGGTGCGAAAAAATACTTTGTTTTGGATTACGTGTCCATATACCGTGTTTGCCCATAAATAAGACCTAGCTCGAAAATAAGGCCTAGCCAAAATTTTAAAAACGATTTTAATATAAACCCTTCCCCTAAAATAAGTCCTAGTCGATAGCGCAAAAGTTTTTTTCACCTAGTCCAGTCGATAGCAAAAAGTCTCTCCTACACGTTTTAAATGTTCAATCTAAATGTGTGAAAACGGAAAACGTGTTATTTATAGGTAATTAGATATCGGTTTTCATGTTATGTATATTTGAAAATCTCGTAATTCTCTACTTTGTAATTTTGGTTTTGATAAATGAAAATAAGACGTCCCCCTCAAATAAGTCCTAGTGGTATTTTTCGAAGGAAAATTGAAAGAATCCCCTGTCTTATTTTCGGGGAAACACGGTATTCGGGCATCGCTTTCTTGATTTATATACAACACTTTCTCACGCCTTTCGTCCTCAACAAGACTTTGTATTTAAAGGATACCCGAAACTCGATTCAGATATTTTCAAAAGGATTCGCCACAACATAAATTTTTGAAAAGATTCGCCACAACGCTAATTTTCGAAAGGATTCGCCACAACGCGAATTTTCAGAAGGATTCGCCACAACATGAATTTTTGAAAGGATTCGCCACAACGCTAATTTTCGAAAGGATTAGCCACAACACAAATTTTCGAAGTGATTTTCGACAACGCGAATTTTTGAAAGGATTTGCCACAACGCGAATTTTCAAAAGGATTCGCCACAACGCGAATTTTTGAAAGGATTAGTCTCAACACTAATTTTCGAAGTGATGTGCCACAACCCGAATTTTCCAAAGGATTCAACACAACACGAATTTTTGAAAGGATTTGCCTCAACGCAAATTTTCAGAAGAATTCACCACAACGCGAACTTCTGAAAAGTATTTTCGCCATACATGAAACAATGCGCGATATGAAATAATAAAAAATAAATTATATCTTACAATTTACAGAAACAAATATCGCGTTGTTGCAGTTGACGAGGGGTCGCGGAAGACTCAATGAGTCATCTACCAAGATGGCGGACACTGGAACGTAGAATGTGTGCCAGGTTAAGGTTAGGCCTCAATTTTATTTCAATTTCCCTTATTTTAGTTCAACTACGAGTTTGGGGACTAGCCAATTGACTTCCGTAATATTTGTACCTGAAATTATGGCCTAACCCTAAGAGCGCCGGCTAATCTGCATTGGCAACACAATTAATGCTTCCAACTGATTGGCTATCGCGCAGCGTTAGATCGGGGAATTGTGGCATTATCATTCCGTAACAAATATGGAACAATGTAACAATTTAAATTATGCGTTGTGTCTGCTTTATTAATTTTGCTGTACGTCATGCTGTGCGATAGAAACATGCTGGCAAATTACACCACTGATTGCCAGCGCGGATCCGAATCACGTAGCATCACTTTGTGCAAGAAGATTGCTTGACTCCTCGCCGTCGTAGGTTTGTTCAAGTAGCTTAACACTTTCGATGCCAAGATCAGTTTTTTCAATTTTACCGTTCCGTGCCAAGGTGAAAACGAGAGAGTTCTCTCCTATTCATTCTCTCTCGTATTTAGTTTTTGATTCATCGAGAAAGGGGCGAACCCAGCGGTGTCATCAGTTATCGTTCATTCCGACACTTCAGTCGTAGGTGAAAGAACTCACGTACACACGCGTATCTTGTCGGAATTGCTCTCTCATGCTATTATAACATAAGTTGATGATAACTTGTCTTGATCTCTCATTGCGATAAAGATTCAATTCGAACATTTTATTCAGCAATCAGAATCATTTTATTATACGAAAATATCAAATTTGAACAAAGAAAACAAAATCGTTTACTAGCATAAAAATATATCCTTCATTCGCTATATATTCCAATAACATTAATAATGGCCAATTATTGTCACTCACAAGGATAACATATTGCAAAATAAACAAAGTAGTCACATTGCATATTCATACAACTGTAACACATATGTATCTCTATGACCTCGTCACCATTACAATACGTCGAAAGTATTGAAATCGGCCTCTTATCTTGCCATAGTAGTGCGAGTAATTGTCCTTTTCGTAGTGAGATGATTTCCCCTTTCTTTAGTTTTGTTTTTATTTCTGCTGGAAGTCCCTTCCGGTTTGCCATGACTGTTCCCGTTATCGATGTTTTCCTTCGCTGCAATTCCTCGGCTAATGCGACAGAGTTATAGAGTCTAAATTAAAAATGAATATTATTAAAAATTGGTTGTGATTAAACAGTTTATGCAATTGATTGATATATCCGACAATGATTCGTTATCTAAAATAGAACGCAGTATGGCGCCGAGACGTAAATTATCTAATTTGTCTTATCAATACCGAATAATCAACATACCTATCAACAAATACGTGATATCCTCTATCCAGATGACTTTCCATTAGTTGCAAAACTAAATTCGAAGTTTTTGTGACGCCGGGTGGAAGTTGTTCCAAGTTTGGATTACCATAATCTATTTTTACATTGAAAATGTATACAGTTGTTGAATCACTCGCACTACTATGGCAAGATAAGAGGCCGATTTCAATACTTTCCACGTATTGTAATGGTGACGAGGTCATAGAGATACATATGTGTTACAGTTGTATGAATATGCAATGTGACTACTTTGTTTATTTTGCAATATATTATCCTTGTGAGTGACAATAATTGGCCATTATTAATGTTATTGGAATATATAGCCAATGAAGGATATATTTTTATGCTAGTAAACGATTTTGTTTTCTTTGTTCGAATTTGATATTTTCGTATAATAAAATGATTCTGATTGCTGAATGAAATGTTCGAATTGAATCTTTATCGCAATGAGAGATCAAGACAAGTTATCTCCAACTTATGTTATAATAGCATGAGAGAGCAATTCCAACAAGATACGCATGTGTAGGTGAGTTCTTTCACCTACGACTGATGTGTCGGATAATACCGAAACATGCGTAATACATTTCAGGTGCGTTTGTATCTTAGTATTGCTCCTGAGTTTTCGTCGGGCGCTTCCAGATTTGGTGGGTTCAGTCAGTAAACGATGAAATTCGAAGTCTTTACTTGCCTCGGCAAACATTTCTTTCAATCTGGTATTTATAGCGAGCAAATACTTATTTGTGTGGATATTTGAACTAATATTGGCGTGCAAATGAAGTATTTCCAAATGCAATTTCAATATTCATTATACGCATCCGGTGTCTCTAAGTTGACATAATAAAAAGGTTTAAAGCTTCATCGAAATTCGTCAGTTGATCTGTCAAGAACACGATTTTCCGAAATTGTCATCTCACGCAATTTGCTACGCAAGTCGTCTCGACTGCACGTAGTCCCGTCTTCGTGGCGCCAGACACGTGATCGCTATTGCGTAGCTACGTAATCAGTACGCCATGGCTGCTTATTGAACTTGTTCATCCGACACAAAGTCGTAGGATTGCATATTTTGCAATAATTATGGTTATACAATAGCTACGGAAGTAATTCAATATGAGCTGAAAGCATACGAGGGGCTCTGTGTTATTGGTAATATATTTCCCACTAAATTACTATATCTCGGATCATATCTCACTGACAAGTAGAAAAATATATGTTCCGAATAATATCAATTTCTCACTTTATTATTTCAAAATGTAACATTTCACCTCTCAGGACGATAAAATTTGCTTTCGTTGCAGATGTCCGTCAATCCGTTACCCAAAAATGATAAAAAATTAAAAAAACGTTCAAAAATACCAACATTTTGAATCATTTCATCGTCCTGCCAATAAGACGACGATCATGCATATAAAATATTCGAATTATTTCCTGGTTTAGTAATGTTTTTCTACATCTTCGTAACATGATTGATAATATTATCATCTCTCCTCACACCTTTCAATCATTTCACCGTAAAAAGTTGAAACCGTGTGTTGGCGTCAGTCGGTCTCGTACAAATTTTTGATGATAATTTGCGGCTAATATGTACCTCGGCCATGCTAAATAAGTTGATAATTTACTTCATGGCAGACCCTCCTTCCATCTTGGTATTTCTTGAATGACGCGATTGGCTGACGACGTCATTCTTTCACCCCAACTTGACAACAAGAGAGATAGAGAGAAGAAAAAAGACGGCAAATACCTGAACTCGACCTTCTTCTATCTATTAAACTTTTTCCTTTTCGAATGACGTATATATACGTCATTTTGCATTGATGGCACGGAACGGTTGGCGCCAAATGACGTATATATACGTCCTTGGCATCGAAAGTGTTAACTGCTGGTCAGCTTGTAAATGGCGTAATGAAAGACCTCAATTTTGTCAATTTTCATATATATATGAGAAAATATATTATTAACTGTGAAAAACCTATTGCAACTAAGAATGGCAAACTGTCAAACCATAAGAAGAAGTGGAAAACTATTTTTAACTGTTTTTTTTTAAGTGCAATTTTATTTGTGATATTGTGTCTATATAAATGTGATGTTTTTATTAATAAAAAAAAAAACTGCTGGTCAGCTTTCCTTGTGAGATACCCTTTCCCGGTGGTGGGTGGCTGGTCAGGGATAAATGTAAAAAAAAATCCTATGTCATCCTGTTCACCCCAACAGCTTTTTCACTCGTTTTGTATCCGAAAGAATAATGTGAGGTTATATAGTCGTAGGACATGTCGCACATCTGTGTCTTAGGCCAGTAAGGTCTTGAACATGTATCCCGTCTCTGTTTTACTGTTTAATTAATAGGCATTTACATTTTTGAGGCAAATAAACATACATACATAGGACACCCGGGAGTTGACGCAAAATAACGGTGATGTAACAACTGAGATTTAGCTTTCTATATAGAAAGGTTATAACACGGACTTGCAATTTGGATTCTATTCGACATTTTCAGTTGTCTTTATAGATTTAACGTATAATTTGATAACGCAGCGGTCATTTCAGTATGGTTTCAGTGATCGAGGAAAAATACGTACTTAGAGCAGCACACTCCCGCGCATGCCCACATAAAAGCAATATGGCGACGCTCAGCGGCGACGATGAAAACCCTCCATCAGCTGTCGTTGTCTGGTAAAAAACTGATCGCACATAATCTGGATATCTGGCGATTAAGATAGTCCGCTTTATTCAGCAATATAAAAAAACACGTAGCGATATCGTTTTGGACTTTTGGTGGTTGATATTTATCGTTTGCTGAAGATTTTTCTGGAGTTTCCCGGTTTTTGGGAGAGAAATGCCCAAAATTATTTCACGTAGCGTGGTTTGTACAGACACAAAGGACCAAGAGACTTATGGCGATGCAAAGCCACTTCATACATATTATTGCTTATGCGGACAGATGGTTTTAATCCTGGACTGTGCCATTGAAAAATTTACCGCTGCGGAGGCGCGATAAAGCGAGAGTAATCGACAAGAAAAAACATGCTTATCGTCTTAATAACGTTGAAGAAGACGAAACGATATTCTTGAAATGGGCTGACGGAATCGAAAAACAATTCAGACAAAAATGCAAACGATGTAGTTTGCCGTTGTTGTATCGCCACACAGAAGAAACAAAAGATGCGATTTTTATATTCTATGGCGTCTGGTTACCGAAGGAGATAGCGTTTTTAAAATGAATATAAACAGCAAACCGAAGTCAGCTCCTAAGAAAGTCACATTAATAAAACGAACAAAAGACATGGGAAAATTCAGTTCCGTTACTGTCTCGACAATTGACGATGAAGAGGATGCGTTGGAGGCTCGCGAAATTGCCGATAGTTATGCAGCGAATGCTAAAGTTATTGAGCGGCAATTGGAAAGAAAAGGAATGGCAAAAAGGAAAAATAATCCTGGTGAAGGGGGAGCTGGTTTGTCTAAGAAAGTAAAGGGAACTTTGATTGATGGTTTGGGCTGAGAATTTAAACTATGCCGATGTATTTGGAAAATTCATGAAACTTTTGAAAGCGAAGATTTTTTCATGTTATATACTATTTTCTATTTTTCATCATTTGCTATGGACAAGGGCTCTAAATCAGGGGTTCTTGGGACCAGGGGCCAAACATTTTGACCACCTAGACTGGCGGGCCATGTAAGTGTGACATAAAAGTTACTTTTTATGAACAATATTCACAGTGTTACAAAAGCAAAAGAGGAAAACAATGAGCCTCGTGCCAAAACTAAATTTAATCGCAATCTCAACAAATTCCTCGAGCTATTTTTAGCTGAAACATCAAAATTTTGCTTTAGTTTGCTTGAGGAAACTTTTACTCACCACACTGGCTACTCATTAGGATAGGATTTACCTATTTATCCTGGGGGGTGAGAGGAAAGCTGAGAATACAGCTTACCCATATAGTGAACCCCAGCTTCTTGTTCGGTTACCAGTCCATGTGTAGTATCGGATTAGTTAGCCAGTTATTTGTTTGTGGAAGCATAAACTTGATTGCGGGGGAAGCCGACCAGGGGTTACATGAACCACCCTACGGCGGAAAAAAGTCCAGCAATCCTCTCGCACATGATCATCCCCGCGTGGGATTCAAACCAGCGAACCCACGCAGGATAATCAGAGGTGTGATGGCGAGCGTATTCCCGACGCTCCACACGATGGGCCACACCGGCGAACCATTGAGTTCTGTATATTTGCATGAAATCTGCCAGTTTTGTATTTTTTATAATCACTCACGGAAAATCGTGCAAAACAGAATAATTATCGTGAAACAGTACAATACTGCGCTAAACAGAGGAAAACTTTGTTTGTCCTGTTTTTCTCCTATTTTGTTGTGCCCAATATGTTTTGCACTATTCTCAGTTAGTGGTAGAATTTGATTTGTATATCTGTTCGTTATCTGACAAAGTTTTCACACTATAATTCTGGTTTCAGATATTTTTAGATTTCTTCATTCATGAACGAACAGGGTGTCCAAAAAATTTTATGATGTTGTCTTTCTCATATATGATCCAGACTAAAGGGAGTGGGATGTTTGTCAGTTTTGTTAAATTTTTTTCCTTTTTTGTGCTGTTTCCATATGAAATTTTTTTATGTTCAAAAATACAATTCTTTTTAGATATAAAATAAAGCCATGGACCATTCGAGTCCGACTATAATATTCAGTATTTTCTATTGGTTATTCGCATTTTGTTTCATCGTCGGACCAGCAGATTTCAAAGGTGCTGGACTTACTGTGGAAAATTTACTCTCGCCTTGGCTGGGAAGCGAAGAGATAGACTTTGTCAATTTCCATATTAAAAGGACGTCTGCAACTTTAATTGTTCATTGCCTTTTTCCGATTGGTAAGTTTTATATTTTTGATATAACACTTATTTATGTATCTTGCTCAGAAAAAGACCCTGTGCAAGCAAGCCTCCGCTGGTAAGGTGGGGGGATTGAAAGTTAGCTGGATTTGAAACCGAAATTTGTAATTGAGTTTATTTGATATGCCAAACCAGAAAACACAATGCACACATGTACAGGGTGTCTATAGAGTCCCTTTACAATTTCAATTTTGGCATGAAGTCAGTTCTCAATATATCTTAACACGGTTTGTAGTTTTTTAATCAGTAATTGTTCAAGTATTCTTACTTCATCTACCGTAGTACATCTGTTAGGCCAAAACAATATGGTAATGATAAATACCGTTTGCAATTTTGAAAAATTTTGAGACTTTCTGGACAACCTATATATAAAAATAGGGAAATGAACGGAGCGCCAAAAGAGTAACGAGCTATTATTCCCAAAATTAATTCAATACATTCTAAATGAGTTATATTCAATATGTAAAATTTGTGATTATTGTAAACTTGTTGTTGGACTTCATGGTGTAGGAAGCCGTAATGACCAGCGATTACATGAACCAGATTACGGTGGCGAGGAGTCCAGAAATCCTCTCGCACATAACTATCACCTAGCACGGGATTCAAACTTGCGAACTCATGCATGGTAATCAGAGGTGTGATGGTGAGCGAATTCCTAAGCTTAGCATGGCACGATGCGCCACACCGCCAAGCCCTAAATATAGTAATTCTTTACAAGTTGAAAGTTTACATTTCAATTTCAGGTTACTATGTGGGCATGACTCTGGTTCCAGACTCCTGTGTTTCATTCGGTGATATGTTTTCGACGTCTCTCGAACTCGGATGGCATGTTTACTCAAGTATATCGTTGGTTATACTCCTTGGAGCACTGACGGTTGTGTTTTATTGGCAGATAAATAGTTGGTCGAATCACCCTATAGCGACGAATCTATCTCTTTATAAAAGCGAGGACAACACATCAGACTCGGCATGGAGAGTTCAAGCCAGCGAGGTGAACAATGAATTCAGACGAATTGACAAATACGCTACGTCGTTCGTTGGTTGGACACGCGTCATCGTAACGGAAAACTGGATTATTGTGACATCATTATATGGAGTTAAACTGACACCACAAGATAAAGCAACGATATCAGTACTACAGACAGAAGAACATGCAGTTTCACCAGAATCCAACGCTATGGTTCAGTATGTTCATTTACGAATAAAACCGACAATCCAGCGCACTTTGAAACCATATTTTGCAAGAGTCATATCCGTAGAGTTTAAAGACTTGAAAGAAAGTTTACGTACGAGGGTTTATACTCTTCCAGATCTTAGTATCCTACAATCAACAGACGAACTGTTTTTGAAAGCGTTTCGTGAACAATTAAACCAAAATGATCGTTATACGTCGTCTGATCCTCTCGACCAGTGTATCGGTTGCATGCAAAGAGACGCTGAAGTTAAATTAACAAAAAATTGCGGCAGTACGGGTCCCCATGAATGCAAGAGTTGTAATTGTAAGCCTATGTGGTGTGCTGAATGCATGGGTAGATGGTACGCTAGTCGTCAGGACAGACACCGAATTGAAACATGGCTTTCTGGCTCCGCTACATGTCCAATGTGTCGGGCTAAGTTTTGCATGTTAGATATATCTTTGCTTGATACATGAGCACTGCTGAAAGTACCGAAAATTGTGCTATATTGTTGTAAATTTAATTTTTTTCTAGCAGGGGTTCGGAAAAATTTATGCTTGACTCCAACTGCAAACATTTCAAAATACCCATGCCTCGTTTTTGACTCCAACCTTATTTTAACCCTCATTTTAAAAAAAAAAATTTAATTTAAAAAAAAATTCAATTTTGACCATAAGCGCTACTGTTTGCAAATTCTCTCAACATGACTTGCAATGACAATGAACTTGAAATATGTCGTTCAAAAGTGCATTATTCATTTTATAAAATATTTTCTCATGCATGGCTGGCTAGCTTCTTAGAAATAGATAACGAAATGCAGTTTGATTAGTTAAATTTATTTTTTGGGAAAAGTAAAAAATTTATAGCATTTTATTTGTGGCAATATCTATTTATTATTGTATTCATCTTAATGGCCTCTCAAAACTGAAAACAGTGTGAAACAGAATTTTCACTGTTTTCTTTTGAACTTTTACTAATATTTACACTCTTGGCAATTCATTTCTTTGTCTTCTTTGCTATATTTGTTCCTGAAATTCAGTAAAAAGTGTCGCTGACTGAATGATGACTCGTTGTGTCCCTCTCATCAACTTCTATGAGGCAAGGTTTTCGTTTTGTTATTTTCATTTGTGTTTATTGCTTTACAGTGATTCTTGGTCGATGAAAATGAATATTTGATTCTTAAAATAACACAACACACAATCTTTATTTTAATTCGTTTATTCCCCCCACATTGCAGTGCAGTACTCTCAATAAATATTATATTGTTAAAATAAAGTTACACATTATTTGCCATAAAGCTTTGCAGTTTTTATTATTCAGAAAACTTTACTTAAAAATAGTGAATTTTAGTTCTGTTGCTATGGCGACAATTGTGCAATATATAGTGGTTCGAGGGGATCTCACAAGTGCTCTCAAGTGGCCTTTAGGAGCTGTTATAGCCCAAGCATGTCACGCCAGCACTGCAATAATGCACCTGCACAAGGATGACCCACATGTGTTGGAATATACTTCGAAATTGGATAGCATGCATAAGATTGTCTTAGAAGTAAGTGCTATTATTTTTCAAGTTCAGTGGGTGAAGATATAACTCAGGGTGGTCCAAGGTTGTGAGCTCCGCAGGCCACAAAATTATTTTGGCATTGGTCGAGTATATAATACCAAGAATAGATAAACATTGCAATACAAAACAAGCACTCCTATTGTGTAAACACATAGTTATCAGGCATTGCCAACCTAGACTAATTGAATCCGTATCCGATGTTTAGTTTTCTATCATGCCCATATTGTTATTATATATATTCCCGATCAAAACTATAGAAATCCAGGTAACAATTTAGACTGCCCATCACATCTTCAACTTCGCTAGTTGCTTCAGCTAGACATCATACTAGTCAATTCAGTCACAGTAGTGATATAACAACAATATGTCAAACGATTTTTTTGATTTATTTTATGAGAAGCAATTTAAAATATCATATTTTGATTACTCTCCGAAGCCGCTGTGGGCCACAGATAATGGAGCGGCGGGCCACATGTGGCTCGCGGGCCTGGGTTTGGACCACCCTGATATAACTGATCGGTGGTTAGTTACGTCAACCAGCTTATGGCACCAATATGTTAACTTGGGATTCTTTATTGGATTTACATATTTATCACAGGAGGAAAGCTGACGAGGCGACTTAATCACATGGCGAACCATGGTTTCTTCTCTGGTTACCAGTTCATGTCGGGTATGAGATTGTTAGCCTGTTATTTGTATCGGAAAGCATGGACTTGATGGTGGAGGAAATTGTAACCGAAATCAAGCAATCCTCTCGCACATAACTATTCCCCTCGGCATTCAAACCTGCGAACCCATGTAGGGTAATTAGAGGAGCAGTGGCGAGCATTTTCCTAACGCTCTGTTCTTAGAAGTCCAGAGACAGACTAACCTTGTGTCGAGCTTTTTTCAGGGTGTCTCTTTATTATAACCCAATTATCAATTTTAATAGATCATTAATAGAATATATCTTTTCAAACAGGCAAAAAATGAAGAAAATCTTTGTACATTAGCGGAAACATTGCATCAAAATGAAGTTGATTTCAAGCTCTGGATAGAACAGCCTGAAAACTTTGCAACCTGTCTGGCTACAAAACCTTGCCCAAAGCAAGATATTCAAAGATTTTTTAAGAATTTGAAACTGTTGAAGTGAAAGAAGAGCTCAAATTGGCCGAATTCTGAGTAGATTATGTAAAACCACATAGTTTCAGGAGCTCACTGCGAAGTTTGTTCGGAAATGACAAATGAATCTCCTGAGCTTCTGAATGAGTGCCCGTAACTTTGCTCAGAGATGAGTCTTCTTTACTTCTGAGTGAGTGACTGTAACTTTGCTTAAAGATGAGTCTCCTTTGCTTCTGAGTGAGTGCCAGTAATTATGCTCAGAGATGATTCATCTTTACTTCTGAGTGAGTGACTGTAACTTTGCTCAAAGATGAGTATCCTTTACTTCTGAGTGAGCGCCAGTAATTATGCTCAGAGATGATTCATCTTTACTTCTGAGTGAGTGACTGTAACTTTGCTCAGAGATGATTCATCTTTACTTCTGAGTGAGTGACTGTAACTTTGCTCAGATATGAGTATCCTTTACATCTGAGTGAGTGCCAGTAATTATGCTCAAAGATGTGACATGTGTCTCTTTAATACTTTGTGACCCACTTGAATAGCTTCGCCACACATCAGTGGGGGAGGAGCACTGCTTTATAGTAAAAAAATGTTCATTTGAATATGGTTCGGATCATTTTTACATGTTCCACCAAAATTGGAAGTTAGAGCAAGATTGCTGTTCGTCTGTAGATCTTCCAGTTGCACAGATCTATGGTTTTGGAATTAAAATGTTCTTAATTTTTTTTGAACAAAAAATTTTTCATATTGAATATTTCTATGTATTTGTGGTGATTTTCTTACAGCTGCCCAGATGCAAAGACATCAACACCATATTATTTTTTACAGAGTTTATTTTTTGTGCCATTAAATTTTTTGAAATCCTGTATTTTTATCTAAAGGGAAGGTTGGTTGTGTGGAGGGGAGAAATTTGGGGGCTCCCGAAGTATGCGAACCAAGATGGCGGACATCGGAATGTAATATGCGTACTAGGTTAGGGTTAGGCCATAATTTTAGGTATAAATATTACGGGAGGCTCTTGGCTAGTCTTCGAACTGATAATAGGACTAAAATAAGGAAAATTGGAAAGAAATTATCGCCTAACCCTAACCTGTTACCCATGTTACGTTCCGATGTCCGCCATCTTGGTTCGCATACTTCGGGACCACCCAAATTTGTCCCTATTAGACAGAGTAGGAGGGTTTATAATGGGAGGAAGGAGTCAAGCAGGTAGCACTGTTGAATACAGACCACTTGGATATCATTGACTGGAGCAGCGGCATAGTCAGAAATTTTAAAGGGGGGGGGGGGGGGGGTTCTGAAATTTCTATCTGCCAAGTTAGATCGAAACGACTAGCGGGTCCGACCGAATACCGGAAAATGTGTGTTTACATTAGTCTTAAGGGTCTAAAAGTGTTTTAAGCTACGATTGCCAAGTACGGTTTCAAAATGGGGAATTTCGACCCCCAAAACCACCCCCCTGGACTGGAGTATATAATATATACAATGACAAACATTTCTGCAGCATTTAAGCACATCTCTCTCTAATTCTTGTAACAACACCGGCATAAAACCAGTTGGGAGCTTGACCGAGTCGCCATTTATATAAGATTCCAGCCAAGAGGGTGGGGATTTTAAATGAGCATTATCTTGTTTTCCTGTCCGCCCACAGGTCGAAGTGAATCTCTCAGTTTTTTTCATTCATTTAAAAAATTTTCAAATTCCATTTTTTGACATATGACTCTTTTCTTTCGAGTGAGTTATTGATGAAACATGTTTCTTACTATGTGTTAACACTTAGCGAGCTGAACGATAGATGACGTGTTTTCACTAATTCATGTGTCTGAAGGACCTATTATTATAAAACATTCAAGCGTTTGGAATACGATCGCCACCGCTCTGATTACACTGCATGGGTTCAAATCCCATGTGTGGATAGTTATGTGTAAGAGGATTGGTGGTCGTATACGGCTTCCTCCACCATTAAGTACATGCCCGACATGGACTGGTAACCCGACGCGAGGCTGTGGTTCACCATATGATGAAGGCAGTCTGTTCGACTTCCTTTCTCTCGGGGGAAATCAAATCCCGTCCAATCAGTGTCATAGAGTCTATAATAAATCAGAAGCATTATAAAAGTATTCAAACACTTGGTAGTCGAACGATAACCTTTGTTGCAAATATGGCATCTGTGACTATCCATAACAGTCCAGCCAATGCAAACAATATTTTAAGTTTGGTTTATTACATGATAGAGCCATTACTTGCATGTCATAATGCATTTTAGTTACGGTACAGTGAGCACAAATGTAGAAAAAGAAAACTGCTCACCAATAAACAAAAGATAAAATAAGAAAAATGAATAATGATTTGGGAAGGCCAGCAATGTTATTATTATGAAGAATGTCTCAACCCAAAGAAAACAGCCCCATTAAATGAAATTTCACCAAAAGCATTTTACGAATCAGAAGGCTCACTTCGCAATACAAATTCAAAATATGTAAAATTCCCTCGATTGAATGAACCATACAAATTGCACGAGGTGTTTTCATTTTGAGCATGAATTGTTTGAACATAATGGGGATTTAGAATCTACCAATCAAAATAACACTATGAATACCACTGGAATAGTAAAACATGAGGGCTAAAAGTCTTCAAGAGGGGGGCCACTGTTTTAGACTTTGAAGTATTTTCTGGTCGGATATTAAGACCTTGCAAGAGTAGATATAAGACCATGATTCAGTAATAACAGCAAAACTAAAAAAAAATTCACTTTTATCAGTGGTACATTTTCTCATCATTATTTGAGAGCAGGGGTGTGCAACATTTATTGTCGATAGGCCATATGATCAACTTCAGACATCTTGCTGAGCCACACAAAGTTTAGATTATTCATGTACACAACAAGCTAAAAAATTCCTGCCTAGCCTAGCGGTAATGAAGGCAACGGCGAATGAATTAATGCAGCAACAAGAGCCATAATTCGGCGGATGAGAACAGAAGGGACCTAAGTCACATTTTTGGAAAATTGACTTTTTTCAATACCTTGGGGTTTTGAGCCATGCTCTGCAGGTGGTGGTCATGGAATCCTGAATTTCTCAATAATAAAATTTTAGCTGGACTTAAATATTTAAGAACAGAATGGGCCTAAGTCCAGCTTAAATTTTTATTATTGAGAAATTCAGGATTTCAAGACCACCACCTTGTGGAGCATGGCTCAAAACCCCAAGGTATTAAAAAAAGATAGTCCAATATGATGGGCATGAACATCAGAAATGAAATGTCCGAAACTTACATCCCTAAAAGTTTGTTCAGTGCAATTTAGGCCTAAGTCACCTTGTTTTACCTTGCATCCCATACAAAAATCCTTTATGGGGGTAAAAAAGCAGGAAGGAATGGAAGCTGAAGCATTAAAATAACCAGAGCTCAGGACTTTACTAAGTGTAAATATCTAGAAATTCAAAAATAAAAAAATTCCCAAATCTTTTTTGCGTTTTTCTCAAAACTCAAAATTGTGACTTAGGCCTGTTCTGTTCTCATCCAGCGAAAGTGTCTTTCCAAACAAACGGTCGGATTAGAATTCCATTGTTTATAGACTGAAGGGCTTGCCGGGTCGCGGCCCGCAGATCGTCTGTTGCACACCCCTGGTTTTGAGTGAGGGGCGCTTTTGCATGACAGTGGGTGCTTTCAACTTTTCAATAAGTACTCTTCTAACTCCCAAGTTGATTACTTCAACCAGGGACTTAGCTTTGAGAAAGCTTGCAAACGAAACTCTCAACTAAACATATTTTAGCCTAATATCTCAACACTCATTATCAGAAACACGATTTAAGAACAAGAAATAAAATAAGATAAAAGTAAAATAATCAAGTAAAAATGGTGCATTAATGCTCATCAATACCCAAGTGGTTAAGAGTTTGTAAACCATAATAGAGTCGCAATACCATGGTTTGTCACTATGGGACAAACGAACGAGTATGATCTGCGCACGACATGACTAAAATGGAACGGTTTTGAATTTTAGTCACTCTTCAGAACAAAAAACAGAGTGAGGAACCAAAGTAAATTCTCTTATTTTTAAGTTTCAAATACTTGTGTTAACCTGATTGGCTGAACCAGTGAAGTATGGCAATTATCCAGAATGACCTTATTGGCTTAATCAATGATGCATGACAAGTGTCCAGAATGACTCTGATTGGCTGAAGCAGTGAAGCATGATAATTGTCCAGAATGACTCTGATTGGCTGAACCAATGATGCATGACAATTTTCCAGAATTACTCTGATTGGCTGAACCAGTGAAGCATAACTATTGTCCAGAATGACCTTGATTGGCCGAACCAATGATGCATGACAAGTATCCAGAATGATTCTGATTGGCTGAACCAGTAAAGCATGACAATTGCCAGGAATGACTCTGATTGGCTCAACCAATGAAGCATGACAATAGCTGGTTGTTATAAATTGAGCAAGCAATGCCGAACCCCTACTATCGTAGCTCCTCACATAACAGTGGCTGCATGCAAAGAATATTGTTCTGAGCAGAACGCAGATAAAGATGTCATATAAAAATTGTACGACCTTTGCACCCCTGTTAGATACTCTTTGAGTAAAATCAAGTTTATCAGCGTAGACAGAATCGCAGGCAGTGAAGCATATCAGTCACGCTTGAGTTCTTATGATCTTTGACCTGGAACAACTTCTCAATTTGATGACTTGAGTCTTTTTCTTGCTGGGCCGGAGGGAGGAGATTGAATTGCAGCAAGAGCTCGAAATGCTACTGCCATCAAGTGGGGATGGGAACGAACCATGGAGTTGAAGCCTGCGGTTTCCATCACATCAATTGCGTGGCTGAAAGAAAAAATAACAGTCATCTGACTTAAAAAAGCGTGCAATAAAACAGACACTATATCAGAGGTGGGCAATTAATATTCTGAGTGGGCCGGCTATAAAAAATAGACTCGGATACTGGGCTGGAGGCTCAAAACTGAATTATTTATAAAAGCTAAGCTAGCGTTTATATAATAATAAGAAGCACAATTTAACAATCGGGGTTATTATGATGCTATTTTCGTCTATATCAAAGGAAATTCATATCTTTAAAACTAATTTTAGCAGACACGAGTGGGCCGGATGAAAGCCCCTGATGGGCCGAATCCGGCCTGGTAACATAATATGCCCACCCCTGCACTACATAATACATGTATCCAGGTTGGCTCAAAATATTGAAAAAAGATAGTCCAATCAGAAATGAAATGTCCGAAACTTACATCCCTGAAAATCTTTAAAACTAATTTTCAAATTCTCGACTTTAGAACGATTTAGATTAGTGGTTTCCAACCTTTTATGGCTCGTGGCCCCCTTACAGAGGGCAACAAGCCATAAGAGCAGGACAAAAACCAGTACCTGTTAATAAAATCGATCGCCATTTCTTTCAATTGGTCTGCGTTGTGTAGATCAGCCAAGATAAGGATGTCGGCAACATTTTCCACAGAGAGATTCGTACAAAGAGACTCTTCGCACATTACTTTCAACCGCTGGAGGGCGTACTAGAGCAAAATAAGACAATGTTATTTTATATCTAGATTTGTAACAAATGTTAATAAAGAAGGACCTACTGGTTGAATTGAGGGGACGAAGAGTAAGAACTTAGAGCTGTGACATTTTGGTGGAACTGTGGCTTTAAAATGTTTAAATGTCAAGTTAGACAATAACAGATGAGGGTCTGGCTCTGGCAGGTACATTTCATGGGGTCTTGACCCTCAAATCCTTCCCCACCCTGGCTACACAGTGCTGGAGGGTCGAAGCTTGGAGCTGTGACATTTCCAGCTGGAGCCAGAGCTACCGGGAATTTTGATGCTTCAAGCTAAGCATCTAATTAATTTTCCCTCTTTTTTAATTTTCTAATACTCTTTCTACTCTCTAATACTGGTTTCAATTTCTAATATTAATTTAAAGTTAAATTTATATATTTGGGAGTTGAATTTTAAAATGTGAAACAAAGTCCCACTTCTGCAGAACTGCATTCAGACTGATGTTTTATTGTAGCGGCCAAACTTGAAAGCTCAAAGGGTTTTGAGCTCCAGTTTAATATACTAACTGTTTGTTTGTGAATACATCAATGCGGGAAAGTACATCTACATAAGACGGGGCGTACCCAGGAATTTTCAGGGGAGGGACTGACATTTTTAATTCCCAACTTAGACCGTAACGGCTAGTGGGGTTCGACGGGTACATTTCAAGAAAGTGGGTTCCGCCCCTCAAATCCTTCCTTGTGACTATGCCTCTGTTCATAACATCCTCTTTGTGCAGTGTTTATGGCAGAGAAAAATACTGGCACATCGTGCTCGGCGTAAGATGAACACATGCCATTGCATGTCAGATTACCCTTCTCTGGTTCATAGGTTCGATTTCTGTGAGTCTGAGAATTATGTGCAAAGAATTGTTGAACTCGTTGCCACCACAGGTCTGTCCATGTATCAGCTGGTCAGTAATGGATTTCTCCACCATCAAGTTCCTGCATCTGATACAAATAACTGACTAACTAATGCCATACCCATCATGGTAACCAAACGATAGGTCGTGGTTCTAATTCTAGGAAATTTCCTATTTATTCCGAGACAGAAAGAAAAGCATATGAATAAGCCGCCACATCCACTTTCTTCACCCCCCTGTACAAACATCCTCTCATACCTTGTCAGCAGCTGCAAGTAACTCTGCCGCCATTTGATCTAAATTTGGAGCCGCTCCAGTGTAGAGGAAGCTTAACATCTCTCGGAAAACGTCGGCAGAAATATCGGAAATTTCGACCCGGTTTAGTTTTCTCTCCTCCATCTCGTGCTGGAACATGGCTCGAAAAACAACGGATCGGGCTAAAAAAAAAATTGAATTTTTAGCGTTTTCCAACTGGGTTGTTTACGCAAAAGAAATACAGCGCAACCGTTGGCGAATGTGCAGATTCGAATCCAGTGGAAGATAGTTATGTGCAAGAAGATTACTGGCTCGTCTGTTACAACTTCCTCCATCAACAAGTCCCATGCATTTGCTATCAGCGAGTTTTTGAACTTGTTGAAACTTTTAGGTTCTCGTTGTAAAAACAAGAATATTTTCAGGCGACCCAGTTTTGGGTCGTTACCCTTAGGTTGGAAAACACTGCTTTAAATAATATTAATTAGTTATTTACATTATAAACAGTTCAAACTGTTAGTTTAGGAATTGCATCTTTATTGTATTTTTGGCCTGAGCATGACCTGTGATGTCATCAGTCACAGATGAATGATCATGACCAACCAGCTGTGAAGATGAACCGCCTTTGTGGTTTCTGTAGTTGTGTGTTGATGAGATTTCTGGATTACCGGTACTTTGTTTATTGTTATGAACATTTTCTAAATACGTTTACACTAAATTAACACTCTTTGTTTTCGAAATTCTATTTCAAAGGTTTTTTCTAAAATTTTCTAATTTTTTCTAAAATTTTCTATAAGTTTCACTCTTTGATGATTATTTTAGCAACGGATAGAAAATCAATCTGTTTTCCTAAATTGAGTCTCTTTTGGAACAAGCTAACATGATTCAATTTACACAGAAAAACATGTAAGCGGGAAATGCTGATTCGTATTCTCATGTAAATTGATAATTATGTTGCAATTCTGTCGTGAAATCTTCAATGGCCTGGCTTCCAAGAATTGTCCTTCTTATCTTCAAATTGACCAGGAATGACTGCATATAGGCCGACTCTAAAACTCAATGAAAAAAAGTTGCCAAACTAAGGGGTCGGCTTATACGCACATAACTCTAATCGTACTAAAAATTAAACAGCAAATAATGAATAGTGAATATTCATTCGATGTTTGATTGAGTTATATCTTGTTTTGCCTGAAGAATTTAGACCATGATTTAACGAAAGCTTACAAATATACTTCCTATTTAATGGAAAGAGATTATGCTATTCTCAATTAACTGAATGTACATTGACTTCTGTATTCTCTCTATTAAACCAGACCCTGGCGCTCCAGAAGTATGTGTACCAATATGGTGGTAACTAATTTTGTTCGCCTACTTTACATCAAGTTGTGTGAAGGGACGGAAACCTATGGGCAGGGGTATATTCACTTGGCTACCACAGACAGTCCATGAACTCGTAATAAAACTAAATCTGAATAAAATTATGCCCTAACCCTTACTTGGTACTCGCGCTACGGGAGTACAGTTTAAAATATATTCAATATTTCATACTCGATAACCTTTCTTTTCTAATGTACACATTATCCAATTTTGGTCCCCATGCAAAAACGAACAAAGTACACTGACGTATCAAAGAATTTACAATGCCACATAGAAGCATACACGCCCACTACACACCTACCTGCTATTATACTCTTATGTGCTTTAAACTCCTTCCCCTCAACGAAGAATGTACAATCGGTGAAGTCCCCTCCCTCTAGCAACCCCTCGAGGTCCTCAGCGAGTCGGCAGTCCGGCACTTTCAGTTGCATCATGTTCGATTGGCCGGATATGTTGACGGAGTCTTGGACTACGCTAACCTGAAAAAGAAAATTGGAATGGTCATGCTTGAATGGGTTTATAAACGCAGGGTAAGAGATAAACCTAAACTATAGATGAAAATTAAATGGCCACGCATAGGTGAATTATAAAAGCAAGATAGAAATTGAACATTTTGAAATCTTCAGTAAAATGTACCTCGCGAGAGTATGTCCAACGGAGATCTCCAAAATAAATGAGATATTGAATAAATTCAAAATTTATATATCCAATACATTAAATTTTGGATTTTTATTATCCTCGAATAGAAATAATTTATTTCTAGAATATTTTCCCTTGAAAACTATCATTTTGGGTCAGGCAAAAAGTAAATTTCAACTTATAATGAATAGAAAACCAATACTACAATTTTTATTTTATTTCTGCAATAGCAGCGAGTCAAGTCAAGTTATGAAACCCTCGGGACACGTGTCCGATTCACAGCAAACTTCAAATTTTGACCGAATCCTTTCACGAATCATCTGATTTCTGACTCACAACACAACAGGCAAAATATTTCATACTTTGAGTTTTCACCGCACTCCTCATGACTAGTGAGTTACTTTCATTTCCTTTAGATCAGGGGCGCGCAAACTGCAGCCGCGGAAAAGTGCCAATTTTGAATGTTATGCGGCCCACGAGACAAGTTTTTAATTTAGTATAATATGGTATGTGCGAGTATTTCCAATCCCTTTGCGCTACAAAGCCTGTACCTGAGTCTAATTTATTATTTATGCTTATGATGTTACAATGACCTAACAGCTTAGTAAGTAGAACAGATACCTCGCAAAACAATGTCAATTTATCATCCGGCAATAATCCATTTGTTTCATCCATCAAGAAATCTCGTCGAATGAATTTTTTGAATCCCCAATCCTTTCCTTGAACAAATCTGTACGCTCGTTGGCTTTCTGTGTGAAATAATGAAATATTTAGTACGTAAGCAGTTTTACTTAGAGCCCGAAAGTCATCTGGAACAAATAACTGGTTGATCAACTATTCCCATACCAGACAAGCACTGGTAACCAGATGAAAGGATGCCGTTTGTAGAGCCTCAAAAAAAAAAATTTTTAATCCTTGATGACCCCCACTCCCCCCTTCTGTTTTAAGCAATTCTTACCCATAGCTTTTGTTTCTTCTCGTTTACTGTTCAGGATCGAGAATTTAAATTTCGCTCTTACTTCACTTTTGTGGCAAGACACTAGGAGTAGATAGAGGGATAGGTAGTCTTTCGATTCTTCATCTAAGCCTTTAGGGTTCACTCGCAGACACCTACAGAAAGGAAGACAAATAATGAATAGATCAGATCACATTTTGAGGTGAGACCAGACTCGGACTCTAAAGAAAAAAAATGAACAAATAAACCAAAAATCAGGGATCATTATAAAGATCCCCCTCCCTCCAAAAAATAACTACTTGAAGGCGGGTCTTCCTATGATCTAGCCTGCATGGGAGAATCTGACCGAAACTAACAAAACTATGTAGGCAACAGGGCCAAGGTGACAGGAGGTTTCGAAAGTCGAACCCCACACCTTTGAAATATAAAAAAGGGCATTTTTCTGTAGCAGACATAGCAATTTTTTTATGGTCTACAAATTCAGACCTTGTTACTTATCGATCTTGGTCGGTAAGTATGTTGATAGGAATTTGTCTGTTTGTTTCACTCTCGTATGTTACGCGATATCTCACGAAAGCGAACTTGCTCGAAATTTTGCATGTGCACTCATCATATCTCGGACCAGAAGCCTATTGATTTTGGATCAATTATGTCGTATAATTAGCGAGTTATTAATTAATTAGTAATGGGACACGCAGTGTCGCTATTGAGTCAGAGCAAAGGAATCATAACCGCAGTTTCTGTTTTCGTCGTTGCGAACGATCGATAAGTCGGCGGTCTCCGGTCGCTATCTTGTTTACATGTTTGTGTGAAGATGCTGATTTGGTGATGGTACATTGCTGTTTGTGGCAAGCCTGTATGGAGGATCTGTTCATGAATATATGCTTTGAGAGCACATAATCTTCTCAGTTTTCTTGCAAATCAATATTAGGTGATCATGCTTCTCTCAATAACAGAAATGCGCGATGCGGAAGTAAATACCCATTGAAGCAGCAGTTCGTGTCAATATAAAGCGCTCCAGAAGTATGTGTAACAATATGGGTGTAACTAATTTTGTTCGCCTAATCTACATCAAGTTGTGTGAAGGGACTGAAATCTATGGGCAGGGGGTATATTCACTTGGCTAACACAGACAGTCCCCGAACAGCCGGAAGAAAAAGTGTTACTTACCATTTCATTTTATCGTTTGCCCCAGACGAGAAAGTCGAACTTTTCAAAACCTCGCCCATCTCTTCCCGACAAAAACTGAAGTTGTTAATCGTCCACATGTACGAGAATTTCACAACTTTCACCTGTGAAAATATACAAGCATTAATGGTGGTTTCCCAAACTGGGCTCTTGTCATCTCTAAAGTGCTATGGAACAGTCCTCTGGACAGGGCTATTTAAATGGGAGTCTTGTCCAATGGTTTCTTTTTTTTAACAAATACTAAAAATGTACTGTACTCCTGAAGTATGTGCACCAAGATGTCGCATAACCTGAACCCTAACCTGGTACACAACCTGAGTACGGGATGTGAGTCATTTTGGTGCGCATACTTCAGAGGGTCCGAGCCTTTATTGGAGTTTCTCAAAATGAACCTTACCCAGTAGGTAGCAAATAGGATCAATGAGGGTTGAGGTAAAATCTTTTTCGACACTTTTTCAGGTCAAAACAAAATTTTGATCAAGTTTGGAAGATTTGGAACCAGTACAGAGACCCAACATCACCAAAATAGAGCGAAGATTCTATCTTTTGTGCAAAAATCTGCAAGTGCATTGGTCTCATCAATTGTTAATTTTATTTTAATACGTTCTCTTTATCAAGTTTTATTTTTAAAGTTTAGTTTTTATTTTAGTTTCTAAGGGTCATGGAAAATTGAGTCACGATGAAAAAAGTTGGAAGATCACTGCTTCAGAAGGCCATAGCCCACGAAAAAAAGGCTAGGTAGTGATGACTACATTACTTTACATTGACCATTTGTGAATATGTATTATAATTATCTACTAATGGAATTGTGTGGGCACAATCATGCAAGGTTTCTCAAAATCGTATGGTAAATGAGAACAACAAGCACAATAATAACTATCAATAAACAGACGAAAAAACTTTTAATTGTTATTGCTAAAAAATCGGGCGAAATAATTTGGGCACCATTATTTTCAATCGGGTCAAGATCAACATGAAAACTGTCTGGATCAGCGGTTCCCAAACTATGGGTCGCCGTACTGGTGGGTCGCAAAAGGAATCTTAGTGGGTCGTGAAAAGATGTAGAAAGCTTTAGATCAGTGGTTCTTAAACTGGGTTCGATCGAACCCCTGGGGTTCGGTGGAGCTGTTCCAGGGGTTCGACGAAGGTGCTTTGAAACAGTTGCATATTATGAGACTTTTTTATCACCCTGCATACTAATTATGCAAAAATAACTATAGTTCATGAATCATGATGACTAATTACTAATGACTTGAACAATTGAATGGAACAATTAATTGGTGTTACCCTTATTCATATTCTACCGTACTAATAATAACTCAATTTTACGGATAAATCGAAGATAGGCAGTAATTGTACATGAATGAATGCAAAATCATAGCGTGTTTGAATTTCACTAGGTGATAAATTTGCGACAAGGAATAGTTTATCGCAGAGCTTTACCCGAAATTATTATGATCCATTCAGGACAACCTCGATATGGCGCCGAATTAATCCTATCTCTATTTCCGTAAAATAAAACAATTGGCAAACGATTTTATTCGCATTTCAGCGCAGTTTAAAGTTTGAGAACAAATTGCTTGAACTACCAACGTTTATGGGGTATATTATCATCTTTCGGATTTTCAGAGTTATTTTTTATCAGTTTTCGCCGGTTCACCCGCATAACTTATACAACAAAAACCATCTGCTTTTTCTGCCGCCAACGCCATTGTGACAAAACAATGGTTATTCCCATATGGTTATTGATATCTAAGGTTTCATCACAATGTTCATATTCTATAACCTTGCAAGAATTAGCTTCCGCTTTATGACGTTACGGTTTGGCTTCTAATTTCAACCGTTCAGTACAATGGGGTTCGGCGGGAGCTTGCAGAATAGCGCAGGGGTTCGGCAGGCTCACAAAGATTAAGAACCACTGCTTTAGATAATTATACTGGTTATTAGGATCGGTGGCGACTCGAATACGTAAATCATCAAAAAAAAAAAGAAATGAAATTGAATTTCTAATCTGCGAAAGTTTACTTTTTGGGGTGGGGTTTAACTAAAATCATTTTTAAAATTCAAATTAGGTCTTATTTTCGAGCAAACACGGTAGTTTTGCGATGATTAGCCATTGCTGTGTTCTGTGTTATGTCGTAAGAAAACAAAAGAAAATAGAACCAACAATGATATTTTGTTGTGTAGATGCGCTGCAACTGGCAGTTGTAGTTTTGACTTTACTTAGAAGCAGTTGTAACTTTACTTTTATATTAATTATTAATTTGTTTCCTCCATCAATGTTTTATTAAAGTTAAATGGGTCGCCATGAGCTGTGGTAATAAATAGTGGGTCCCAACTCTGCCCTACTATCCTGAGTACAGTCTGGGATTATATTTTCAAAATTTGAATATCTAATTAGATCATGTTCAACAGAAAAATTTGAATAATCAATATATATGCATAAAGAAATATTCAGTGATGGCCAATGCAGAATAATTTACAATTTGAATACATTTTTAAACAATATTTTATTTTAATATTGCAGTCTTCCGCTGTTATTTGATCAGAAAATCGCCAATTTTATTGATTATTTAACATGCGTAACTCCCATGGTTTTACACCAATTGTTTAAAAATGCATGCAACTGCTTTTCTTGTTTTAGTTGAACTAAGTATGTCCGAGGAATTTTGACTTTTTTTGGTTTACATAAAAGTAATTACCGTAGGAAAAGAATAGATTCTGTTTTCATTTGGTCACCCTGTATGTGCCAATAAGACATATTAGAAAACTTACTTGCGTATAGCACCAGTTTTCCGCTACGGGTGTTGACATATCAGGATTCGAGGGTGAGGTTGGGGTAGCAGAGCGACTTGTACCGGGCGTCGCCCGATTCCCAGTTGCCAGCATTGTGAAGATTTATTTCAACCTAATCTTTTGAATGGTAAGATAACGATATTCCAAATATGTCTTTCTGAAAGTTTTTGTTAATTTCTATCCCTCGTAGTCACGCTTCATTGAGTTCTCGATTATCCCAATTGATGTTGTGAGTCAGTACTCGCAATATCATCTCAAAAATATCCAGAATATTGTAATATCTTCAGTCGTTCACGCAACACCCAGCTAAATTACAGTAGGATATAACAAAGTCTTGTTTTATGAAGCTTCTGATTAAAGTTTAAAGTATTTAAAAAAAAAAGAGAGAGATTTTATTTCCACAAACAATGAAAAACAATATAAAACAATATCCATAATTTTTTCCATAATCTGAATTTTAATCTCTGAACTGAGACTGGTATATTTGCTCACCCCAGCTGCCATCATTAACTTCAATAACCTATTTAATATACTCAACCCAACACTTCTGTACCAGTCATAGCGTACAGCCGTAGGCTATATTTCTACACAATTTTGACATAAACCATTCATGAACAAGAAAGTTAGAGCATAAAGCTTGATGGCAATTGACAAGCAGGAAAAGACAATTAACCCAAAACACAGAATCACCACTGCCAAACTTATTTTTCTTTCTGCAATTTCAATTTTGCGACATAATGGAAATAAATGTAAATTGAGAAGCATTGCAAGGAAATGGCGACAATGTCCCCCACGCAACCATGCAAATGTGTCGCAACAATGTAAGGCGCAGGGTCGCACAGAAGGTAAACAATCAAAGTGTCGATTTTATTTATCGCCGCCAATACAATACGCGGCAAAGCGCTAAAATTCGTTTGAATATTTCTCTTGACAACGAAACACTGATGAGGGCGAAAAGTGGCTATTATTTAAAAATCATCAGTATTCAAATACTTATCCTTGTCTGTGATGTGCGTACGACGCGTTACGATTCGTAAGGTCGGCTTATATGCGAATTTTTATAAAATCGTCGTTTTAAGGGAGAAGGCTTATATGGGTGACCGACGTATATGTGAGAATATACAGTAAGTAGACACGTGTAGGGATGGGCCATTTAGAATAATTTACTATTCTAGAATATTTAAATTGAATCCAGAATCCTATTCTATTTTTATACTTATTTAAATCGTGGGAATTTCCCACGTTGATGAATTTAGATGTTAAAATAGCAAAGCTTTTTAATTGAAGTGTAAAGTATTTATAAAAAATATGATTGATATACAAAGGTTCCATACACTACCTCCACCTTCAAAAAGTAGTATCAGTATCGGTAAAAGAAGATTATAGAAACAAGAGAGCGATGCTCGAATATATATCGACACAAAGACCAAATCAAAGTTTCGCGCAGGTTCGCGTCAAATCGGAAACATCCCTCACGCTTGGCGGATTGAAAACAGTGTTCTCATGAAAAATAAAAGTATAGCAAAATTTTGGAAAAATTATCAGAACAGGATATCATCTCATAGGATTCATAGAAAATGCAGGAATAAATAAAAGTAACAGCCTCCTAGTGTAAAACTCTTTAACCACTGAAAAATTTCAAAGTAATTGGTCTAGTAGTTGAACAGAAAAGCGATTTTTTCATAACGATGGGAAGTAACGCAAAATACAAAAACATCATAATAACAAAACAATCCATAGGTCCACAACGTGTTCAACATAGCAAAAATACCTGATGGCAAGCAAAGAACAGAAGAGTTTCATATAGATAGATAGTTTATTTCGAAAACTCCACAATATGATACAGTAATACAAAAAAATTAAAAATAGAGAATTCTGGAGAGCGAGCAAAACCTTTAAAAGTAGTATCATGTGCCCGCTCACCAACACGCACTTACAAAAAAAAACACAAATCTTGTTAAACGAGGCTTGGGCTAAAAATAAACACACACGAAAATATGCGAATGTAATAAACTTTCGGGTTGTTGTATACTTTTAAAATACTCAAGCTACTGCAGTACTGAGCTAATAAGGACTAATTCGATCTGATACAAAGACAACGTGTGTAGGTGTAATGTGATAAGATGGCAAGAAGGGTCAAAAACCATGAAAACTACATTGATTTGGCGTTGGTGAAAATGTCATACAGTGAATTTAATTTAAAATGCCACTGTCAACGTGTCAAACTTTACTCGAAGATTAAAGAAGAGCAACAAGCCAAAACACAGCTACAGACTGACAGAGTCTGAGAGTAGCATATCTTTTAACTATCGTTAGAGTATCATCTTTCCGTCTCTTTAAGCTTGAATAACGGAATGAGGAATTGTTTTGCTGGGGGCTTTCCTTTCGCAGTTTTATGATTTCAAGATTTGAGAATTTGAATTCGCTCATATTCCAAAATTTGAACAATCATATATACAGGTACTGGTACAGTATCACTTCATAAAATCCCGAAGTATCAGAATACGGCAGTGAATTAATTTTTACATGGTGATGAATAAATATTACGGTACCGGTATCGTACTCAATTCAGCAATTATAATACCGGTAACAGACTCTCTTATAAATATATAAAAGCAACTTAGTAAGCTTAAACCTTACGCACTAAAATTAATACAGTCTAGTGGACTACTTTGATAATTATATCTCACATAACAGGCACCGTTTCGCCTTCTTTTTGCCCAGTTTCCTCGAGCTGTCTTGCCTTGAAAATACGTACAAAGCTCTCGAAGCAGGGTATGGTACTTATTATGATTTAAAGCGTTTATTATTTCACAAAAACAATTTAACTGTCAAAAATTTCATCAATTTGATATATTTATTTCATTCTAAAGAAAGTTTATTTGCCCTAACTAGTCATATTTAAACAATAAAACCATGAAAACTACCTAAAAATGGGTCTTACAATAAGACTGATAAATAGTAAATGGTTTAAGGTATTATAGGTTTCGATTCTGGCCAGTCATCAAAAACTCCCATTTCTTCACGTGACCTTGACGAACAACCGAGAAAATAGGATTTTTATCTCGAAAAAATGTGCGTGCAGCGCTTTAGTATAAATTGTAATAAGAAAATATTTATTCGAGATAAAATTCTCTATAATTTGTGTAAATAAGAACTCGGCCGACGGCAGTGAAATTATCCATTCCAGTTCAGATAGCTCAAGGGTGCTTTGTCGTCGAGCGCAACACTGACTGCAGACCGAATCCGGCCCACTGAGTTATTCAATCTGGCCTGTCTGATGCTGCCACAACCAAACTAAAACTATATTTTGATGTTTCAGCTGAGAATTGGCTCAAGGAATTTGTTAAGATTGCGATTAAATACAGTTTTAGCACGAGGCCTATTGTTTACCACTTTTGCTTTTGTAACCTTGTAAATAGTGTTCAGAAAATGTAACTTTTTACGTCACACTAACATGGCCGACCAGTCTAGTAAGGCCGGCCTAAACATTTTGCGCACCCCTTGCCTATAGCCTGTTTGTAGGAGCTGAGCTTCGAAAATCTTAACGGGCATCTTTTCTATTTAGTTATACTTCCCCGATATTAACCTCTTACCTTCTTGTACTTAGTAAATGCATTTTATTTATTTATTGCCTTATATCGCATTCGCATATTACTTTAGGCTGGCCATAATAAATATCTGAATCTATGGATTCTAGGCAATCAGTAAGGACGAACCCACTATCAAGAATACAATAAATCATTTTATTTCGGCATTCTGACATGAATCAAAACAACACAAAAAGTAAACGCACAAACGAAATGCAGAGATATTTGGAAGGCTGGCAAAACTTAGGATAAAGGTTGAAAAAAACGTACTGGTACGTGACCACCTACCAACAAAATCTGTTTCAGCATTTTCAACAAAAGAATGAGTTAGATTCTGTGTGTAGATCAGACGCGCTGTCTTTTATATATTCTTATAAAGTTGAGTTCAATTAGTTTCAGATAAAAAATCACCCAATAAAACTTAACGATTACTTTGCTCTCGGCAAGCTTCATTCCGAGTCCGTTTTATGTTCTCAGCTCCCACACGGGTAGCCGACCACGAATATTAGAAAACGATTGCGGGTAATAAACGTTTAGATACTGCAGGCAACACTCTCTCTTATAAACAGGATGGTCATTGCTGACCAGTCGTTGCACTCTTCACAAATCAACATCATCGGTTCTGTGGCATTTTGAACAACTGAGACATGCTCAGGTCCGCTATGTCCTTAATATTGTCTGTCATCCCTGTTTTTGGGGTCGTCCACGATTTCCAACACAAGTCACCACAGCGTTTGCTTTTCAATCGACGAATGTTAACAAGCTGAATTAGCTAACACAGCCATACGGTGCGGCGGTGTGGCTCAACGGGCTAAGCGTTAGGAATACGCTCGCCACCGCACCTCTAACTACTAGGCGTGGGTTCGCAGGTTCGAATCCCATGCAGGGATGGTTATGTGCGAGAGGATTGCTGGACTCCTCGCCGTCGTTGGGTGGTTCACGTAACCGCTGGTCGGTTACGGCTTCCTCCACCACCAAGTCCATGCTTCCGAAAACAAACAATACAGTAAAACTAATCCCATACCCGACTTCGAATGGTAACCGGACGAGAGGCCGTGGTTCGCCATATGGATAAGCCGTCTTATCGGCTTTCCTCTCCCCCGGAATAAATATGTAAATCCTATCCTATCCATACAGGCTCCCGCAAAGTCACTAGAAGCCTAAGATTGAGGATCGTATGGCTTTTGTCTGCTTTCCTAAAAATGTCTAAAAGCAAGAGAGCAGTGCTTGAACATCGAGCTTAAATGGAAAATATGGTCATGACAATGTCAGTGAAATTAAAAAAAAAAATTGAATGGAATATCTTACGAAAGTTTGTCGGTTAATTAATGGGAGGAAACAGCAATATTTGGCAGGTAATATTTGGCGCATCGTATTCAGATGATAGTTGGAAAGAATAAACAAAAATAATAGCCTCCAGCGACTTCTCCTAATCATCCACATGTAATGAAAATATGAAATAGATTGGTCCTGTAGTGGCACGGAGAATCGATTTTTAACAGCCATGGCAACAACAACAATATAGGGAAGCGGTACATAGTTGCACATTATGCACAATTATATAAAATTGAAAAACAAACGCACGAGTTTGCACGTCTTAACGTCGGCACATATATGGCAAACCATGAATGTAAATTTGCGCAGTGATGGGAACAGAACACCTGTTGCTGACGACTAATTATAACCTAACTTGCGGTTTATTATCAAACAATGCCTTCCTGCACTGTATTATTACGTAGTCCCAAGTAGGGCGTAGAAAATTGTTTGAGACGGGGCGAAGCTAATTAAAAATATTTGTTAGCTTTGACCTCGCTCACCTTATTTTGGATATTTAAGTTCCATCCGCGTATTTTCAACGTGTTTTTGGAATAAAAACATACTTCACCTCACTAGCCGTTATTTGTAGCTTATTGTTAGCTATTTATTTTTGAGCCGGAGCGCGAGACTTGACAAATTCTAAAATGGGGGAATTGCTTAAAAAGTTTGAGAACCACTGGATTTAGAATTAGATCATCACTTTACATTGCATGTTTACGTCTGTTACTGTGCTAAAAGCAAGATTGTTCTATTTTAAGTTTAGTGACACTAGGTCAATATGAATTTGGTGCAAATATCTGTTCTTGTGTCCTGTTTGTATTTTGGTGAGTATTGCTTTCTACCTTTAACTTAATTCGGCAAATATGGGTCTCTAAGAGGAGTTGATAATTTGTTGAACTACGTTTGTCTAGGGGCTCCCGAAGTATGCGAACCAAGATGGCGGACATCGGAATGTAATATGTGTGCTAGGTTAAGGTTAGGCCATAATTTTAGGTATAAATACTACGGGAGGCTCTTGGCTAGTCTTCGAACTGATAATAGGAATAAAATAAGGAAAATTGGAAAAAAATTATCGCCTAACCCTAACCTGTTACCCATGTTACGTTCCGATGTCCGCCATCTTGGTTCGCATACTTCGGGAGCACCCTTGAATCATCCAAGAGGAGTGTAGGCAGTAGTGGGATCCAGCCGGTTCGCACCGGTTCTATAAATTCGTCTCACGGAATTTTATGATATCAGCGAACCCGTTAGCATTACTGGAAAAAAACATGATTTTTTTGTGACAGAACCGGTTAAAAATATGACATTTGTGTGATGGAACCGGCTGACAAAAAATTTGAATCCCACCACTGAGTGTAGGGTATTAAAAGAGAGATAATGATAATGAATTTGAAAATGCCAAAGTATCGCAATTTTTCTACCGAAAATCTAAGAAGCGTAACTAGGCAGAATAAATTTTTACCCGAAATGTTGATTGTCGAGTTGAAATGAAGCCAAATAATCCTGTTAAAAATAAAGTAAAATTTTAATCAAGTCGGTGCGTTTAAATATCTGGTAGACTATTTCCAAAACCCGATCTGGACTGGTATCTAAGTGATGGATCACCATACGACTAAGCTAGTAGTCAGCAAACTGGGGGCCGCGGCCCAACTGTGGCCGCAGAACATTTTCTAGTGGACTTCCAATAATTCATGGCAGCGATACACAAAAAAGTTCTATAAATCCAACATTACATATAAATTTTCTGTCAAATGGTTTTTCTTCGTATTTCAACGATCATACATTGCGTTCATTTCAACTAAAGAAATTAAATTTAAGTTTAGTAAGTGGTTAAATTTCAAACAAAATTGTTGGCCCTGTAACCTTCTTCGCTTTACTATTTGGGCCTCACTCAAAAACTTTGCCGATTACTGGACTGAGCCGATCTGTCGCTAAAGTGGACACAAGATTCTTCCTTGACACGAGAAAACAATATGACCTGGAAATATTCTACAATAATATGGAAGCGGTGAAGTGAGTTAGTATTATACTATTGAAAATCAAAGCCCAATTACTACGATTTGAAAGTAAACTGGTAATTTATTAGTTACGCTCAATACGCTGGGATGGAATAGGATTTACATATTTATCCTTGGGGAAAGGAAAGCCGGTAAGACGGCTAAATCATATAGCGAACCACGGCCTCTCGTCCGGTTATCAGTTTATGTCGGGTATGGGATTAGTTGCCAGTTTTTTTCAAATGCATGAACTTGCTACTTACTCCTAATACGCATTGACAACCGGAAATTCGGGATTACAAGGTAAAGAAGGCGCGATGGCTTATTGAACTTACGTTATAGCAGTTTTTTCTGATTGTATTGACATGAAATTCCTCAAATCTCGCTTAAGTATACATATTTGATAACGTACAATTTCACTCTATAATTCTTTAGTGTCAATTATTCTTGGCAATTTGTGGTGGCCTTAGTTTCGCTCAGAGATTATTCTCCTAAATTTAAAATGAGAGGTAGAGAAATCATTAATCAACCAACTGTCAATTCACAGAAACTCTTGTCAAACTGATCCGGCCACGTCTGCGTTCACACTTTATTAAATTTGTAACACATCGGACCCGCCAAACGTTATCAAATATAAGCGAAAAAATATAACTTGCACTCCTTTGTCTTAGGCTGGATATTGAGCAAAGTTCATTATTACAAATCATTATTATGAAATGCGTATTTTCAGGTCCAGCACTTTCGATCTCACGAAACCGACTCGTTTGATTATCCATGGTTACATTGATGGCAGTGACGAGGATTGGATGAAAGATATGTCCGACACTCTCTTAGCGGTGAGTAAGTTAGTAGTAAAAATTCTTGGCGCTCCACGGACTTTGCCGCAGAAATCGGTAGGTTGGCTGCGACAACGTATTTGAGCATAGTGACGGAGACGCTCAACCAAAACTTTAAAAGACTTTTCTGCATTTTGAAATTGCAGGAAAAATTTTCTACAGAAGCAAAAAATACTGCAAATTTTGTTTTCCAAACTTGAAATCTCAAAGTCAAAATTGGAATAGCAACTGAAGTATTCTACCACCTCGCAGTTATGATCTGTTAAGTTGCTATATGGCATGTCGCCAAGCGTTCCTCTCCATAGCGTGCAACATAGAATAACTGAACACCAGCAGCTATGAACCGGGTTTGCCGCGAAAATAACGGACTGGTCTGAGGGAATACCACATAGTTATGTTATATGAGCCAAAATAGCAAAATTTAGGAAATCTAAAGTTCTATAAGAAAGCGACTTTATCACAACAATTTAATTTCAAACATCCCAACAAGGACAACTACGAGAATTCTGCAAAACAAAAATGAAAATTAAATTGAACGTCACCGAATTTGAGCGTTCCTTTTTCAGAAAGAATATCAAAACGTGATCAGGGTTACCTGGATTGGCGCGTCTTTGAAAATAAACTATGACGAGAGCGTTGTCAACGCGGAAATCACCGGAGCAAGCACTGCAGTATTGGTCAACAATTTGATTGTGAGTTTCTAGATATTTTACGATTTTTTTGGTAGCATTTATGACGTCGAGGGTGGATAGGATAGGATTTACATATTTATCCCGAGAGAGAGAGGAAAGGCGATAAGACGATTCAACCGAATGGCGAACCATGGCCTCTCGTCCGGTTCCCAGTTCTTGTCGGGTATGAGATTAGTTAGCCAGTTCTTTGTTTTCTGGAGCATGAACTTGATCGAGAATACTATTCATCGCCCTGTCTTTAATCGAGCTTCGTTGATGGTTAAGGCATTAAGCATAAGCTCGCTATTACGTATATCAACTTTTGGTACTTGGCTTTGAAGTCTGCATGTAATAATTTATGCTCGTTGCGGGCGAATGCTCGATATAAAATATTTTATAACATAATAAATATAAAACGAGAATATCGGTCAGAGACCGAAGACTTATCGATCGAAAGTTAGGGGATCCCCCAAAACAGCGCTCTTACTCCATAGTGACACCTTGTGTCCCGTCACTAATTAATCAATAACTCGCTAATTATACGACATAATTCGCCCAAAATTAATAGACTTCTGGTCCGAGATATGATAAACGGACATGCAAAATCAGGAGCAGATTCAATCTCGCTTTCGTGAGATATCGCGTGCATCTAACAGACAGACATACATACAGACAAATACCTATCAACATACTTACCGATTAAAATCGATAAGTAACAATTGAATATGCAACCCCGCTTGATCATTGAATCCTTCCATTATTGAATATGCCAGTGTATTGGTTATACAACAATATGTAATGTAAACAAATTCAATTTGTCTCTTTCCTTCAAGTTGAATATTTGAGATAAAATAAAATCTTATCCCAGAACGATTTGAACACAATAAGAAAAGATTTGAAAATATGAGGGTAACTATATTGCCTTTACTATTTCCTAGGCTTCATTTGGATTGTCTGCTTCTCAGTTCCATTGCATAGGACACAGTATCGGAGCTCATATCTGCGGTTACGTTGGTGATGACGTATTTGGGCTTGGAAGAATTTCAGGTATGGTACTAGCAATTTTAATGAGTTTGGGGCTCATCTGCAAATGTTTCTGTGGTCTGGGACCCACTGGTTGAGAACCAGTGTGATAAAAGGTCCTTTTGAATACCAGACTCACTTTCAAAAAAATCTACTAACTTTTACGAGGGAAGGGGTTAAAGGTTGTAAGCATGAGGAAAAAACGGTTCCATTACATTTGAACCCACGTACATTTGAACCCATGACAATTGCACCTGTATGCTATTGCACCTATGGATTTTTGTTTTTGTTTTTCGGATAGTTGAACCCACACTAACCCTAACCCATGGGTTTTATCACCCATCATATAGATTGGACCCGTGGATATACACATGGGTTCAAATGTACGTGGGTTCAAATGTACGGTCACCGGAAAAACACTCGTATTTCATTACTTGATCTAAACCAACCGTTCTTGTAAATATCGAAATATTAATCGTTTCTATTCAGAAACTCACGGTCGCAGTTCTTTATTCTCATGCCTACTGACAGACAGTGGGTTTCTTCGTAAGAGACCTATTTATAAGCAACAATATTTCTTTTTTCCTTACCAATTTTCGACGAGATATGTGCTTTTGGGATATAAACTCACGATTGCGCTTCTTCATTTTCAGGACTCGACCCAGCTGGAAGATATTTCGCGGGCACCGATGTCGCAGTCAGACTTGATGAAACTGACGCGTTGTTTGTGGATGTTATCCACACTGGTAAGTTTGTCTGTCAATGTACATAATGTATCTTCTTACTTTGGTAATATCGCTGAGATGGGGAAATACAGATTGTCCATAAAGTTCTTTTACAATTCAATTTTGGAATGAAATCAGTTCTCAATATATCTTAACCAGGTTTACTTTTAAAATTAGTAATTATTAAAGTTTTTTTTACTTGATTTATTACATCTGTTAGGACCAAAACAATATATGGTATTGATAAATTCCCTCTTGCAATTTAAAACAAACTTAAGACTTTATGGACTTGGTGGTAGAGGAAGCCGTAACCGACCAGCAATTACGTGAACCACCCTACGGCGGCGAGGAGTCCAGCAATCCTCTGGCATATTAAATCAGCAGGAAGCCCAGCTGCATTCAGTTATAAAATCGTTTATCTAGAGCAGGGCTACTCAACTATTTTTACCGAAGATCCGCATACAAAACTTTGAAAATATTTGGGTCCGATCTTCCCAGAAATTATAGTTCGGCATCCTTAAACACGCACTTCCTCGACAGACTAATGATTATTAGCTATATAAGATTGTTCATTATGGCGTTATAGTTCTTTTCATATTATATTTAACCCTATGCAAGTCATTTTATAAAAAGAAACTTCAAAAGTGGGGGTAATGATCCAAAATAAAGAATAAGTCGCGGTCCGAATCGAATACTCGAAAGGTCCGGATTCGGACCGCGGTCCGCCAGTTGAGTAGCCCTGATCTAGAGTACTGGTCTAGATTTAAGTAACAATACTCGTAATAATAAACTTTTGATATTTATAGATTCGGGCGCAGATAAAGGCTACGGTACTGGGCAGCAGTCGGGTGATGTCGATTTTTGGCCGAATGGAGGAGTGGAACAACCAGGGTGCGATCAGGTAGAAATTAATAATACTAGTATCTACGTAACTGGTCTTTGTCAAATTTAAAAATTATAATCTATAGTAACCTTTGGAATCTCGTTAGATTTTGAAATCCCGCTCCACATACACAATTTTATTCTTCCATTTTGAGAACATAATTTTAAATTCTAGAATGTTCCGCCCCAATATAATCTCTCTCTATATATATATATTAATTCATAACAAACACATCGAACGATTAGGAAAAAAAACATTTCGCGTCAAATCCTAATCGAAAATAGAGGAATGCATTTGAAAGGATAAGGCTAAGCCTTGTTGGAAGTGTACCTATATGGATCGCTTTGCTATTATGATAATGTGGCTTAGGCTTTTATCATTTTGTTGTTATGAAAAATATCGCTCTTGTTATTCACTACTGAACCAATTGCTTTGAAATTGTCAGTTGTTGAAGATTATATTTTTTGCTAGAAGGCTATTTATTACCTTTATTGATTTCTAAGTTTTTTGTGAATCCAAAGGGGATCTGACATTTCATTCAAAATTTCGCTATTTTTTTTTTTTGTGGGAACAAGGTTTTTAATTCGCCAAGCGTAGCGGCTGTTTCCGATTTTTCGCGACGCTGCAAGAAACTCGGAAATTAATTGACACCGGTAGTTGCGGTATGAAAAGTACTTTGCTTTGGATTTCGTGTCAATTTATTTGAGCGTAGCTTTCTTATTCATGAGTGATATTCAAGAGATACTGAAACCATATGAGGTTTTGGTGTTGCATAATGGGGCAGTTCAACGTCAGATTTGTAGAAAATTATCCAGTGTCTGTGTTGATCAATATTCCTTTTTGAGTTTCTTACGATGTCGTTAAAGATTCCTAAATCTAAGCCAATTTGATAAAGTCTGAAAAAACCTCAAGTAAAATCTTGGATTTATTTCAATTTAAATTTATTTCGGAACTGGTGCTGATTCGTTGACGTCTGAAAATTAAACCTATTTCGTTTACGTCTGAAATTACGAAATTGGCGGACGCCCGCGAAACCGAGTATAATCTCAAAAACTCTCTTACATTACTTTTAGAACTTGGTGGTTGGAATAATTGGGACCGTAATTCCGGGACAATTTGTTGAATGCAACCATATGAGGGCCGTTCACGTCTACTCAGAGTCGATTCTGTCATCCTGTCCCTTCAAATCGTATCCGTGTACGAGCTACAATGATTTTGTCAATGGAAACTGCTTGACTTGTGAAGACACGGTGGGTATAGCGTTCGTTACTTTAATAAATCTAACAGATGCTTTCGAAAACAAGTAACTTGCTAACTAATCCCATACCTGACACGGACTGGTAACCGGAGGAGAGTCCGTGGTTCGCCTTGTGATTGAGCCGTTTTATCGGCTTTCCTCTTCCCCGGGATAAATATGTAAATCTTATTGAACACAAATATTTGAAAAGCGGGGAAAATTGAACACTTTAAGCAGAATTACTCTAAACTGACTATTTTTATTCATCATTTCAATAATTTTTTTTACAGGGCTGCCCACAGCAAGGATTTTATGCCGACGCCTACGCGGGGATGGTCTCAAAAACTCAAGCCTATCTATGTACAAACGAGGAACCGCCTTATTGTGGTACGTATGTATGTCAATGCTAAGAGTTAAACTGAGTTCTATGTAAAGGGCCAATAATTCCAAATTTAAAATCGTGTCCAGCTATGATTTTATAACAGAGGGGGGCGAGAACCCGGGGCCAAAACTTTCGTCCACCTAGACTGGCGGGCCATGTGAGTGTGCGTAAAAAGTTACATTTTACAACTTTACAACAATATTTTCAGTGTTACAAAAGCAAAAGTGGACAACAATAAGCTTCGTGCCAAAACTAAATTCAATCGCAACCTCTACAATTCTTTGAGCTATTTTTCAGCTGGAACATCAAATGTGGTTTTAGTTTGGTTGTGGCAGCATCAGGCGGCCAGATTGAATTACTCAACGGGGCGGATTCGGCCGGCCCATGTTAGATCCATAAGTAGCAAACTAGAATGCTGCCGCGCGGGAATTGAGTGGCAATTTTTATGAATGATCAGATTCATCTGCAGTACGCATACCGTGGTTCGTCTTTGATCTTCGCGTATATATATCCGATTCTGCTCTTTTCTTTTAGTTGTTTGTTTAGTTTCTTTTCTTGTTTTATGGTCATTGTCACGGTACCGCTGTCTAGTTAGACTGTTTGACGTTTTCATATTCGTGTCAAATCATTTGAGCCTTGTTTTCAGAGTACATGACTCACATCGGCATTACTCTTGGTTCATCTGGAAAGAAGGTTGATGGAAGTTTCTACGTCACTTTGATTGGCACAACAGCAACAACACAAGAACAACAACTTGGCGGAAAAGGGTAAGATTCATATCTTAGGATGTTTGCACGAATTAAGACTAAGTTTTAAGTTTAAGGATAATCACTGAAATATCCAGAGATATAGGGTGTCCATAAAGTCTGAAAATCGCAAAGGTAATGTATCGATGCCATAAATTGTTTTGGCTCTCACAGATGTATTTAACGACGTAAAAATACCTAAAATATTAGTGATTAAAAAACAACAAACCTGGTCAAGATATATTGAATTAAATGACTTCATAACAAAATTGAAAGTGTAAACGGACTTTATGGACACCCTGTATATTTAAAATGCAAGTTCCCTCAAAGCAATGTCCAACAATCAGCCAAAAGCTCATAGATAAGATAGAGAAGTCGCAAGTGGTCGCTGATACTCTAATGCGGTGGTTCTCAACCTTTTATGGCTCGTGGCCGCCTTTCAGAGACTTTTAGCCCTCATGGCCGCCCCTGTTTATCATTTCAGTGGTATTTAGTGTGTTATTTGGATAGGATAGGATAGGATTCACATATTTATCCCGGGGGAGAGGAAAGCCGATAAGACGGCTTATCCATATGGCGAACCACGGCCTCTCGTCCGGTTACCATTCCAAGTCGGGTATGGGATTAGTTTTACTGTATTGTTTGTTTTCGGAAGCATGGACTTGGTGGTGGAGGAAGCCGTAACCGACCAGCGGTTACGTGAACCACCCAACGACGGCGAGGAGTCCAGCAATCCTCTCGCACATAACCATCCCTGCATGGGATTCGAACCTGCGAACCCACGCAGAGTAATTAGAGGTGCGGTGGCGAGCGTATTCCTAACGCTTAGCCCGTTGAGCCACACCGCCGCGCCGGATTGGTAATTTTGGATTGGTAATTCCAAAGCAAAGTGAAAAACCCTGTAGAATGACCTTATTATGGAATAAAACTAGGAAGAACGAAAAGTTTTCTTGTAAAAGTAAAATCAGTTTTGCGACCAGCGTTTCGGTTCGCCGCCAACTGCTCTGTGCCCCGCTTGGTGGGCCCTCTGCTTCAAAGTTTACTCTTGCGACAGGCGTGTCATAAATAGCGTTTGGCACAAGATTTTTTAAAAAGTTCTTGCTGGCACTTTATGGACCTTTCCCCGAGCATCGACTTCCTTGTTTACTTTGTGACATTGGCCAATCAGCAAGATGCAAAAAGTGACGTAACAATGCCCCCTTTTCGCATTCGCTCAGACACTTTTCTCACTCAGACAGATTTTCAAGCGTGGTTGTAAACATTACCTCGTTTTCGCGTTTTTGAACTCTATTCGTTAGTTTTCAGTTGTGGTTGCGGAAACCTAAATATAAATCAGATAATTCATGATCACTCTGTCTTCCAGGAGTTTTAATTAAATTGCAGTAATAAAATTAGTTTGAAATAGCTGTGATAGACTAGCCTGAAATTATTACCGGTACTTTTAAAAACAAATCGTTGTATGCGATGAATCATAATGATGGTTTAACACATACTCCATTTACAAGCGCTAACTCGCAAAAGCACTCCTAAAATAGCCTCGGAAATTTTGCAATGGTAAAGTATAGGAAGAATTTTCCGAGGGTTAAAGGTCGGGGAAAGGTCCATTGACAAACAAGGCTCTATCTATTGAAGCGGACACTTCGATCGTATTAGCTACTTTTTGTACTTTATGAAATGTTCCTCTTGTTCCTTCTGAACAAGGGTCGGGAAATACACAAGTGGTGTGGTTTTCGATTTCATTATGCTGGCATCGCGAGTTTGAAGATTTCAAGTTTCGAGAAGATTTCTGTGACCTCCTGAAGTATGTGCACCAAAATGGCACGCAACCTGAGCGCAGGTTGTGTACCAGGTTAGGGTTCAGGTTGTGCGACATCTTGGTGCGCATACTTCTGGAACACCAATTTTTGTACTCGCACCTCGTGCAACCGATTTTTGTACTCGCACCTCGTGCAAGTTATAATAAACCGGGTAGGCCAGCGGTTCCCAAAGGCGCGCGCGCATCGCACTAGGGCAACATGTTTACAAATTTAAAGGGCATAAAGTACACATTATCGATTCAAAAATTGAGTATTCAGAAACACCATTTTTTTAGTGTGAGTGCGCCGCGAGTTTTGTTCTTGATATTTTGACGCCACACGAACGGAAAGTTTGGGAACCGCTGGGGTAGGCCTGAAATGCTAAATCTTCATATCTATCAGCCGCTGCTTGTCAGGGGTCTTGTTCAGAATGGATGTGTCATAATGGCTTGCAAATGATTAATTTTATATTTTATTGGTACTAAATATTTTGCCCCTTTTCCCATCCTAATGCAGATACAAATGCAAATTTGCTTTCGGAAAACTCGGTATTTTCACTTTAGCACGGAGTACGGACTTGAACCGAACGGTCACTACGATGCAGTGGTTTACTACGATACTGACCCCGGTGACGTCACCAGCGTTAACGTCCAATGGAAACAAGAAGAAATTGAACTTGGGAATCAGTTCATAACTGTGCAACAGGTTATCGTGTGGAAAGGAGATACTCAGACAGAGTAAGTCATATGTATTTGTATCGCCTTCGCGGCAGAATTAGGCGATTAAGATTCACGTCCAGTGGTAAGATTCAGGGAATTCTTTTCGCCTGTTCTTGAAATTCCGCGACATTAACGAACCCGTTCTTGTTTATTGTTGTAGACAGATGACGCTCAAATGCAAATAGGTACTATGCACCGCAGCTGACGATTTGCGTCATATTTAGCGTTTCAAACGTTTTGTTATAGATTTACGTGAGGCGTGTTGTGTTGATGCAGCTCACCCAGCAGCTCATTTTCTGAAATGAGGGAAACTGGTGATAATGAGTTCGATAGAAGAGAGAAACTAGTATTAAAATTTTGAATCAATCCAAAGTACGTGAAATACACTACTAGGGCTTTTCAATCAACTGTTCTACATTTCAGGTACAATTTCTGTGGAGATGTCGCTGTTGAGCTGCAAGAGAAGACAGGGTACACATTATACCCAACTTGCTAAATGATTCAGAAAATGCAACGTTTTATTAATTCACCAATTAAATAATATAATTTAATAAGCTTTGGTATATAGTTTATTCCTTTTAAAAAGATAATTTTAAATTATATGACGTTATTTCTGATGAGCCTATTTCCCTTTCAGAAATTGATTCGAAAATTTAGTAGTCGAATGTGGTGTTTCCTTTAGCAACAATAAAATAAATTAATTTTCAACGAGCTTATCAGTCTCGTAATAGAGCAGTGGCATAGAAAAATTTGCACGGCGCATTTACACTCAGTAATACGAACAAAAGGCTTTGAAAAGTAAATTTGACTTCATTACCATGAAATCACCATAAGGGAACGTTTTAGAGTTTTCGCTAAGGCCAGGAATGGTTAACCGGTTATTTGGTTAACCGATTTTAGATGGTTAACGGTTACGATATATTTTACCCTTTAACTGACACCCTCTTTGTAACCATTAGGACGTAATCAAAATTGTAACCTATCACGTCAAACTCCACGCTGCGGGTAACCGGTTAATTTGATATCCGGTTCACGGTTAATGTTTTTTTTCCCCTGAAAATCCCAGCCTTGGTATTCGCACATTCCACCGCAGTACAACCTAAGTAGCTTATGTCACGAACCAGGTGCCATTTTTCGGTCTTGTTTTTGAAGCTAGACCCGTTTTAGTTTTACTGCATGAAGTCTACTTTTAGGGCTGGCCGTACAGGTCTGAAATAACAAAATTGTTATTTTGTAACGGGATTCGAATTACTAGCACCCACCAAGTTAAACTAAATTAAAAACTCGTTTCGCGGGCCGCACATCCTTTAAATTGGCACTGCTTTGCGGGTCGCATATTTTTTTCCTTTGGGCTGCTGGTTGCACAACCGTTTGTACAGTATTCGCACATTCCGCCGCGGTACAACCTAATTAGCTCATGTCACATTTAGTAATGGACTTTGTTTGCCTCATGTCATTATGAATTAGGAGCCATCTTTTGTACTTGGTTTTAAGCTATACAAGTTTTAGTTTTTATTTTAGATACTGCAGAATGTCAATGAGCATGTATATATGTATATATGCTATATGTATATATGCTCATTGCTATATGCTATGCTATGCTATATGCTATGCTATATGCTATGCTATATGCTATGCTATATGCTATGCTATATGCTATGCTATATGCTATGCTATATGCTATGCTATATGCTATGCTATATGCTATGCTATATGCTATGCTATATGCTATGCTATATGCTATGCTATATGCTATGCTATATGCTATGCTATATGCTATGCTATATGCTATGCTATATGCTATGCTATATGCTATGCTATGCTATGCTATATGCTATGCTATATGCTATGCTATATGCTATGCTATATGCTATGCTATATGCTATGCTATATGCTATGCTATATGCTATGCTATATGCTATGCTATATGCTATGCTATATGCTATGCTATATGCTATGCTATATGCTATGCTATATGCTATGCCATATGCTATATGCTATGCTATATGCTATGCTATGCTATATGCTATATGTATATATGCTCATTGATAATGTCTACTTTTAGGGTTGGCCGTACAAGTCCAAAATTGCGATTTCTCAAATCGTTAAAATGTGACATGGGGTAATTTAGTTCTACCGCGGCGATTTATTCAATGCGATACATAAATTAGCTTTTGTGGGCATGATCGACCATAACTCGATCAGCCGTAAATTACAAGTCAACTTTTTATAACATATTCACATTTAATCAATGCGCAAGATTGGTTTTGCGCCCGCGTTTATAATAAATTTGTTATTTCACGTTGCCTGGTGACGTCGGGCATTCTGGCACGTTATGCCCACAAATACAACGCCGCTCATTCCGATTTAGTATTAATAAATTCAACTTTCTTGTGAATTGTGTTGTAAAAAGTAAATGTGCCGTAAGTTTGAGATGTTTGGGCGCCCCTGACCCCGTTGTTAGTTCGCTGAACCCAACTGTACTGGAGTCACTTATAAAGAACCGAACCTAGGAGACACCTGCCAGAAACATCTTGTTATGTATACGTGGCTGCTTGTTCCGAGAAAAGATGCGAAAACTAACAATAAAATCTTCAAGTAAACAGTCGAATACTCGTGAGAATATAGGTCACGTTACGAGCCTTCATTTATAATCATAGTGTTGTTACGTCATACAGGAAACAGGAAATTATTGTAATGTGACGTCTCAATTCAATCAGTCAAGCATGAAATTTCGTCTGCATAATATTGCATGTTTGTTTGACTGCAGTTGAGTCGATGGTGGAGAAGTATGGAGTATGAAAGGCAGGCAGATAGTAGGTGCACCGCAACGTTGTAAAAAAGCGGTAATAGCTGTAGTTAGGGTTACCATATTTTTGTTACCCCAAAGCGGGACGCCTCCAAAGACCATAGCTGTGATTTTTGGAATTTCAAATTTACCGATTTGACATTAGAGTTGATGCGCTGTCTGTCTGAATATCGGTTACAGTTCGAAAAATAGAAAGGAATTTACGTTGACGTTAAGCACCCTTTTGGCGTACGGAACTTACACATAACAAATTGTAGTGATTAAAACAACGGAACAAACAAAACCACGCATCCACATTCAGTAATTGGTAATGTTCGTGTATCGTGCTGACTGGCTCAACGTCAAAGCGGGACTTTTGGCTGACCGGTCGGGACGCCGGGACAAGACGTTCAAAAATTGGACCGTCCCGCCTAAATCGGGACGTATGGTAAGCCTAGCTGTAGTCAATATGCTCCCCAGATTTTCATTTTAGTGTCGAAGTCGGAATGTAACCGTGAGGCACACCATTTATCGGAAAAACTGGAATCTTATGGCAGGATTTCTTAAACTTTTGGTGTTATGGAGCATGTGATGAGGTTGTCTATTATTTACGGAGCCCCACCATCAATTTATATTAACCTATAAATAAAGTAGTGTCGAAATGTGGCAACAAGGCGGTAATTGAATATTGCATTATTTATTGGAACTTATAGATAATGTCATATTTGAATTACCGCATTCTTGCCACATTTCGACGCTGTTGTTGTCAAATTTTATTAATGCTGTTAATGTTCATTTAAACAGTTACAAAATTAGCCAAGTCCGTATGTTAATAGCCCGAAATAGGGTTCTCTCACGCCCTTTAAGAACCTATGTCTTATGGAATGGAAATCGAAATATTCTTACCCAGTTCTATGATGTGTCGTCGTAGTTACACACTTCGACACAAAGACATCGTATTTAAGAATAAGAATAAGTTGCGAAGTTTAACTGTGATGCCATGGCTAAAGAACCTTAACTTGCTTTTATTCGTCGCTTGCTTAATTTACAAGCTAGGTTTGAGCCAGGTTATACTGACCTTAAACCGTAACTTGAATTTAAAACCGAATTAGTTACGATATAGAATTAGTTATTTCCTGGAAATGTTCTCAAAAAGTCGACCCAAGGCAATGCTCGCATCTTCTGGTTCTCGTATGAATTATCTTTTATTATCAATTTATATGATTTGTATCATTTGTACATTATAATATATGAGAAACTGGTAATTAATGAGATAATAGATAAGCACAAGTATAAAATACACTTAGCCCTATAATATTGCTTAACGTTACTAACTATATAGTTTGACTTTGTAACGTTACTGACTATAACCATAGTTTGTTCGTAAAAATTATTGGAGTAGTAGGGTGTTACTACTTACTAAAAAACAAAGGGAAAAGAATATAACAGCCTGAAACTGATAAAGATACCGGGAAACACCTTAAATATAGCGTGGAAGTACAAATAACTTAACCACTCCAAAATTCCGGTGACCAACATTTTTACACGCGCCTTTCGCTCAGAACAAGGTGTACATAGTGGTGTATCTACGTAAAATGTCGCCCATGACGAAGTTTGAAAATTCGCTCCTTTTATTGTTGACTGACAATTTTTAACGACTGTTGTCGAATTGAGATGCTTCTACGTTATTATTTAAGTGAAAATACGAGTTTCGGTTATTTCCTATTTGAAATCATTATATTGAAACATTTTACGTTGAAAACTCTTCGCTCTGTTTGCGACTATGTCCAAACGGCGCGCGTGGCACAAGCCATGGCTGACACAGCATATAAACGCCATTGCTTGCACACACGCGGTCACTGTTTTTTTTCCTTCTTTTTATATATTTAAAAGAGGCTCGGTTGATATGTTTGGAGGGAAGGAATGATATTAAGTCAAGCAACATGGAACTATCAGTGAATTGTTCACGAAGGAACCTTTCCCCGACCTTTGACCCCATAAAATTCTTCCTATACTTAACCATTGCAATTTTTTCGGTGCTTATTTTAAGAGTGGTTTCGCGAGTTGGCGCCTGTAAAATGGGGTATTTGTTTTAAACTATCATTCTGATTCATAGCATTCAACAATCTGTTTTTTAAAAGTACCGGTAAAGAATTTTAGACTGGTCTATCACAGCTATTTCTGCACTAATTTTTGAATACTGCAATTAAACTGACACTCCTAAGAAGACAAAGTGATCATTGAATTATTTTATTTATATTTAAAATAATCGAAACACAACTGAAAACTAACGAATAAAATTCAAAAACGCGAAAACCAGGTAATGTTAACGACCACGTCTGAAAATCTGTCTGAGCGAGTAAAATGTCTGAGCGGATGCGAAGCTACGTCACTTTTTGCAGCTTGCTGATTGGCCAATGTCACGAAGTAAACGTGGAAGTCGATGCTCGGGAAAAGGTCCATAAAGCAAAATAGTGTTGGGAAAGACGTGAGAGTTTGTGTCTAGCTGCAAAATCGCGTAAAATACGTTAAGAATAGGGTCTGGCTACGTCCGAGAGTTGGACACGAAAAAAGAGGCGAAAAGTAGGGAAATCGGCAAGAAACGAAAGAAAGCAAGGCAAAATCGTTTAGTTAAGTTCTTAACTGTTTTTCACACAAATTCTCACTGCACAATAGTTATCTTAATTTTTCGAGTCCGTGAATTGTGAATTATATCAAATGTATATAAAACAAATAAAGCCGGCAAAACGAAAGCAAATTAATAGGTATCTTCAATATTTGCAAATACGCAAATATACTTGACTGTATTAATACGCGATCTCACTTGCTTAACGCG